GTGCATCCCGCACGACCTACAGCTACCGACGCCACCAGTGCTAACGAGTCCGAAACCTGAAGGCTGATTACCCTGATGCTTGTATTCTTCTCCTGTGGTCGCAATTCCAAGGTTCGACAGAGCCGAGGAACCGGCGTTGCCCGGATACCTCGTTGATTACCGTGTCGCAGAAAGGCATACAAGTTCATTAACCCGCCCTCAAATTTCTGTCGCCGGGCCTCTTCTTGCTGGCCGGAGGAAACGAGATCAATTCTTGTACCTTGGCGCACGCTATTCAACTCCCGATGCGGAAATTAAGCCTTGGGCGGAAGGCTGCGGACCGGACTAAGATCGATAGTGGACTTGCACGCTGGTTAACCATGCCTCTCTATATCCAAGCAGTCAGCCTGGCTTTTCTCCAAGACACGCAGAAAGTATACGATCTCCGGTCCGGCGTCCCCAAAGGGGATGGCTGTTTTCTTTGGGGTTCGAATAGAAGACATATGCATAGACGTACAGCTTCTAATGAACCCTGCCGGGATAATGCGCCTCTGCGAAGGCCTTCACACGTCGAAGCTGATGTGAGAGGCTCGAAGGCTCGCAAAAACATACCCGAATTCACTGTCTACCTCAATGATATGACCAGGCCAGCAAGGACCGTTACCTCCTCCATCCCTCTATTCATTCTGAGAGGTGCAGACTTCGACATCTATGTTGCATTACAAGATTTCAGGCTCGAACTTCGACCACCTTGCTTTCGACACATTTAGTGCTCGGGGGTCTTAATGGGTTTATAAATTTGCCTTATACCCCCCCTGATGAGAGATTCCAATCATTGATTGGGACAAGCCAGGAGCTTCATTATACTTGTCGACCCAAGCTTGAGTGAAAGTGTTCTAGCTCGCGTGGAAGAACCAAGCTGCGGTTCGTTGCGATGATACTGCAAGATCTGAAGGTGACCCGTGAACACCCGGTCGGACCCGAAACATCACCTTCTTCTGTACCTGGCAGAGTCATGCAATGAATAGTCACCGTATTGTGCTACGTCGACATGTAATGTTATTCTTCATCCGAGACGAGGAAAAAGGCGCCGTTTTTGTACGCTCTCATGTTATGAAACCGCTTTCTGCACTGATCAAAGCGGTGTGGTAAGCATGAAAGCAGCGTGAAATGACCGGCAGCATTAGGAAAAGTCTGGGGAGAATCCAACCGACATGTGGGAATTTGCATTGTAATCGCTATTGTCGCTACAATCAGCAGCAATCATTTGGAGATTGAGAACAAGAAAAGAATGCCTTAATTATGAGCCGTGATTAAACACCAGTGGCGATGCCCGCCTGCAGCCTGCTTTCGAGAATAGGGTCAATATGCAGGCAGATCTATGGATTGGTCTCACATTGCGTTAAACAAAGATTAGTGAGACTTATCAGCCTTTACTTTGAGGTGAGAGCCCCAGGAACATGACAGGTGGGGAATTACCAACTTTACCGGTACATGATGGACATACGAACGCTTGAGATGAAGAATTTGATCCTGGTCAACGCCCCATCCTCCACCAGGGCATCTCTAATGGCGGCATTGAAGATTGGGTTTTTTCTGCCTTGATATGCTTCATCTTGCCCACGCAGATATCGACACTTTCACGAATTACAGCGACAGTAGAGAGGATGATCTAACCGAGCCTATAGAATTATTGGAGGACCTCCGTGTCCTCGGAGACGCTGGTGGTTCGGCAGTCCCATCTTATAAGGCTTTAAACCTCTCCCAACCTGGCGGTTGGGACTCAATTACTTCCGACTTCTTTGAAGTACCTCTATGTCCAAAGTCTTGTGGACCATGATATAATTGTTTGCTCATGGAGCCATCTATTCTAACACAAGGATGAGTCTATTCCTTTCGGCTGGAGGACTTGAAACTGTATTTGTCGCATCCCCAGATGTTCTTACGCCCAGATGTGGCATGGAGAGTGTTTATCAGCCTCTTTGTCGTGTGAAAGCACAATCCTGGCTTGATCGACTGAGGTGTAGCGTGCTTTGCCATTGTGACAGCATGACAACTTCAAGACAAGCAACAATGGCGTGCAAACAATCAACAATTCGAAACTAGTTGGCTTTCCGGATTCGCAAGTACAGTTGGACATATCCACAAGTTCTGCGATTACAAAAGTGTCTCAGCGAATGAAACGGTCATATTAGACACACCAGCATCAGCGAGTCAAGAGTGGAGGGAACAAAGAGAGGGTCCGGCCGTGATCAAACTGATTCTAATCCCACTACCAGGACGCTGCTGGACACGAAACTGTTAAGAGATGAAGCGACAATTCGGGGGATGATTTCAGTAAAGTTGCGTGTACCGTTTGGCCGAACATGTCACGGACAACGCAGGGAAGAAACGCAATGACCTCAGCTATACTCCCACTATCTGGACTCTCAATACTGATGTTTCTGACCACTTATTTCTCTTTCTATCTATGCGACCTGCGGGCCGTGTACAGCTGCTAGGAGGTAGAGCTGGGGGTGGGGGTGAAGAACCAGAACGAGTCTACCGCAGCGATCGATTCGCTATGAGACTTGCAGGTGGTTGAGCACCCACGAAGGAGAATGAGATGAAGCATGCGCGTTTCACGGAACTCACCGCTGGACCAAGCGTGCTTCCACGATTAGACTTACGACGAAGGGCAAGCGTCCGGCCATCGAACAGAAGCTGGGGTCCAAACGCGCTCCGAGCTAGCAACCATCGACGGCAATAAGAACGAGCCCAACGGTTTTTCTCAGTCCGAAACGCCCTAGTCATTGCGGCGCGTCCGCCACGAATGACGTCGTCAACGACATCGCGGTTCGGATGGATGACCTGATCACTCAGCGGGTCAACAGCATCTGCGTGCGCCCACAGCTAGTTGGCCGATGCCACGCGATGAGTACCGAGACCGAAATTTGCTGGCTGTCCGCCTCGAAAGAATGGTCTTTACAAAAGCACCCATCCATCAACGTAGAGGAGAAAACCGGCAGTGACGGGGATCTGCTTCTTGATGAGCTCAGTTTTATTGCCACGGTGCGTCATTTCTACTAGCAGCAAACCACGCGGCCCACCGAGCTCTCTGATATACGAGTTCGAGACATAACGGGTCTCCGGGCACCAGTGAGACGCGTTTAGGTGGGACTTTCGCTGCCAGGTGTGTCATTGCGGCCACGCCCAAGGCGCTCTGTTTCAGTGTCCTGACTGCTTTCACTATTTTCACGGGGTTTGCCTTGATATGGTGCATCACCAGCACATCGAATTCTTAGCCTTCGATGTCGTAAGCTCGAGATGGCAGAGGCTATTTTGAGTGTTTAGAGTCCCACACCGCCTACTCCTGAGTACCGTATCTTCCGCAAATACTTTGCGTAGTAGCAGTATATGCGCGGCGAAGATATGGATAGCGAGACTATGAAGAGCTTCTGCGCGGTTCAAGAAGCTGAGGGAGGTGTCGCTGCCCTGTGCCGATGTCATGGTTACTACGCTGTTCGCGGCCGGCCGAGCTGCTCTCGCCGATGGCCTGAATGTGTCCGTGTTGGCAATGAACGAGGCGGCCAAGGCCTCAGAGCCCGAGCTGCGACCCCGACGTGGGGACCCTTATTGATCCATCTCGTTGTGTTTGAATTTGCCTTGGTAAACGTCAACGAGAAACCAGATCATCCCCTGTACCTGGGTTGACCACGAGATGTCAATCCATGCACCAGCGGGCCACACTCTCCCATTCTCGGATAGCTCATTAGGGAAAGACTATTGCCTTTCATTGTGATAGCCTCGCGGCGCACCAGCATAAACGTGAACTCACTGACGGAACCATCCGCCAAATTTATCTGCGACCAACACTGGAGCGACTCAGTCACCTAGATCACAGGTATGCTTGAGAGCTGGAGAACAGCCCGGGGCATATTACATCGCTATAACTCTCTCTCCAGCGGAGGACTCCCACTCGGTGGGATCGAGAGTTCTCCGGCCAGGGCTGGCGGAACAGCAGTTTTCCTAGAGCATATACTATCTCTTGCTGATAGTATACGAGGGAAAGCCTATTGTATCTTGCTACGCACGCTGAAAGCTCATTATGGTGAAGGATATTGGTCCGAGCCGACCTCAAGCCATACATGGGCAGAGATTGCGCAATTGCATTAGAATTATACCGAAAAGCATGCCAGGCTTGAAAAGCTTTTGGACTAGAGCTGGGCGAATAATGGTTGCCTTTGCCTGGAGTACAGCTTGGAGTCCGGTTTTTCAGCGACAACGGCTGTGAAACCTCGATCGTCATGGGATACTGGTGGTCTTGGCTCCTAGAGACCTGGTGGAGACGAGAAAAACCAACGAGCAGGATGGTAGGATACGATCAAAATTGGCAAGGCTACATACAGTGGCAAAAGCACGCCCCAGAAGAGGTAGAAGCGGAAAGACATCTGCCGCCTCCGGGAAGAATGCGTTCCTCGCCTTGGATATGTAAGACAGCCCCGTAACAATGGCCTGCCGGTGATGTCTTCTGACCACGCTCGCCATGTCGTTGTCGTCTGTATTCAACAGCATCTCATTGTGCCAGTGTTACTACCAGCAGTGGGGAAGAGCAAGCTAAATCATCTTACCTCCGCTAAATACGAAGCGCACTATCCCTTTAAACATCAGTACGATGCTTTCACCCTACGATTGACGCAGTACGCGTAAAAGCTCGAGAATCTACGAAATGTCGTGGGGCAGAAGGCTTTCCAGGCGCGGTGCACCGCTGCTGTTTAGGGATCAGGACAGACTGAACGACAATACGAATTCTGTGGTACAATGCTTCATACCCGTCAATGAAAACCTTCTTTACAAGATGCCGAGGACCTAATGATTTGAGCTAGGGTCGGTGGATACGTCAGGCTCTTGCAGCAATCCATTACTGGGTCAGCTAACCTCTAGACCTGCACTGCCAGCCTGATCAAGCGCACCCGAGGTGACATTTGAAGAAGAATTGTTATCTACAACGGAATGATCGTGTTCACGGCGACATCATCATCATGGGCCCCGGCACGGACAACTATGTCGTGGGCCACGACATCCCCCCGATGAAAATCGACACCGTGGATCTCGCCTTCCCCAAAGCCATGTAGGAAGAGCATGATGAAAGCCCTCAAGAACAAGCTGTACAAAAGCCCCGCCAATGCGGGGACCCGAATAGTGAAGACACTGCGCAGATGGACCAGTCCAATCGGCGGCGGCTGTGTCTCCTGGCGTTCTCGCCAACCCTCTACCGGGTCCTGAACTCGCAGGGCACGAGGGGGTTCTTGGCCGACGACGTTGCAGACCAGCTGTTCGCCGAGGACCACGGGCTGACGTTTTACTTCAACTGCACGCGGCATGATTCGTGTTATACGGCATACACCGCGCGCTTACAGAATGCGTTCTTTCTGGCCTACGATTCCCCCAAGCTCCGCTATATCGCCCATGCGCTGGAGCGTTGGGGATATTTTGACGTGGGGCGCCCGGTGCTCCCCCCGGCGCGGGTCATCTTCTTCTGCACCTGGCCGTTGACACAGTAACAGTGGGTACTCACGCTCTTTCTCGAGTCGATGGGCATCCGCGTGTCGCGGATCTGGGCCCACATGAACCAGGGCCTCCGCAACAAGGCGGCGGCCGAGTTCATCGACCCAGCGCCCAATGCCCCGTGACGACGTACCGCGTCGCCTCACTTGGGCTCAACCTCCAGCACTGCTGTCACACGGTGGTCCTTGTGGAACCGGGTCGGAACGGTCCGCAGGAGATTCAGGCCACCGGGCGGCTGAACCGCACCGGGCAGACCGAGCCACAGCAGGTCATTGTCTTGTTTCAGGCGAACTCCTTCGACCGCAAGCTCGCGTTTGACAATGTGGTCAAACTCCTCGCCCAGGTCGCGGTTGTTGTTAGGCCAGCTTCCCGCACGGGACATGGGCACTACCTCCAGTCCATGATATAGGGCTATCTTGCCTTGGGCTCCGGGCTCGAGATCATCCGCCAGGTCCATAGCGAGGTCATCACTCCTCTCGAAGAGGAAGGGGACACCTCTGAAGGTTTCTGTATGGCGAAACTGCACTTCTCTTGCAATGTCATGCTGCATGCTATTCTGCACAACATCGGTGAGAATTGTATCGAGGCTACTGCTGAAGGCGTTCAGTCTTACCTCAACGCCTATGACCCTGATTTGTCGTACCTGCCACTTTCGGTCTATCCGAAGTCCCTTTTTGAGAAGGATGTTTGGGGAAGGCTGGATGAAGTGTCACCCGGCTGTTCCCTCTCTCTTATAGAGTGACCGAGCTCTTCCATCGGTGTCGGGAGTTATCATACTAGGCATTATGTGGATGACTACGGCAATCACTCAAGTCCGGATAGTAGAACCCTCATCTGCTTGGGAGTTGTCGCTGCGAGAGCATGTAAATGTCTACACGCAGTGTTCGGCTGGCTTCGGAAGCTTTCTGGACAGAGACGCTCTAGGTGGAGATGGAGATGGGGTATTCACAACTTACTTTGGACCGAAAAGATTAATATTGTCATCTGCAATCGGGCCAACTGGTAAACAGCGATGCCTCACGTGTTGTTCTTGAGGCCACGAGCCGAGACAACTGCAATCCAGAAGCCATTGAGCAGCTACAGTGCTACATGGCAACTGTTTGGCATAAGCCGAAGAAGTTTCAGGCCGATGCCGCTGGATCCTCGGGTCGCTTTCCCAAGGCGTGACCTGAAAGTTCGTCGCCCATACTGCTCTAGTGCTCAGCAGGCAAAATCTGCGCGCGGATGAAGACGGACATCCCCGAGGAGAAGTTGGTGACGCAGTTGCACGCCCTCCCCTCGTGCGCAAGGGGCCGAACCGCCCGGAGTTGATATCCGGCGCGCAGACATGGAGCTGGTTTTGGAACGCCAAGCCATGAGGGCAGAGAACGCAGCATTTCCGCTTCATCCATCATCGAACGAGCTGAAGCCAAGGGTTCAGCCAAAGGCACCACCACCCGGGCAGACCTCCCCCGTCAAGGGGGCCAAGCGCCCGCGAACGACGCGGCGGGAGGCCCGGGTGATTTTATTCCACCCAGGCCTCATCATGCCGGTGCAGGGAATCTTTATCGAGGCAGCCGAAGTGTATAGATCTACTATGAGACACTGCCTGACCTTCACTCGAATTCGCTGCCGGGCAAACAGGCAGTACATCCTCACGCAGCAGTACCTAGATCAGAGCCTGCGTCTTTATCTTCTGATTCCGCTCCTACGCTCTGATGGAAAGTATGAGCTCTATACCTATCCTGACCACCTCTGGGCCAATAGTCCAGGAATTCTCTACATTGTGCTCCTTCTGACCCGTGTACAATCGAATTAGAAGATGGAAATAGAAGGACGACAGTTCGTAGCTTGGGATCGAGAAGTGGGCTATGGAGATTTCCACACTACCAACAAGGAAGACTAATTTGGGCGTTACAGGAGCAGGTCAGCACGCGAGGAACTCAAGCGGGCAGTTCATCGAGCCTTGGTTTAGACAGGCGACGATAGGGTGAACATTGCTCTCCACGAAGCATGCATTGGTCTTGGGAGTAATATGCACTTCTTACCTTCCGTCCACGGTTCCCCTGGTCGACGGTCGCCCGATGAGATTGTGGCGGCAGAACTCCCCCCAATGCAATCCGACACCGACGATCTCGACTTCACGGATGTTGCTTTGCTGTGCAATCTTCTTGTTCGGATCACAGGATGTTCTTGACAGAGCTGATGGGACGTCCCGTCTCCCAACAGTGGCCCTGTCCATATACATGGTAATGAGGCGGTCTATCACCAAGCTGCGTCCTGGCATCAGAAATGCCCCAAACAAATCGTGATGACCTCGATCTAACCACTATAAAAAAGCTGAAAGATATATCGAACATGTTCCCCGCAGGTCAATTATCTACAACGACGTTTCAATACCTGAGCAATCAATATAGGATTGCCGTCAGATGCCCACACCTAAAGTTCCTACCCACGAGTTATCGGGATCAGTGTTAGCACTTTAGGCTGGATTCAACAAAACCAACTTTATTACCTTGAACAGAGGATGATCAAGCACTGCCTCGCATTTCAACCATCTGTTCTCTTGAGCTTCCTTTGAGGACTTAGTCTCCTCAGTCGCATACTCAGCACATTGTCAGCATGATATAAGCACAATACTGCTCTCCATCCACAACAAACAATAAAGCACAAGGATTGATATTTCTATACCAATTTACACCATGCCAGAGCGGGACAGCCCTGCAGCACCAGGCGCATCTTCCTACCTTCACACTTACAAACCAGAAGCCCGAGAGCCCTAAGACATCGGCAATAAAGATAAACCGACACGAGGCAAATACCCGGCTTGCAGGAAAGAGGCCACATATCGTTCTCAGTGTTTGGCTATACATTTCAATGTATATTGCACAAAGATTTCAGTTACAGTGCCAGAGAATGCCGCACGCTGGATCTTATTTCTATCCACGTGAAGGCTACCCGCCAGACCTGGCTGGTGGACGTATACACACTGGGGTCTCGCGCCTTCTCCACCGCCGCGCCGGCCGATGGATATGCGATGCTCAGGTCCGTCCTCGAGTCTATCTACAGGGTAAAGGTATTCTTCCACGTATAAATCAATGCCGACGCGTTTTTTTACCTATATAATGTAGCATTACAGAACGTGGTCGATATCCAGGTCCTGGAGCTGGCCTCCCGCCGCAGGTTTAAGGACCGATACCTCCTGGAACTGTCTAAGTGTATCTGACGTTGCCCCCGCATTTACGCGGACGAAAAGGCGCGGTGGCAGGGGGCCAAGGACAAGGGGAAGCAGAATGCTACATATGCGTTCACGTAAAAAGAGAGGAAAGCCTGTCTTCAAAAGTCTCGAATGGAGGCTGGGCTTTACATTCCTGTCACGCATGCAGACAATAACGCCCAGCGTCTTGTGACCACCTACCACCTGGTCCTCCCTGGGTCTGAATCTTCAGAGTTGTCATACCTAAATGGTCTTCGCTCGACGGCCCTGACTATTACCGGGTTGCGTTGCACGACTGGCCTGCTATACCTGTTCTGACCTCTTCTTTCCCTTTTGCTCACGCGGTTCGTGGCTATGGGGCTATGCATACCTGCCTGCCTGTCTCTGTTCTCCTGAATCATATCTGAACCGTTGTCCTTTATATTATTTTTTTTTTCGCCTCTCCCGCTGCGAAACATCGATACTATTCTCGTCCACTGGTTGTGTTGTACTTGGGGTACTGCAGCGGGCAATGCCCTCAGCGGAAGTGCCCATTACAGATATGGATGTGAAACGCGTGGTTTGATTCCTCAATCTTAGCTTCCCAACAAGCGCCACCCACCCACTGCTTACGAGGCCTGCCAGATGTTGCGTGTCGACTTCGAGACGTTAATTTTCACGGCGTTCCCTTTATTTATATTATTTATTTTCTTTCCTTCTCTTCTCCTACACAGTCATGGCAACTGCTCCGTGGTGAAAGAACGCGACAATCTAACCAAATCTACCCTGCCAGCTTCCAAGGCTCCAATGGCGATGGCATTGGCGACCTACGTGCTGCGACTCCGACGTCCAGACTATGTTGAGACCATACCAGGCCAGGCCACGGCGTACATGGTTGAACATACCAACAATCAAAAGCCGCGGGATGGGTGCGGTTTCGGGAAGTACCGGACGGCTTTGCTTGTGATCTGATTTATCCACGAGAGGAAAAGGCTCAAAGCGATAAATGGTGCGCTCTACAAGCCCCCGCTCAAATTGACTACTAACACGCTCCTCAACAAGTGACTCGAGAACACAGAAATCGCTCTGGACAAGGCTCCCGGGCCCGGCTGTTCAATCGGTCCAAGATACGAACTTCTTCGCCGGACGGATATTGGATGTAGCCTCTGCGACAGGGCAGGAACACATGCAGGTCCGCAATATCAGATGTGCTGTTCGTAGAACGTGAGGAGTGTCCTGTGATGACAGGGCATCCCGCAGGGGTTGACATCAATCAACGGCCCTACAAGTCAAGATATCGCCATCACAAAAGCGGTGTCACGACTCTACTCCGTACTGTCACTCCGTGGCCGCAGGCTAGTTACGGGTGCCCCGGCTGTAGCAGACTGTTATTAACAGACAGCCAGCTCGAAGGGCAGGAACGGAAGGCAGCGGAGGATATGAGATTTGCAGACATTATGAAGAGACTTCTGCCTGACCGACGGAGTAGCCTAGTGAAAAGCCCAGACAGTAATCGGACGGTGGAGATGGTCGAGGTGTTCCTCTCCTATCCAGGCCAACGTAAACCAGCAGGCCTGGGGGCACTCGCTCGCCCTTGACAACCTGTCCGCCGGGAGGTGGCACGGTTGCCTGAGTCACTATCCTCAGATGTGGCTTAAAGAAGCATAGCGTCCTCCAGGATGAGCCTCTAAAAATCCAGGAGAGTACGCAAACCCCTTCGAAAGCCAAGATAGGGCGAACTGACAAACAGAATAATCTCGCCTTGAAGATAGAATGCTATCCGACAGCTCGCAGGGTCTAACCACCCGACTGAGGCCACAATCTTGGTTCTTCGAGCTGTGGGAGTTATCGATATTATCCAGAACGTCCTTGCGGCTGCGTGACTGGCACGAGTATCCAGGGTCCCCTAGAGTTCTTTTGGAGCTCCTTGAGGTGTAGGGCGAGCCTAGTACGATGGAAACCTTGAGGAACCCGGTGGCGGCGTGACTCACAGCAAAGCCTATGTGGTATGCGATAAGGCCTATAATACCCCAGCAAATCCAGGAACGAAGCTGGAGCATCGCACCGTACCCTCGCTAGAGAGCGGGTGCAATCGCAGTCCGCAATCCACACTTGACACAATTGGATCTTTCTGCAGTGAGGTCCGCAATCATGTATACTCTCAGTGGTTCCACCTGCAAGAAACAGTCTCACTTGTCGGATTGTCTCGATTCCTCGTTGAATCACGCCAACACTCTCATCTTTCTCCTTTCAAGTCCGTCCCGGGGTAGGGGCGGGGGGAGGAAGCATCGATCATTGAAAAACGCCTAATCCAGACAGTATCCAACCGGCTCAGCTCGGGAGAGCAGCGGTTCCTGAGATCAGAGCTGGCGTTCTCTGCCCTTTGCAGTAGTCTACGGCAGGGCGTGTGACTCAAACAAACGGGGCAGACCAGCAGGGAAGGAGGGGGGAAAGCCTTTGATGCAGATGGAGAAGGCTTTGACACCCTTGCATTGGTCATAGTGTACGACAATGCAGACCCTGACGCGCAGAAGTTTCACGAATGAATCCAGGCACGTCACCTAAAATGGCGTGAGGACGGTCCTAAACCTACCGCCGCGCACTTTGCTCACGACTTTCGTATACCAGGCCTCTCCTTTCTCCTTCTCTCCTCTCAAACGCGGTCTTGAGAGCCTTTTCCCTAGGCCCTCTTGTGGATGCCCAGCTTGTGAATCTGGGCACCCGCGGTGGGGTTAAATGAAAGTCCCTTTTGGAGACTCTGGAATTGCATCTGGCATTGCGACCAGACTGACAAGGCCCTGTGGTTGGCTGTCATGGCACGGGACAGGGAAAGAAGCTGTTTTCAACCAGCCCCAGGCTTGTCAGAAAGCGGCCCTTGGAGCAGGGAAATCTCGTGGTACTGCGTTGGTGACGGTGGAGATGCTGCCTTGACTGCGAAGGCAGTTTAAATTCTTGCTGAGCGTTCTGGAGCTGGCTGGTCACTAACAAGACGCTGAATCAGGCGAAAAGGACCCACGGCGACTGGTATCTGACCGAAGGCCCTGCAATCTGCGCCACATGGACCTGTTCCTCCGCAATGTGATGATCACCGAGGCGTTCACCCGCGCAGGCGGTGCGCTGCGCATTATCATTATTGATTTTGGGCTGGCGTGTCTTTTTCGCTCGCCGGCGGATATCTACCGAACACACAACTCCCGACTGTTGGAAGGGCGATACATCAGCCCTATTCTGCACTGGTGGCATCCCCTGGGTCAACAGGAGGATTGGATGCTGTCCCGTTGGGTACATTGGAATTGGAATCACTACCTGATCAGGACTTTTAAGAAGGACCTGAAAAGGCTTGCGCGCTGCGGACCAAGGAAATACTCAGTACTATAAAGAGGGAGTGTACAAGTGGGAGGCATGGGAGCACTCCAATGCGTTATCGGACATTCATCGCCTTTCTAAATCTTCCACACCAAGTGCATCAGTCGCTGTGAGAGGATTCCGAGGTTTGGTGTACAGGAATAACCCGGTATAGCTATCCCAATATGCCGATTCCGCCTCGACAGCGCTTGCAGATATATCCGTATTATGGAGCAGCTCAAGAGATTCATTCCCGAGCCCGATGGACGAGAGTGATGCGGAAGATAGCGACAACATTTTGGACCATATCCTGACCGTGGGTCAGGAGGTACAGCCCTTTGGGAATTTGGGGTCTGATGTGGTCGTGCAGAAGAACATCGAAAAGCGCTTCCGCAGAGCCATGCGCCACGGGCTCAACCGACGGGTTTACCCGGTCAAGGGGGCCAAGCGTTCAAAGGCCACGCGGCGGGTGGCACGTGCAGTGGTACAATACCTGATGAAGCCCCTCGACTTCGGGGAGAAGTGCATCACCTATGACCACCATAATGTCGACCGGACTAAGAGCCTGTCGGACAAGCAACAGGCGGCCACGGCCGGCATAGTGGGTCTGGGTGATGAGCTGAACCCCGAACGTTTCGAGGACGAGGACGAGGATGGGAGGAGGAAGAACAAGTCCAAGGCAGGGGTGAGCGCAAGGACGGAGGGCAAAGCAGCGGCGGAGGCCCAAGTCAAGGCAGCGCAGGAGAAGGCCGAGGACGCGGACGGGGAGAGCGAGACGGAGCCTGACACACGAGGAAACGCAGAACGTGCCGACGACGCGGACGGCACGGACGACAAGGAGGATCTCGACGACTGGGACCCCGACACCATCGACCAGCTGGAGAGGTGCCTTCGGTCGCAGGCGGGGGTGGATAGTCAGGCTGGCGGGCATGAGCCCTCGACCCCGAAGGGGGTACGGTCTACATTCACCTCCGACAGTAACCGGGAGGTAGAGACCTTTGAATCAGCGCCCGGGCTGATCAGTGCAAAGACAATTCCGGCACTCCAGGCTTGTCGGATCCTAGAACTGAAGCCGGAGCTCCAGTTCCGCCCACCCACGGACCCGACCCGCGTCACACAGGTGATGCCATCGCAGGCGACCGATGCAGAGTTTATGCTGTGTTGCGAGACTGTTGATGACCGCGGTGGCATCGTCGGTGATGGTTGCGGGATGGGAAAGACGTGCATGGGGGGATTGCATGTGTGGTGTGCAGGGGAGGCCCAGGAACGTCTGCACGCTGCGGGTGTGGACTTTTAAGTTCATGCCAACCGATCCTAGCCCAGGTTTGACCCATACGATTATTCTCTTGGTCTATCATACCAGAGTGAAAAGGGTCCTGATAAAAGACACCTGTGCAACCCCGAAGCACAGCCTTCGCCGAAAGCATCTGTCACTTGATAGAGGGCAAGGAGAGCAGGGCAAGGAGCGGTTGAAGTCCAAAGTAGGATGGCTTGCCGGCTCTATCTCAGATATAACTGCTGTTTCAGATCTACCCATCATCGGCGACAGACAAGCTGAGAGACCAAAGTCGGGTCATAAAAAATCAAGCCGTCAGATCCGAGAAGCTCTCAACAGCGACCTGGCTTATTGAAGACCCTGCTCCGAGTTTCACGAGTGCCCTCTCAAGAAAAGAGCTGAGTTATGGGACAGTGGCCTGTTGCCAAGTAGAGATATGACATAACTGCCAAGGATGGGTACTGGCTCCAAAAGGACAGGAGACTCGCTGGCAAATCGGTCGTGCATGCAGTCCAATGCTAGAGCGCAGCGCACGTGTATCCAGGTGATTTCGACGCGGCCGGCTCAGTCCGACAAAATGTGGGTGGATATAAGCACGGACAGAAAGTGGAGCGGGTGGTTTTATTGGAGCTGAATTACCGGAACCTGGTTTTCATCCCTACGACTATCAATAATGAGCTTGATTGGAGTGGCGTTAGGGGGAATCACCAACTGGAGCGATTCCGAGCTGGAGAGAGAGTTATGATCCTGTACTATGGACCAATTCAGGGCTCACTTGACCCGTACCAAGGCAGCATAGAAGCAGTCTGCAGAGCCCGTTGAGACCACTACTACCACCATCACTGAGGCACTTCTGTCCCAGGCCAAAGCTAGACCACGGCTTGCTGGAACGTGAGGGCTCATCCAGCAGCGACCAAAACGAGGGCACAATAGGCCTCGAGCGATGACAGCGATAACACTGCAGACCAGTCTAGAAATTGAACTCCAATAAATTCACACATATTGGAGAGATATCGCCCTTGAAAGCACCCGTGATAGGATGACCTCGATGGTGAGTCGTTGTATTGCTATAGAATGATTTTTCAATGTCGTCCTTCTGAGCGACGGCTCACTACCTTACTTATAAGCTGGGACAAAAACGGCCGGGAGCATGTTGTCTTTTAATTCTCGAACTCGCTTTGACGAACTTCTCTCTTTCTGCTGGTCATACTTTCTTCAAATGTAGTCCAAGTTGGACAGTCCCTCGACAAGTCATATCTGTTCAGTAAGATATCGAGATATCTGGATTGCGACGAATGAATTCGCTTAGCAGGCGTACAAGGCTTGGTGGATCTGGGCAGCAGAAGACAAGGACAACGCTTAGATCGACATCTTCTTCGGGAGTGGCATGGGGCTCGGCAAAACCGTTGTTGTATGAGGAGCCTACTCCCCAGGTAGAGCTGTCCACCGTCTGCAGCACTCAAGTCCAGCGAAACCATGAATGGGGAGCGTCACTCTAGGAATCTCGAGTTGGAACTGTTACGAATTACGACTGCATTACCAACAAGCTGGACAAGTGCGCTGTTGTCACCTGGTGTAAAATGCAAGTCCAATCGATGCAGCTACCTCGACCTAAATCCTGCTCCAGCTGTCCGCGGGTCACGAGCGACGTGCTCAGTACAGTCTAGACACCATTTCCACCGGGGGATTTCTGCATCGGTACTCGCACGCTGAGAAAGCTTGGAACTCACCACAACACATGGTCCCTGCTTACTGCGGCGCGAAATGTGCTCGACATGTGCTCGATTCGCACGGGTATTATGAAATGTACGGGCCCTGGGCCCAAAGCTGACCCTGGAACGTATTTAGACATGGGTCTTTTGGTTCTGGCCTACCAAGGAGAGCGTTGGGCCCTATCCTTAACGGTGATAAATCAGTTACCTATTTGTGGCCAGTTCTGGTATTATCGAGCTGAAATATGTATCTGAACAAGACATCTTATCGTCGGTTGTTTTTTCGATAAATTCAGTTTTTTTACACATACTCTTACAGCATCAAGTATCAATCTATCACACTAGAATTTCATCCTCTGTATCAGTTTTTCCAGAGTATCATCCAGCGCGCATGTAGATAGCTACTGGAAGGTCTGTCAAGGTCTTTCGTTTATTCCATTCAACAAAGATGAATTCTAAGGGATAATGTCAGCAAAAGAACAGCTCTACGCGAAAATAACTCGACAAAATCATAGTACAGAGCTCCCTATGCCGGCATCACGGCAACTTCCTCGGAGCCTACCATCTGTGTCTGGTAAAACTGCCCACTTTCAAAAGTGCGCCTACATATAAATCGGCGACAATGGACTTCCGTCCATCTCAACAAGCAAAGCAAAAACCCACCATAGTCGCTGAACGGCAAGTCAGATATGTCCCGCATACGCCAGAGGATCCTTGAGTTCTTTGCGCAATACCGCGGCAGGATTTTCACTGGCCGTCCGCAGCGCATGTCCAACACACCCGCCACAGGGCTAGCGGCGCTGCCCACCGAGGTGGCCGTAGAATGTATTTTTTACATGGACACGGCCACCCTCTGCGTGCTCCGCCTCACCTGCAAATCCTTCCGCGATCTCGTGCGCGAGACACTCCAAGCGCGGTGTCGAGAATCAGTCCTCCCGCCGCAGAGCACGTACGACAGGGTGATGGCCATCAGCGAGGACGGCACCCGACGCAGTAGCCGATATAGCTGGAGAAAGGGCCGTGTGAAGCAGCCGCTCGCTCGCCTGGTGGCCCATGGTCGGTGTGACGCTGTCCGGTTCTGTCTAGATGCGGGACTCAGTGCTAACGTCTACGACCTCAGTGCCCGACCACTGCTGCACATCGCCTCCTTGCACACCCAGATTGCCATGGCCCATCTGCTGCTGGAGCACGGGGCCGATCCGCACGCTACGGTGTCTCCCGCGCGCTACACGGCGCTGGACTACGTGCGCTGGATTCCGCTGTACGACGAATTTGAGCCGCCGGTCCCACTGGATGAAGACCTGCCGGCACAAGAGGACATGGTGCGGCTGCTTCTCGGGGCTGGGGCGCGGTACACCACCGAAAACGGGGAGGGGATCCTGCCCTTCCTCTGCGGGATGCGTGACTACCAAGCTCTTCTACGCCGGGCGATGCTCAACGGCACGTATCCCGAGCCCGAGGACATCGCGCGCCATTTGCTCCGGTTCATATACTGGCCCGAGGGGGTCCGGAAGATCGTCGAGGCCCTGCCGGAGGTGAAGTCCGCGGTTACTATCGACAGGTCGCGCAGGCGGGAGTCGCGCAGGTCGGCCATCCAACAGGCGATGATCGAACAACACATGCCGCTCGCCTTGGAGATGATCAAATGCGACATGCCGTTGAACCTGGGGGACTACAGGACCCAGTACCCCGAACTCTTCATAGCCGTGGATAATATCTACCATTGGAGGTTTCAGACGAACACGTATGACTGGCAGATTGTGCACGCCCTGCTCCGCCGGGATGAGATCCGCAGGGCTGGCTTCCTTCCCTGGGTTAACCAAGGCCCGAATCGTCACGAGGTCTTTCAATTCCCGCTGAACCATTATTTGCTGCAGCAAGACTGGCCCATGGTGGCGATGCTGTTGCGGATGAATCTTTAGTGAATTGTTCCTGCCTTTCCGCCGTCACGCTTACTTCGACATAGATGAAGCCGTTGCTCAATATCAGGAAAGTTAATTGTAATTTGGTTTTCGTATGCAGGGTCTTTCCAATCTTCATCGATGTAGTATTGTGGTAGACTTCCACTCATTATCACCTCTTCTTCGTCAGCTAAGGTATTGCGAAAGAGACTGCTCCTCGGCCGGGGCTAAAATCTCAATTCCGATATCAAACAGTATTTGCACTAGACTTTCGGCCATGCACAGATCAGACACATGATTACTAGCTGATTATATGTTGAAGAGCGCATCCCGCACAAGGGAGTGAATCAACCATATTCATCACCAAATAGAACTTAACAAGCAGGACATACACAGACCACCACAAAAACGTAACCATTTTCAGTAAATGATCTTATATCTACAGCAACCCATCCACCCTTGCTAACTCGAATGCACTCCTGACTTTCAGTCCCCTACGTAAGAGAGACCAATGCATGCCCGACAATGATACCATCAGCTCGGTCTGGATCCAAGTCAAATGCTAGCTTCCTCGTTGCAGTGGGGTCTGGACTTACGAATAACTGTACTGTACCCACGTGGTGTGCCCTGATACTGGTTCCATGTGCCTTCTGCGCCCAATCAGGCTATGATTCTTTTTGGAATCCAGGGTCTTCCAGGTATAAGACAGTGATGGCGCCTATCTTTAAAAAAAAATACAGGCTTTGCGTGCATTCGTTTAGACGCTCGCTCCGGCCAAATAGGGTCTATCACTGTCACTCCTTTTTTCTTTCTTTTCTATACCCTCTTTTATCATAGTCGTTCATTCCACACACACACACACACACACCATGCGCTTTGCCCCTCTCGCAGCGACGGTTGCGTCCCTGGGCGTGGCCAGTGCTGCCGCTATCAAGGCCAAGGACAACGCTCTGCGTGCCCGCGACACCTGCTCGGATGTGGTGTTCACCGGTGAGGTGTTGCACCTCTCCGTGAACATCATCGAGTACCCTGTCGTGGTCGATGTCGAGCTTGAGGAGGATGCCATTATCACCATCGGCAACACGATCCTTATCGATGCTACTCACGCACCCACCCATCTACACACCACCGTGATGGCTACGTCTACTTCTACTGTTACCAAGACGACCTCTACTGCTACTATTACTGCTGCTGGCGTTGACACTACAGCTGGATCTTCCTTTGGCTCTGGTTCCTCTTCCAACGAGGGCTCCGGAGTTGTTGCTGGCTCCGGTTCTTCGGACTCTGGTTCTTCCAACTTTGGCTCTTCTGGTTCGAGCTCCTCCGGCTCTGGTTCGTCTGGAGTCGTTGCTGGCTCCGGTTCTTCTGACTCTGGCCCCTCTGGCTCCAGCTCCAGCTACTCAACTTAGCCTGAGATTGAGGTGGCCAGGGAGCTGAAAGGAAGGGGGGTCCGGGAGTTCTCCCCCGGAATACTCTCATTTTTGCTCAGTTAGATTGAGGTGGCCAGGGAGCTGAAAGGAAGGGGGGTCCGGGGGTTCTCCCCCGGGACGTCTTTATTTTAGTATAAGTTTTACGGCGAAGGTTACTACTTATTGGTCTAATGAGATATCTAATGCTATTTATGTTTTTATCTTTGGTTTCTGGAGTAGGTGTTTGTGTTGAGGTTTTGGGTGAATGAATTGGGCTCTCAAGTTATAAGACTAAGTATATATTCTCGATACAGTCATTTTGGTAGAAACCGTCCAGAGGGATCGGTGGAGTTGAACGAGTCCTGTATACGAGCCGGTCGATTCCCCGGGCCCTCCCACCGACCATCGAAGTTGACAGGAGAGCAGCAAGCTCAAGATTAGCATATTGCACCCATTATCCTTCCAGAGACCAACCATGGCCGATAACTATTCTTTCTGATCGAACCCATCAGACTGATTCGTGGCGAAAGGCCTGAATACGAGCTAATCGATTCACAGCCCCTTCCTGGGGGTGTAAGTTGACAAGACATGATCCGCTCGTCTGCTTCCCGCTTGGATCTAGATCGGGGTCCATGAACGTTTATCCCCGGATTTGGATACCCGTTGAAAGTTTATCATTTGGGTCCGAGGAGGCGCAGATGACAGCCGCGATCGGCGGGGATCCATACCGTTGGCTTGGGTCCGCTCGGTAGAGTTATTTCCTACGCGGGAGTTAGGGCTGGGTCGGTGTGGTTGGACTCTTTTGGTTCCAGAGTGAGCAATTCTAGATATAATCTAACACCCTCATGGATTGGTTGAGCTGATTAAGATCGTAGTCTGGACTTTCCTTTCCATACCCCAGGTTAGCCCACCAAACAGGCTAGGAGCTCCAAGAGAAACGACGTGAAAGTCAAAGGTCCACTCGGGCCGGCCATTCTCCTCGGTCCTTCGATTGGAAGATCTGGTTTGTTGGACGGATTTGAGATACGATGTTGCTTCTGGCTGCACTATCTCTGGTACGAGGATCTTCTCTTCTGGAACTGGTCGCTTCTTAGGTAGTATGCGCGGTCTGGTTGTCTTTGGGGCAATTATATGTCACAGGGTGAGGGGCGTGAATTATGTAAAGAAGGTGTTTGAGGTCTTCTCAAGGGAACATTTTATGGAGCCTGTTTAAGAACTGGACGGGCTTGGAATGGGTAGTGCTTTCTGCTGTACGGTCAGGATGGTGATATGGGCTGGTCGTGGCGCGTTATGCCGATTTGGCAACGTCTCGGGGTCGTGGTAGCTACTTCGTATTAAGTACAGGGCCTGAGACTGATGCAGTGTATGTCTCGTTCGCTTCATGGTCATGCCAAGTTATTTATAAGTTGGGAGGTGTGAAGTCACCTGGTGTATTCTGTCAAAACGGCTGTGCTGGCACGCAGGTGTCTACGCTTGTTCCCGGTCCCGAATTAATAGTAACATTCTCGCTACCACCACAGGCTATTCACAAATCATACAGACGGTCGTTCTACCCTATCACGGCACTGAAGACTCCCAGCGTGAACGCCCGATGGAGACCAACGTGTCGCTGGCCCCACATCTCCCTTAGGTATCTCTCGGCACCACGGTTGAACTCCCGTCCTCGGGCATCAATCAAGGCAGGCTTGACACTCCAGCTGCGGACGCGCCGCTTGCAGTCGCAGTCTTGGCAGCCGAGGTCGGGGACGTTCTTCCACGCCCTCCAGTACTTATCCAACGGGTCCGAGAGAAAACACTTCCTAGCTCCGCAATCAGCACTCTTCACATCCAGGTCACAGCATTCGTTCTGCGGGCTGAGGAACAGCTTCGCTAGGGACCGCGGCGGCTGCTTCAGGATGAACCACGAGATCACGCTGTACTCATTCCGGGCGTCCCGGTGCCAGTCCTTCGGCCCGTGGCGCAGCAGCATCCGCTCCATCAGCTCCCGCAGCATGCGCAGGGCGGCGTGGAAGTCGATCTCGGTCTGCTCGTCCAACCAGCCCCGGAACTCCAGTCGGCGGCGGCCGATGTCGGCTTCCGTGTAGCCCCATTTCAAGACTGTGTACACGTGGTTGGTGTACTCTTCAAATGTCATCATCTGTCGCCGTTGCGGCGGCAGCTCGTCGTACTCGTCCAACATCTGGCCCAGCACGAAGAGCCGCCCGCTAACCACCGGAGCCAGGGGCTTCTTGCGCGGCTTGAGCCGCTCCGTCTCCCGTGCGATGTCAGCCATGTGGAACAGCACGTGCAGCCCTCGTTCCAGCCGTTGCGCCAGCCGCAATTCCGCGTCGAAGTCCATCTCCGTGTGGTCTTCGTCGCAGAACGGACCCCACACGGAGGGTACAAGATGTCGTGACAAGTCCCTGGCGATGTTATGGCGATGGAGAAAGCGGACCAGCGTGTGAATCGTCAACGGGGCTCGCTCCCCGGTCCAGGGACTCATGGCGAGGATGGGGTCGAAGGCGTCGATCCCATGGCATCGCATGAACCAGGTGCAGATATGCGGCTCGAGGATCTTGATGGTCTCGTATGTGGCCTTGTTCAGGCGACAGAGGGTGAGGATGGTGTTTACCTCGCCGCTGATGATGATGTGGAAGAGGACATCGGCCACAAAGCCGAAGGGGAGAGGTGCGCCTCCCCGCCTCATAGATGGAGATAGCATCTGTTTGACGAGGCGAATCAGCGTGGGGGATCTCCCTCGCACCTGCGGAGTGGGTGCTTGGCTGCGTATCGTTTTTCTGCGGAAGATCATCCCGACTTACCGTAGCAACTGCTGCTCTTCCAAAGTCTTTTCCCTCCCGGCTCTAGGCGATAAGGAGTGACATGAAATCCTTTATAAGTAATATTCAGGGAAGTCGCGCGGGTGGGGGAGACAGTTTGCCCAGGCTGTAAGGGGGGTTAATTGCCGTCTGGCGGATAACAATGCGTGGACGGTGTGACGCGTTGGCAGGTTACCAGTCGTGTGCTTGGCTGCAGCGATGCATCCGAAATGGCTGAGTATGCAGGGTGCAGGATGCAATCGCCGAACGACCGTAAGCTGACTGGTCCGCTTGGAGACTTATATAATACGTGGTGCCATGTCCAGTGCGGTCATTTTGCGAGGTGTTGTATGATGTCCAGAATAAAGATCGACCACGTTTCATGCGAAGCGAACAAGGAGAAGGGATGCCAGCACGGTCTAGTAGTATCATCGCCGGATCCTTTGAGACACACGTAGCAGGAATAGATCCAACTAGTGCTGTCTGGATGGGATAGCAAGGACACATCTGGGAGAGTAATCAAGTGTCTGATCATGGGATCGGCAATTTTGCTGATAGTGGTGTCAATAGTGCCAGGGGAAGACAGGAGGGGCAGGTCCGACATCGTCACGCGAGGAAGGTTGGCATCGCGTCTTGTCCATCTTGAGCGTATGTCAACTCTTGCAAGACAGCCAGACAGGGATGTGACGTTGTGATGTCCGAGACAGATGACGAGTCTCATCAAGTAATGGCAGAGTAGAAACGAATTGGAAGAACATCTCTCTTGTTCTCTCCGCACTTTCTGTTATCGGAGGTGGAGTCGACCCGACCGCGGCTAAACCCAATCCAGCCCAATCGGTCGGCATCAAAAATTTCTGGGACGATAACAAATCGTCACTCCGCAACAAGACGTGACAACCTTCGTTCCTCCTCTCTTCTTCGACGCCCGACGTTGTCTTTCCAGTCTGACTCCGTTGGATTGGACTCATCCTCAAATCAACAGCCTCCGTCAGGGTCTGCCGACCTCCCTCTGATGCCATTCCGCATATCGATTCTAGTCGCGCTTAACGCATGATTTCCTCCAAGCCCCTCCCACTCGCCGACGAGTGGACGGATCCCGATGCCTACGTCGAGGCCTTGATTTCCTTCGCTACCGAATCGGACATCTTTAGGCACCTCTGCGGCGGAGTGCATATCCTCGACTTCCTAACACGAGACCCGGATCTTTATACCTCCCTGCTACCGGAACACTGGCGCTCCTTTTTCGATCAGCATGATGTCCAGGACATTCTAGACCTGCTCCTCCGCGATGACCTACAGCCCCTCTTCGAACAACATCGGCGGCCGGCCGGAACGAGCAGCGAACAGGATACGGACGCAACAGGATGGCGGGGCGGTTCTCTGCCCCCGCTGGATTTTCTGGAATACATCCACCAGATCCGGCGCCTGAGCCTGGGACGAGACTTTACCCCGTCCCAGCCCGGGAATCCTGTGATCCCAAGGCATATTGCCGTCGGGATGAATGTGAAGAAGTACCATGAGGTGGCGCACTTCTCCAAGTACGTGGATAAGCTGTGCACTACGGTGGACCAACAACGGGGCGATGCGATCACGCACATTGTGGACTTTGGGTCTGGTCAGAGCTACCTCGGTCGGACGTTGGCCTCTGCGCCCTACCACCGACATATCGTGGCCATTGAGCGCAAGCATCAATTCATCAGTGGTGCGAAGGGCATGGACGTGCACGCCCGTCTGAAGGAAAAGAAAAAGGTCAACATGTACAACAAGAAAGCTGCCAAATGCAAGGTGTGCGACGAACCCGAGTCGCCTGCAGCGGTGGAGCCGCGCCCCAATGCAGGGGAGTCCAACAGTGCAGAACAGATGTCCTCGGAGGACGACCCGACCACCGCTACCGCCAACGAGGACGAGGAGGAGCTGGCCATGATCAATGTCTTCCGTGACGTCAGTCTTGCGCCCGGTGAGATCGGCTTCAAGCCTCATCGGAACGCGCCCAAGGCGGCTGTCGAGGAGGATGACCCAAACAAGCCGAGAGGCACGATGGACTATATCGAGCATGAGATCAAGGACGGCTATCTGGAGCCGATCATCAAAGATGTGATCGAGGCTCCCCTGCCTGTTGTCGAAACCGACGGCAAAATCGCAGAGGACAACTCGGTTGCGACCAGTGGCATCAAGGCGGACCAGAAGCCGGGGGACGCCAAGGTCATGGTTATCTCCCTGCACTCGTGCGGCAATCTCCTGCACCACGGTGTACGCTCCCTGACCCTGAACCCGTCGGTCAAGGCCATTGCTATGATCGGTTGCTGCTACAATCTCGTTACGGAACGCCTGGGCCCCGCGACCTACAAGCTCCCTATTCTCCGGTCTATGCATCCCCGCCTAACGCAGGATGCGGTCGCGTACGACCCCCATGGGTTCCCCATGTCCAAGCGCTTCGAGGACTACGAGCATGAGAGCGGAACCGGGGTGAAGCTGAACATCACAGCACGATCCATGTCCCTGCAGGCTCCTTACAATTGGGGCAGGAAAGACAGCGAGGACTTTTTCACTCGACACTTCTACCGCAGTCTGCTCCAGCGTATCCTTGTGGATCGCGGAGTCGTCTCCAAACCTAAGATCCCTGACAACCTCTACGGCGAATCCGATACACCCGAGGATGCAGGGAACCCCTTGATCGTGGGATCGCTGCGCAAGTCCGCCTTCGTCTCCTTTTCCGCCTACGCCACCGCTGCGGTAGCCAAACTGTCCCGTGATGCGCACTTTGGCGAGAAGGTGAAAGCCGGCATGGGCGATCTCACGGAAGAGGACCTGAACCGCTATGTGGAAAAATACTGGTACGCAAAGAAGAATCTCAGCGTGGTATGGAGCTTGATGGCGTTCAGTGCCGCGTTGGTTGAGGCCATCATCGTGGTGGACCGGTGGCAGTTCCTGCGCGAGCACGAATCCGTCCAGGATTGCTGGGTTGAACCTGTGTTTGACTACAAGGAGAGTCCTCGCAACCTGGCCGTCATTGGAATCAAGAAGTGACGAGCAGTCGGACTCCCCACATGTGATAGGTCTTCTCCAAAAGCCTGAGGCATCCTCTGGGGCGGGCTGCCGCTGTCAGAAAGCAAGGAATTGGGCAGCAGCAGCAGCAGTCTTCTTCCTGGCTCCGAGACAATTTGCCAGCCGGCAAGTCGGGCGCTTCATTTCCCGCCTGAATCAGTATCCTGGCAGCCTTCAACTGGTCTGATTGAAGCCGCGATGTGCACGCGAGCCTCGCAACAAGAGAAACCAAGCTTGGGCTTTCTCCACGTAGACATGATGTGACCACGACCAATAGACGATAGACGAGAGACGGATGGGAAAAGTCTAGCATAGCAGAATATGATTAGATCGTGCCGGAATCACACCGACAGCTAGAAAAGCGCTGCTGCTCGGTCTAGAAGCTGGCCATTTTGACCACATCCATTGTGCTTTCTCGCTTGAATAATGGTGATGCCTAGTCTTCTAGGCAGTCACAATTTTTACTGAGTCTATACGGAACAAGCGTGTGGGGCTAAGTAGAAAACAGTAAGAAGCCGACCGATCAGGGTCTACGAGGGATTGCACGATGAGAGGGTTTAAAGCAGAGACAATCAAGACTTTTTCAGGTTGAGACACAAGAAATGATAAATATCTGTTTTAGTGGGCGGCACCCGCGGGTTCCGAAAGTCAACAACAAGTCATCTCCGCCCAACTCTTTCCCCCCAATTCAGCAGCTCTTGCAACCAACCCACATCCTAATCAGGCACTTGATTCGACATTCCTAGTCGGTATGGACCATATGGAGGCCGAGGGCCCCGAGAGTGATGGGAAGGAGACACTTGGCAGACGTGCAGTAAGTCAGTCCCTCAGAGGTCACATGCTCGGAATGCTTACTTCGCGGTAGTGTGACCAATGTCGTCTACGAAAGGTACGAGACCACTAATGATCGAGCTATAACTTCATGCATGCAGCTCCTCGCTGTCCTGCAACCCAACCCTTGCATCCTTGACTGACGTCGCTTCGGTGTGTTGGTGTGGTTATCAGATACGCTGCGATAAGCGATCCCCGTGCTCTAATTGTCGCAGCTCGCAGATTATCTGTCGCTCGACCGGGGCAGGCCAGAAGCCGTCAGAGCCGCGCAAGCGGGTCTTGATCTCCAGTCAATAGTATGTTTAGACTGTGTCTCTGTGCTCATTGCGCATTCTGACCCACTTCGAGTGAAAGGAAGATTGACCTGATCGAGGAGCGCCTGGGGAGCATCGAAAACCTCCTGCGTGAACTGAGGTCGAACACTGCGACCACCGGCAGTGGTCCCGAGTCATACTACCATTCCACCCCGATCTCCAGCCGGATGAGTCCCTCAGCCACGGGCCATGCCTCGAGCGGTCCCGTGCCCGTGGAGGACCCCGAGGCGACCCCAGCTTTTGAGGGCAACTCGTCGCTCGCCGCGCACTCGGCCTACGCGAGCGAGTTCCTGGAGACGGCCGTCTCGCGCAGCGCGCTGCAGGTGTCTTCACCCACGATCCAGGCCGCCCTCTCCACCCTGAAGCAGATGGTCAGTATGCAAGACCATCAGGCTCACTCCCCGGCCCGCGAGATCCGCTTCCCCAATCAGAAGAGCATCCTGGGGTCCGGCATCCGGGACCTCGCCATGCCCCCTGTCCAGGTCGTTCTGTCCCTCCTCCGCAAATTCAAAGGTACCGCCCTATCTCTGTAATAGTGATATCCACCTCATCGCTCATCTCCAGCGCTAGAGAAACCGAACAGCTTGCAAGGCGTCTCTCCGTTCCTGACGTGCGAGCGGCTCATCGAGAAATGTCGCGAGGTCTACTTCGCCACCGACGAGTTCTCGGACGCGGCGTTCATCATTGTACACGGCGGGCTCTATTATGTCATCAGTGAATACATCACTACGGTCGAGGATCCCAAGACGCGCGAAGAGTTCCAGCGGTATCTCCGGCTGTGTCAGACGAATATTGAAACGGCGCTTGCCAACTTGAGTATCTGCATGCCGGCACGGGCGGAGTACGTCGAAGCACTGGCGATGGGGGTAAGGTTTTTTTCTTCAAGAAAAAAAGGGTATGGACTACTAACCTTGTGTAGGCGCTCTACGCGATTGAGATGTCGAAGCCGTCGTTCGCTTTGACGCTGACCTCGACGGCAGCCCGGCTCTGCCAGACTCTGGGGTATCATCGGACGCCCGCGACAGACCTGGACACAGAGAGCCTCCGCGGCCGCCAGTTGTTCTGGACGATCTACACCCTCGACAGAGCCATATCCTTACGACTGGGCCGGGCGTCGACGATCCAGGATTATGATATCACCATGCTCGGGCCGAACGAAATCACAGGGGCACAGGAGCCTTGGAACAGCATTTTCTCGATCTGGATCAAGTTCGCTACTCTTCAGGGGAAAGTGTATGAGAAGCTGTACAGTCCCGCGGCGTTGTCGCAGCCCGAGAATGAGAGGGCGGAACAGGCTCGCCAGCTGGCTGCGCAGGTGCTGGAAACTGTCGAGGAGCCGTTTGACGTATGTGTTGTGTTATCGGGCCTGGCCGGTTGGTGCGAAAGCTAAGCTAATCCTCCACAGCACATCCTGAACACCCAGAAGATCTCTCGCATGGACAGAATGTACTTATGGTCGGACAAGATCGCCAGGAAATCGGTTCTGACGCTGATCTACCGAGCGATTCCTCCCCCTCGAGACTCGCAGAGCACTTTCGTCATAGAATGTATTGCAACCGCTCGAGACGCACTCGAGTTACTGAAGGAAACCATGATCGAGGTCAAGGAGATGACCGAGAATATCCAGGCGTCTTATCTACACTGGTACGTTAGACTCTCGGTAGACGGCGTTTATGTGTCTATGCTCACGCAGCCATAACAGGACGGTTCTCTACGCTCCCTTCGTGCCCTTCGTGGTCTTGTTCTGCCACACGATAGCGACGTCCTCGTGGGAGGACCTGAACCGCCTTGAGGAATTTGTTCTTTGCGTCCAGCCCAACTGTTTCCTTTCGGAGGCCATCGCCAAGCTGTACCGCCTGTGTCAGGTGCTCAGCAATGTCGCCAGGCTGTACATCGAGGCCAAGGCGCAGGCGCAGGCGCGCGAGGATCGGAACCTTGCGTCCGTGGGGCAGGAATTCGATGTCTATCTGAGCGCGCTAGGGCTTGCGCCTGCGGCGGCCCATGATGGCGATGCGGGCTGGACCTCGGTGCCTACTACGACTGCTGCTGCTGCTGGGGCAGGGGCAGGGGCTGTGCCCGGGGCGATAAGGTCCGGGAACGACGGACACTACGCAGAGGCTCCGATGCCGCAGACGGATCAACTGGGAAATTGGTTCTCGGGCAATCAGCACATGATGGGATTGTTGGAGGAGGATCTGTCTGTTTTCGATCCTTCGTGGACAGGATGAATGTATCCATCGCCTGGGGACATTGTCCTGGACTCAATTTCGATTGGGGATTACACCATCTCGCTAGCCACATAAACTTCACCGAACTACCAAGTGTATATCCCGGTCCGCGCCTCACCATGTGGAGACTCAGATACACTTCCCACCATCGACAATCATCTCCGCGCCATTGATGAAACTCCCCTCGTCACTCGCCAGGTACAAGCACATATTGGCGACGTCGTCGACATGCGTCAATCGGCCCAGGGGCACATTCCCGATGAACTTCTCGCGGTTCTCGGGAGTATCCGGCATGCCTGTGAACATGGCGAACAGGCCCGTCCCAGACAGCAGAGGCGAGACGGTGTTGACGCGTATATTGTGCGGGCCGTACTCCGCCGCGAGGCCTTTTGTTGCCTGCACCGTCGCATCACATCACATCACATCAGCATGGCCACAAACCACCACTACCCCCACCACAAACCTGGTACCTAGTACCAGAAATAGAATGACCTACATTCGACACCGCCCCCTTGGAAGCATTATACCACACCAACCCAGGCCGCGGCCTACTCGCCCCCGTCGACGAGATATTAATCATCGACCCCCCGCCGTCGCCTTGCTCAAGCACTTGCGCCACGAACACCTGACTTCCGAGGAAGATACTCTTGACGTTGACGTTGAACACGCGCTCCCATTCCTCCTCCGTGACCTCCGCCGTTGGCTTTCCTCATACCATCTAGTTAGCCAATCGCACCCAACCAACCCTCCATCCAGCTCAACAAAACCCCGAAGGGAGAATGGATAGGATACTTTATTCCGATACGTCGTCCCCGCATTATTAACCAGCACATCCACGCGCCCGAACTTTCGGACGGTGACATCCACCACCCGCTTCCAATCCTCCGCGACCGTCACGTCGACTCGCTCGAAGTGTATCGGTGATGACGGCTCTAAGGTGGGAGGAGCATTCAGGTCGGCGATCACGACGGAGGCGCCTTCGTTGCTGAAGCGAGAGGCGATCGCGGCGCCGAAGCCGGAACTTCCTCCTTTTTGTTTTTCTCGGGCTTAGCTTTGTTCTCCTGGTTGGGGGATGATTGTGGGGTGGTTTTGGGACGAAAGAAGTGAATGGATGGGGGTGATGACGAACCGGTTATGATGGCTACTTTGTCTTTTAGGCGGGTTCCTTGTGACATCGCTGTTGTTGGATGGAGGTTGTTAGTTTGGTTCAGTGGACTGTGCTCTGTGTCAGCGGTGGTGGTGTTGTGGGGTGGGAGGTGGGTGGGTGGGTGGGTTGCAGATTATTGTACGTATGTATAGATGTATGGATGGATATATCACCTTTGTTCTCGTTGCTGTCTTTCTTAAGTTTCGGGGGTATCTCTCTGTAATTCCGATTCTGGTCGAGTGGGCAGTTGAGTTGATGAGTTGGTAGATAGATGAAGGGGTTCTACCCGAGGAGGACGTGGTTAATATAGCGACGCCTTACTTCCTCTCCATATATGTATCTGTGGTTACTTTACCCCGCTTGGAGGTGGGACGGTTCTACCTTATGTCTACGGGGCTCGGTCCGGGGTAGATGCTGGTTGAAGGTGGGGTAAGAGGGGTTCGGGTTGCCCTGATCGCATCCTTGGGTTCGGAGGAAGTGCGGGACTCTCGACTCGCGCTTGAGATATACTTTTGGTTGAACTGAAGGTGGTTTAGGATTTTGTTTTCCTTGGGGTGCTGGCTTTTATGCTTGGTTTATCCTGATTAGAGTAACTGGGATTATCGGTTGCCGTATACGGGTTATCGAAGGGTGGGTAAGGTCCGGTAGGTGGTGAAAGAAGGTTAATCAAGACATTCTTATTTATAGTAACTAGCTTCTTCAGGCGATGGTTATTCTCAGGTGGAAGGATATGATTCTAGGTAAAAGGTATTATGCTGGTATCAAGTAGTAGTAGTGGACTATACCACCACGAAGTGCAAAGCAAGATCAATATCCAATCATAGGGGATGCATAGCATAGTATAAATACAGATAGGTGTAGTATAACAGCAGTAAGAATAACATCTAGATTCCGGTAAAATCATCCATCCGCGAACGTGATGGCCCGCTCCTTCCGCAGCGTCGGCTCATCATCCTCCCCCTCCCTCCCACAACCCTCGGCAGACCGCTTCGCACTCGCGTCCAAACACCGGATCATACTCTCGCACAACCGATGCAGCACCCACTCCGGCTCTGTCTGGCTGGCGAGCATGGGGCTCGTCGCACCGATCCAGTCCCAGTTCAGCACGCCGTACTCGTCCTCCTGCAGCTCGACCCCCGATGAACCCGGGTCCGTCGCTCGGATCAGCCGCGTGAACTCGACCCATTCCTCGTACGTGTACTGCTTCGGTTGGCCGTTGAGTGCGTCGCGGGTGGTGCGCTGGATCGCGAGGGCGAGTTGCTGTGCGAGTTGGAGGCCGGTTGGAGTTGAGTTGGGGTCGTCGGCGAGGGTATTGAGGGTTGTTTGTTGTTGGGGGTCGCCGTCCTGGTGGCTTGTGCTCGGGAACAATGCCTTGGCGCCCGTTTCCGCGTCCCCATCTCCAGCGGCAGGCCCAACGGGAAAGCCCTCGGCGAGGCGTTTGTGCTCCTCGCGGTGTTTGAGCGCCGTGTACAGCGGCGGGATCTTGCGGACGAATTTGGCGTAGCGGCCCGACTGTGGCAGCACGGTCCAGTCGGCGGCGATGTCGGTGGCGTGTTTGAAGGCCGCGACGATGGTGTCGCTCATCTCGGAGATCAGGGTCGTCATCGTCGGCACGGCGACCAGCGACCACACGATGAAGAACGGCTTGGCCGCGTTCGTCGACGGCGTGATGTCGCCGTACCCGATCGTCAGCAGCGAGCAGAATCCGTAGTACAGCGCTTCGAAGTACGTGATGTCCTCCATCTTCCAGAACGCCACCGCCCCGATCGTCCACACGATCCCGAACATGATCACGCTCAGCACCAGGTTGTACCATCGTCGGAAGAACAGCGTCTCCCGCTGGATCGCCCGCATCGCGTCGAATCGGTCCTTCTCCTCTTTCATTACTACCGGTCTGGGGCGGCCCATTATGGATAGGGCGCCGATCGTGCTTCGTATCGGCCGGCCGGAGTGTCGCGGTTTGTACTCGAGCTGAGATCCTACTCCCGGTTCAACGGACACGGAACGGTCGACTGTTGCCTGGCGTTTGCGCTCCACGTGCTTGCGGATGACCTGTTTGTACTGGATGTCGTGCGCGAATTGCAGCACGCTGTTGACCACCAGACCCAGGATAATCATGCCCATGACCGCATACGGGAAGACGAGGCCCCTGGCCACAGGCGTCGTAGGAGTGATGTCGCCATATCCTAATGTAAGGATCGTGACATCAGAAAAATATAGCGCGTCTGCGAACGATATGCCTATCACATTGCTGAAGATCGCAGCCCCGATGATCAGCCAGACCACGAAGGCGGTCGTCTGCAGGATGAGCGTGCGCTGGCCGTCGGTCAGAGCGAAATACTGCGGATAGTGGCCCAGCACATATCCCAGCATGTTGATCATCAGTATCACACCGAGTATGAAATAGAGCACCGCGGCGATGACCGCACTCCAGTACGCCTGCGAGTACGTCTGATCGGGGGGCACGGGCGGCGCGTAGATATGCATCGCAGCCGTGATGCCGATCAGAATCGACGTCGAAAGGAACCAGAGGACAATCGAGACCGGCAAGGCGATAATGTACCGCACGGTCCGGGTGAAATTGAACAACAGGAACAAATTCCCTGCCAAGCCGCAGGCCAGCGACGTCGAGTTCAAAGCTATACACCTATTCAGGTTAGCGTCGCATGCTTGATGATATGATTCCCGCGAGCGTGAAGATATAAGGTTTACTACCATCGTGGGTCTGCCAAGGGTTTCTGGATGGGCTGCCCGAACGAATCGGTCTTGGTTAGAAGTGTCACCTTCCAGGAGGAAACTAGCGCCACTATCGACATGACATTCGCCAGGGGCGCCGTGGTCGCAGCAATCAGCGGGATTGCGGTCGATGCGATCCACCAGTTTTGCGGCTCGTCGTCGTCGGCGGGCCTCAGGTGGAATGGACTTTGGAGTCGCGCGCCGAACGAGCTCTTCGGTTGAGCGTGGGCGCTTGACGCGCGATCTGCCATGATTGCTTTGTTTAGGAGACTAGGACACACCCGCATTTTGGACGGAGGGACCCGGAATAGTCCTGCGGGATCAGAAATGTAGTTTCATGGTGTTGGAATTAAGAATAGAAGGATCGTTTTATTGAAAGGCACCTCCGTTGCATGGTAATATAAACCCATGCAGAAATCGACGGCAATAGTCGATGGACCTAGAAAGTGGACACCATAGGATATCACTATTGGTTGTGAGGGATGGAAATGAGTTCCTTGTTTTGAATTGTCGGGATGAAGTGATGACGAAGAAGCTTAACCCCGTGACCCACCAGCCCTGATAGCTTGCCCTACAATCCAGCCTCTTTGGGACGTGATGTCATTCCATTGTTGACATGATAGCCTCAGGACAACACAAGTAGATTAATACACCATCTGATGCGCGCTCATGAAAGTGCTCTGGGTACTGCCTCACAAAGTACCTCCACCCTGGCAATTTCTCATCTTCGGCAAGCAGCTGGATGGAGAGCAAGCAATGCGCCCTCGTGATATCCAGCATCCTGAAACAGTAGCATCTCCTCACACAACTCCTGCGCCACGGGCGGCGGCTTAACGACTTGCGGGAAGTACACCTTTCTGAATTCTTGTTCATGTTCTCCATGCCATTCATGCTAGTTCTCAGAATATGGCCATAGCATTCGGCGGTGAGGACACTCCCCCGGGCATATTCAAAGGTGCAGAGGTGACGAAGAACGTCCAGCGCTGCAGCTCTTCGCATGTGCGTGCCAACGCCTCGAGGTCGAAGAGCTCTCCTATAGACAGTTAGCCCTAGGTCTTGCTTTCGAGCAATATCATGCTCTCGACTTACCGATCGGCATGCCCCAGCCTGCAAGGACGTATTCATGGAGAAATATATCAGACGACTGCGGTGGATAGACCTGTCCAACGTCAGAGGAAGAGCCGTATGAGCCCCTGATCATGATATGGTATCTGTGTCCTTACCTCCCAACTGATCGCATCGCTCGCAATGGCTGCGAATCCTGTATCCCATAGCCAACGAAGCACGTCAACGGTGGCCTCGACACCTGCGTGCTGCGGGTTCGCATCGTCGGCGTATTGCTGCTTCTGAGCGCGCGTCATGACTGTATCCCATTCTCTGGTGACTCCTATCCGGACGAAGAGGATGTCTCCTCTGTGGAACACGATATCGCATTCGTTGGCGATTTGTAAGATGTCGCGTAGCTTGACTTGATGGTTTGAGAACGTGCTATACTGTATACCGCGCTTCTCGGCCCATGTCGCGTAGTCGATGAGTACTCCACGACCTGTCTGGAATTTAGTCCAGATTGTTTGGGGAAAGAAGGGTTAGTGGGGCTAACAGCCTACCAGCCAAGCCCTCGCGTGCCCAGTGCTGCATGCCTATCCGGTCATTATTCCGATCATTGATCTCTTCCGCCGTTGTGCCGCCGTAGAAAACGCGCTCGGATCGGCCCGGGACTTTCTGCGAGAAGTGTCGTAGGCCATCCCACTGGCTGCTTTGCTCTGTTGGGGTATTAGCTTATGAGGAAGACGGCGGGTTGCTCTCTATCTTACGAGGATTCATCGTATAGATGTCGTCAAAGGCCACACCGTCCAGCAAAGGGACGATGCGGTGATGGCATGGTTGGCGATTCAGATTCGGATAATCTAGTTTAGTCAATTCCCAGGCCATGGTCACCCGTCGACCGGTTTTGATCTCCGTTGCTGCGGCCGCGGCAACTACTTCGGGGGTCAACATGGTGAGCTTTCCCAGGCCTTCTTCTCGACTTCCGGGCACTCCCATCCAAACTTGCTTCGGGTTTGGGAGCTGGTCGAATGGTGTGTCGAAGAGTGATTGTTTGTTCGTCATGGTTGCGGGTTGCTGTGCTTGAAGTCGTGTAGATTTTGCAAAGAGATAATATGCACTAGAGGTAGTGGGCTGTACAAAGATTCTTCAGGCTGAAAACCAGTGCAGTCATAGGAGGTACTAGTCGCTTAGACCTATTCAACGATAAAGATTACCCCGTCAAAAGTGCATGTGAGGCGTTAATCAGAGACAGGATGCGCCAGTGGCAACGTGGTCTGTGGAACACCAAAGGTTCGTGTTGAAGTTGGACTTGAAGATCCTTCAGCTGAAGGGGACAAATAGAGCGGGGGTGACAATGCGGGGGATCAGCACGAGGCAGCACTTACCCATGCGTCTCAACTCTCGCATATGCTTTCTACATGGGTGCAGCGAAACGACTACAATGAAATTGAATCAATCCGAGTGATTAGTACGAGACCTTGGCCTCTAAGCAAGGGACTCATACGCAGCTCAAGCTGTCGGCAACTCATCCACCGCCGAGGTTTGCATGGAGCAAGGATATCCCCACCACACCAGGCAGAGAAAGCAGTGCGCTCTCTAGTTAAGACTGGAGCACCTGTGTGTGACCATCCCACATTAGCTGTCGTTTGTGCAGGGTAGACTGCATATCTTATTTACCAAGCATTCCTCGGTCGCTCACTCCTTGTTATGTGGCTGGCGAACCGAGCTGCTGCGTACTGGCAACTTCTGACCCTCAAACAATCCTTGAACACTCAATCATTGAGCACCAAATCGATACCTCACTATGGGTACCTTCGGATCGCAGACGAGTGCCTACAACAGGCTAGTTACAGTCTTCGTCGCTGTAGGGTCGATGGTAAGATTTTGGTTTCTAGCCACGGTACTCACTCGAACTGATCCATCGCTGTGAAGACATACGGCTACTGCTCCTCGATCATCTCGAGTACCATCGGCCAGCCAGGATGGTATACCTATTTCAACCTTCCACAAGAGGGCCAGCCCGGATACGCATCGACCACAACATCCGCCATATCGACAGCCAACGGTATATACAGCGCCGGAGGTGCCGTCGGATGTCTTCTCGTCATGTGGTCTTGCGACTTCTTTGGCCGAAAGCGTAGCATTCAGCTGGGCGCTTTCCTTGCCATGTTTGGCGGGGCGCTCCAAGGGGGAGCCAACTCTCTCAGGTGTGCCCTCCACTGTTCAGTCTATTCCTATCCAGATATCTGACCTGTCCTCAGTATGTTTCAGGCAGGACGTTTCATCTGTGGCCTCGGAATCGGTATCTTGGTGACTGTCTGCCCCATGTACCTGTCCGAGATATCGAGCGCTTTCCGTCGCGGGTGGCTGGTCGGCCACCATGCCATCTTCCTGGTCTTTGGATACATGCTTGCCGGCTGGGTTGGATATGCGTGCTACTTTGCGGAAGATCAAGCAGGGACTTTTGGGTGGCGGTTTCCGCTCTGTCTGCAGTGTCTCGCACCGTTGATCCTGCTTGTTGGCTCGCCGTGGGTTCCTCGTTCTCCGCGCTGGCTGATCAGCAAGGGCAAGCATCAAGAGGCACAATTAATCCTAGAGCGACTGCGCAAGTCTCCGGATGATCCCGACGATCTTGTCGCCAGGGAAGAGTATTACCAGACTGCCGAACAGATTCGGCTGGAGAGGGAACGATTATCGGCCTACGGCAGTGCTTGGAAAGCCGTCGTCAAGAGAAAGTCGTATCGGAAACGTATGATTATTGGGTTCCTGACTCAATGGGGGGCAGAGTTTGGTGGACCTCTGATTATCGTATGTTGCAAGTCCACCGCGATCAATTATCGGCGGCTCACAATTACCACAGAACAACTACGCCGTGATCTTGTATACCAATCTGGGAATGACAGGCGGCATGCCCTTGCTTCTCAGTGCAGTGTGGCTCACAACAGCGGGTAAGTGTATCTCTCCATGCGCAAGGAGGCGCTAACGCCCGCCCACTTTCTAGGGATTATCTATAACCCCCTTGGGGCTTGGCTTCACGACAAAATCAACTCCCGGCGGAAGATGTATATCACTGGCTTTGTGGGGATCATCATCACCACATCCTGCTTGGCCGCCATGACAGCCGAGTATGCCGGGACCAAGAACCGGGTTGGGAATGGGTTTGGCATTTTCTTCATCTACCTCTATCTGGCCTTCCAAGGGTAAACGCCCCTCAACTCACCACAGAGTGCTGTATTGACTCTGCAACAGAACCTTCTGTGATACCACCATGTATCTCTACGTGTCTGAGATATTCCCAACCGAGATCCGGCCAATCGGCATGGGCTTCTCATTATTTGGACAATTCGCAGGTCAGTAGTAATTTGATAACGACCTGACGCAAGATAGCTCAATGAACAGCGCAGCTACACTGATATTGCTTGAGACAGCCCCAATGGGCTTCAATAATGTCGGGTGGAAGTACTACCTGGTGATCATCTGCTGGTCTGCCTTTTTCATTCCAGGTAGGTGGTACTGGGCCTTCATGGTTGGAAATCCGGCGTTTTTGCACGTCCACTGACGGAGCTTCTAGTGATCTATTTCTTTTTCCCGGAGACTGCCCGCCTGACCCTGGAGGAAGTGGCTCAGAACTTTGGCGAAGAGGTTGCTGTCCGTCTTACGGATGCCACGGATGAAGAGAAGGCACGGCTAGCACGGGATCTCGCTCACTCCTCTCAGCCGTCCGGTGCAAAGAGAGGACGTGAGACCGTTGAAAGTCCCTCCAGCCATGGAGTTTAGCCAGGATCATCTTCAGCTAAGTATGCATGATGTACATGGACGAGATTGCGGAGAATCACTATCGTCAGGCTCGGTTGGTAACTCAGCGTTCCTCAGGAGGCTACCTATTGTGGAGACCTCGACTAGTCTTGAGGGATCTGAACCAATGAGATGACAGGAAGCGCGACGACGAGTTGACCGAGCGTCGGGTGGATTGGTGAGTTGGAGCGAATTGATCGGTGGGACGAACATGGTCGGGGAGGGGGAGCTTGCTGTAAGATGCTAGAGGTGGTCGAAGCTTTGTTGCTTTGCTCTCTAGGTGTGGGGTGTAGTCGATGAAGACACTCAATCTGAGGGAACGGGGTCTCGGATGACACGGTTGACACTTGAGCGAGTGAATGAATCAGATATAGAAATGCGGTCCTCAGGACTCCTCAGGCACCACTAAGCCCCCAGCTGGGTTGTTGGCACCAATCAGATGCTCCAGGCCCGCAACTGCCAGACACTGGCCACAACGCTAGACCTATCAGGGCCAAGTGCGACAGTCAAGCGAGCCAGTCAGCAAGGCAGACAGCTGAGAGGCGGCGAGGCGGGCGTCTCAGCCCAGCGTCTGGAAGTGGGAATTGGAGAGAATGGCAGCTTTCATTGACCCCCAATTCTCTTGCAGTTCTCCCCCCGCTAGTTCCCCCATCTATCTATTAGTGTTCTCCCCATCCATTCATTCATTTCATCCATTCCTCCATCTCCCTCCCTCCCTCTCTCTCTCTCTTCTATCCTTCCCCTTCCTGCTCTCTTTCTCTTCCTTCCTCTTCCTCTCTATCTACCTCTACCTCTTTCTTTAACCCCCCTTATCTCTTGCTTGCTCCCTTCTCGTACCTCCTCCCAATTTCAGCCTCCTTCGCCCCCCTCAGCCTTGTCTCTTCATTTCTATCATCTTCCCTTTTTATCTCTCGCCGTCTTCCCCGGCGACTAATTCCCACCTATCTCTATCGTCCACCTGGGCTACTTTCTTTTCTTCCTTTTTCTAGACCTTTAATCCGTGTGTCCTCATCAGTATTTGCTTTCTTCTTAACTACGAGACTTGATCCCGACTTGGACTCCGACTTGGCCGGGCAAAAGTTTCTTGGACGCTCTCTCTGCCTGAGGCATTCATCCGGACCACTCACTGGCCTTCCCGATTAGGCTCCGAAGGAAAGCCACGGAAAGAAAAAAAAACACATTAGAAAAAAAAGAAGAAAAAAAACAAGGCGGCCAAAACACGCGCCGAGAGCCGAAGAAACGAATCACACCCGGCGTTGAGACTCGTTTCCTCACTTCATCCTCTCTTCCTCTCTCTCTCTCTCTCTTGCCTTTCTCTCTTTTCACCGTCCCAAGTGCGCGGAATCCCTATCAACCCCAGAAAAACACAAAAAAGAAAAAGCGTCAGAGAAAAGAAAAAGAAGGGATTCGAAATAAACCGGTTATCATACTTCAATTTGGAGCCTGAAAGAAAGCTTGCCTTATTCATCGGTCGATCTCCCCTTGACAACTACCCAAAAGTCTTGCTTGCATCCCTTACGTCCCCTCTCGTCACCATCGCAGTGCTCTGTTTTGTGTCTCAGGGTTCTTGGACGGACAATCCAGGCTCGAGTCTTCTCTGCATTGCATCGTTGTGTCGAGTCTTTTTTCTTCTTACGCCTACCAGGGAGTTGCAGAGCATCTCCCGTCGGTTCACCATCACCGGTTCTTTAATCACAGACTTATCCTTCACTTCGCTCCCCGTTGCTCGAGCCTACTACTCTTTTGCTCCGGTCCGCGTCTACTCTCCGCCTTTCTCTCGTCGTCATCCTTCCAAACCACCAGCATCGATTAATCAACGCTGACGTCCGCCTCTTTGCCTTCTTGTACACCTGATTCCTAATCACTCTTTGCCGTCTGGTGCCAGTCTATAGAGGGGCGTCGACTTGCATTTCTTCCTGTATTGTGCAGGTAAGCTGGCGTCGAGTCGGTCGCTCGCACCATTTGACTAATAGTTGGAAGAGCTCGCTTCGGTCTTTGATCCTAGGAACTCGGGATTATCGTTACCATTCGTTGCCTATCGACCTTACGCCCTCGGTTAATTTGTGCGTCTCGTTTTCGTCGAAGCCTCATAATCCTTTAATACACCAAGGCTATTCCGAGTTGCTGATTCACCAGCAACCCCTTATCTTCGTCTATTGCACATATATTGCTGTACACTTCATCATCTACAATCACGAGTATGGACGCTGGCGGTCTTGCTCAAATGAGCTACAACTCGTCTTTCAATAATGGCGGTTCCCTGGGGGTCCCCGGGGCCAGCTTCGGCTCACGGCGGAAGGGTTCCCATATCAAGCGACTGAGCGTGCCTCCGCCGCACATCGCGACTATCGATGAATCTCAGCCCTCTGCACCGGTCCCGACCCCACGCACCAGCCGTTCTCATCTTCTGGCGGGACTGAGGACCGCACCCAAGTCCGCGACTGTGCCGTCCGCAGTTCAGCGCCAGCAGCACCTGGGCTACGAAGGAGATCGGTATGGCAGCCAATCGAACCGATCTACGGAGCGTGTCCCCCAAACCGCTATGGGAACCGGTTTCCCACGCCACGCGTTGGCCACGAACCAGAATGTGGACATGAACACGGGTCGTCCTATGTACACTTTGCCGGAGCAGGTGCTCGCACCTCCGGCTATTGACATCGCTGGCGATATGCCAATGGACGATAACCTGTATGCGGAATTAATGTCGACCAACTTGTTCCTGGCAGCCCAGCAACAGCGCCTGCAGCAGCAACTGATTAGTGTCACTGCCGCCGCCCAGCAGTTCCAGGGCATGAGCTTGGGTGGACCCATGGCTCAGCAGCAACAGGAGTACCCTCAGCTTTCGGTTCCCAGCATGAGCTTCTATCAGCAACAGCTGCAACAGGGTGTCCAGCCGGTTGTGCAGCCGGTGCCCGGCCAGCCTGGACTTTTCTCGGTTTACAATCCCTTGACCGGTCAGCAAAACTTTATCTATGACAATACCTATCAGCAGGAAAGCTCCACTTCTCCCTACCAGGAGGAAGAGCCTCTGTTCCCATCCGCCACGCAGGTGCCTACCTTCAGAGCCGAGGTCTCTCCACCCGAGTCTCACCAGTCGCCCGTCAGCGTCGGTCAGCCAGTGTCTCCTCCGCGCTCGAGCCCCTCCCCGCCGCAGGAGGTCACCCCTCTGCCACCTCCGTCAATCAATGCTTTCCGTCGGGGCCACAAGAAGAGCTCGTCTTTCAGCCCTGCGCTGAAGCTGCCCATTGACACCATCAAAGCCAACAGCCAGATGGTGGCTCCTGCTCCCAAGACCGCTGCCTTGCCTCAAACCCCGGCGACGGGAACCTTCGGCCCTGGCCAAGCTCGTGCCGGCGAGCACCCTACTCGTCAACCCCGTGGTCCTCCTTCTCTGGAAGAGCTGGTCGCCAAACCCACCTCCAAGTTCGAAGGCAGCAAGAACTTCGCCACCCGTCAGCGACGCCGGGCCGTCCACAATTTGGTGCGTGCCGGCATCGAACGACGCGGTGATACCCGGAGCTTCGGTTGCCACAGCAGTGGTGGTACCAACACCCCCGCAAGTGAGAAGGAGTTCACTTTTTCGGATGGAGATGATGCCACTGTGCGTAGTGGTAGTCTCTCCAGCAAGCCTAGTCTGGGTAGTCTCCGCGCAGCTGCCAATGGCGCCATCGGTTCCGAGAGGAAGGAAAGATCTTCTCGCGAGCGCCGATCGCAAGATAGCCCGTACAACACGACCCCTATCAGCGAGGACGGCGGGTTCTTCGGAGGAAAATTTGCGGAGGTTCGAGCGGATCAGGGCTCTCCTCGAGCGGGATCCCCATCGGTTGCTGCTGTCGTTGCTGGCCAGAAGACGGTAGCTCAGGGTCAGGAACGGCGCAAGACTCCGATGCTTGTGCTGTCCAGCGCTGAGAAGCGTAAGACCCCCACCATCATGTAATGTGAACGCCGTACATAATGTGATTTTGACATGCGCCACGGGATGTGCCAAGCTTGGATGATTTGCTTATTTTTTTTTTTTCCTCTCTGGGGTGTTTTGAAGCATGTTGACTCTATTATTTTCCTGGTTCCGAAGACAAGATGCTTAATTTCTGTGATGTCAAATCCTGACAGAAATGGTCCTGAGCGATCTTTCTGTCTATGTTCTTTTCTCTCTGTGCTTGGACACACGACCGGGTTTGCAGGAGGGTTGGATTAGTGTCTTCTAGTCCACCTAACCTGCAATCTTGCTCCCCCCATATGAAATGTGACTTATGTTTTATCTTTTTCTTATCATTCCTTTCTCCACTTTCTACAAGCTGAACAAATTGATGAAGCTCCCCAAGTGGGCTGCTGAACACTTAAATCATGTGTTCCTTCCTTTTCTTCTTACGCTTTGCTTTATCCTTTCCTTCGCTTTCGGGTGTCGGCTTTCCGGGTGGTTCATTTCGTTGCATCCAGTATTTACCTAGGTCTATGCTCCAGGGAGTGCAATGCGGAACCACATGCGAGAGCCGCCAAATGGACTCAAGCCGACGGACTACATCTGGTTATGTAGCCTTCGCTGGGATCGCTGGGGATAATTAGCTAGTATTAGATAACTGATAAATTGAATCGGAAGAATCGAGAATCTTCCAACTTGCGCAACTTTCTGCCTTCCTAGACTGTGTGTATAGTGTTTCTTGGGGGTTATCAGCAGAATCGTCTAGTATCTCAGTGTCTACAAGAGAAGTACCAGCAGCTTTCATGAACCCCCATCTTCTCTCTCTCCCTCTCTCCAGAATTAAGTATAAATTTGACTCTAAGAAACCGCTGATAGAGATGCCAATTAGCACGACCAGCAGAAACCTTCCCTCCAAATAGCGCGACGTACTTCCTACATTCATTACCCTCTTAATCGGACCCGAAAGAATATATCTACATCGGTTGGTTCCCGGTGGTGGGCGCGGATTCTAGGTGTATATTGCCTGGATGTATATTGCCTGGATGTATGTTATTTGTCTGAATGTATGTATGCCTCTATATCTATCCCCGGTGGTCTGCTAGATCAATCGATCGATCATTTACTTACTCATACCGGTACAGTACCTGCCCGTAGCCAGGGGGTAAAGTAGGGGCCAGGCAATTGACGTCATGGCGGTTGCGGGTCTTCGGGCTTGAATTACTGGGCGGAAACTAAGCAGGTAGGTAGGTAGGTAGGTAGGTAGGGACAGTAAGTAAGTAAGTAGATCACGCCACTCTCGCCTCGCTTTCGCCTAGGGGAGGGAAGGGGAGATTCCTCCCTTACGGCGGGAGTGGTTATGTGGATTGGGTGGCGTCGGTTCGGTTCTAATTATACTTTCCTCGGGCCTTAATCTGGGATCGATTGCGGGGTGGCAGGGGGGGGAATTCTGGGTGTTTCTGATTAGGTTTCTTGTGGGATATAGGGCAATATGCTTGAATTCACTTTTATGCTTCTTACTGTGAGCGATAATGGTAGTGGATACGCAGGTCGATGTAAGCATCTAGTGTTGATCCGAGATGAGACAACAGAAATGAAGATTTGACGGAGATATGAAATAAAGATATATGAATACTGCTTTTGATGAATTAAAACCACGCAGCTGGGAAGGAAGCATGCAGATATAATCTCATCATTGCTAAACTACCCAGAGTCGATCACAGACACAGACTGTAAAGAGGGAAATCAAAAGAGTGAGTGAGTTTACCGACAGATGCAAGAAGACCAGCGGCAACAACAACACAAAAAAGAGAGCTTAGAGTCAGAACTATATAGATAGCGACATCATGCGAAACAATTCACGCTGAAACAACTCGACACATTCGCTTTCGTGACGGCAATGCTAGACAACAATGAAAAACAGAAAGGAGGGTATGCTTCACGTATATAGATGCAAAAAGCGATGTATAAATGAATCGTGGAGGAAGCCGAAGCTGCTCTAGAAACTAAACAGCCCGCTTCGCTTCTTTCCCAGAGGGTAGACTACCAAAGCAGCCAGAAACAAGCCGACTGTGAAGCCCACTGCGACTTGGATCATGCCATAACCGATATCAAGTACGATGCCTTGAGATTGAGTGTCATACTCAGGCTTCGTCATATTCTGGGCTGCGTCGACGAAGCCCTGGGTGCCGTTCGACACTGGTGCGTACGGCGATGGCACCGTCGTGATCTGTTCGGCTGCTGCGATGCCAGAGATCAGAGATCCACTGGCTGCGAGCCCCGACGGCACCAGAACAAAGATCGCAGGCAGCATCGCGGCTGCTGCAAATCCATGCCGTAGTCGGCTGTAGAGATTCCCCATCACACCAACAACAAAAGCTCCCAGAGAGTTGGACACCTGGGTGCTTGTGGAGAATCGTTTTGTGCCAAAGTAGGTTGTTATGAATCCTGTAAATGCGATGACCAGCATCATAGGTATCTGTCTCCACTTGGCTTGGTTGATGACAGCAAGGCAGAATGTGAAAAGAATAACGAAAGGGAACCGTCCCACGTATTCGTTGGTGATAGGACTGGGAGGACAAGTGTATTCGGAGGAAGCATCAGCGTCGAGAAGACCATAGACAGCAGTACCGATCGTGATTCCAAAACCCAGGAATAGAGAGTATATAATGGCGTACACCATCCGAACCGAACCAGCCACAATACTGCGGGACTGTAGTTCCAGGCTGGCACACAGGACCATGTAGCCCGGTAGAATCAACGCGATCGACGACTGAGCCAAGGCAGAGAAGCAGAAGAGTCTTGCATCCCCATGACGAATGCTGCCAAATGCTCGGGCCAGAAATGAAGTCAAAACGGCGGCCGAGATCTCGAAAACGTTTTGATAGAGGTTGGAACGTGGGGAAAGAACAAGTTGCAGGGTTCCCAAGAGACATCCAAGCAAAAATGCGATCGGCATATCGATGGGTCGGGCACTGAAAGCGAATGGACCGACGCAAGCACTTGCACAACCGTGCAGCAGAATGAGGATCGGGATGGGGTATTTGTTCTTCTTCTTCATGATCTCGTCCAGCCGCTGGATTGCTTCCTCCACCCCAATCACGTCGTGTATCACCTCCTTGTAAATTATGTGTACGTCAGACAGCTTGCCCAGGTCAACCCCTTGAGGAGCTCTCACCACCTTCACCTCGGTCGTGTGGGTGGCAGCGTCGTCGAAAGAGATGATCATACAGCCTGGGAAATAGAGGAATTGACCGTCGATTTCTAGGACCCGTGCCGTCATCCTCATGTACTCCTCTAGCCTATGCGTTGGGGCTCCATATTTCATCAAGGCCCGGCAGAGACGTATGCAATACCGTTGCCGAGAGAGCAGCTCGGCGATATGTACTGTAATCCGAATCTCATCCTCAAGCTGCGGCTTACCCATCCGCTTGGGGTGTCCCGGTATGGCACCGCTGCTCCGTGAGCGCTTGAGCATCGCGATGGGAGAGCTAGATGAGTTCTTGGCGGTAGAACCAGCTAGAGAAACGCTAGACTGGCTCGGCGATTTTTCGTACCATTTTCTCGGGCGCTGCGGCTTCCAGCCAGGATCAGGAGATAGCCCTCTACCACCGATTTCCCCGGCACTACTCCGACGGGAATGGCCATGTCGCCCGCCAGAATATTGACCATCCGAATGCTCGTAAAGCTTCAGCAGAGAGGAGAGAATCCCGCTCCTATAATGAGGCGGGCGTTCGGCATAGCTTTCGGGCTCCCTATCCTCGAGGGGGGTGACCTGTCCAGACCGAAACCCTGGAGACGGGGCTTGAAGCCGGGTCAAAAAGTTGAAATCCTTGAGAGTCATTTGTTGCACTAGTTTGTGAACGTCTGAAGTACGTGTGGAGTGTCGCCCGTTCAGTGGGCCAACTTCATCGTCGTCTGAATAGTCGTCCAGATGTTTCTCAGTCAGGCTGATCATGGGGATTTCATCTCCAAGCTCAGCGGGCAGCACCACCTCGGAGGGAGTCGACGCTATGGATGACGGCAGACTGCTCCGACGGCTTGGCCTAGGAGAATTAGGTGAACGACTGAGTAGGGTGGCCAATCGCTGGGCTCTTTCTTGCGCAGAGTGGATAGCTCTCCCCTTCTCATTTCTGACTTCATCATCACCATAAATCTCCGGCGAGCTAGCCCTTGAGTGGACAGTTAGGCCCGTGACACCGACCGGTGAGCCAGGACTGATATCGATCAAGGGCACTGATTGGGGGTCGATAGTGACCTTGTCTGCCGCTGGAATGCGAGCTGTGGGCAATGGTCTTTGAGGCAATGATGAACCCCTTCCATCAAGCCGGGTGTCTGACGTCGATCCCCAAGTACTTTCGCCAAGACCTGCTTCGCTGACTGTGAACTTGACGCGATTCGCGTTTTTGGGGACTTTAGCATTCCGGAATCTGCCCTGGGCTCCGCTAGGGTCCGCTGCTCTGTCCTGCAGCCTCTCATTGGGGGTTGAGTGAGGGGATATACGCGGCCCTTGAGAGGATCTGCTTGCTCTTCCAGACAGATCGGTAAGGCTTCGAGGCCTTGACGAGGAAATAGGGAGATCAAAGTAACCGCCAGCCATTCCATGTGTTTTACGTGACTGGATAGACCTCTTTTCGAACAAGCGGAATTTCTAATACCCTTCTGTGTCACCCTGCTGGGGGCTTTTTTTTAGTGCACCCGAAATATTCCACTTGTCGATTTCTGTGCCCTGTACTCCCCACACAGGCCTTGCATGCAAGATGCGCTGTTCCCAGCCCTGAGATCGATATCTGATTTCTAGCCCCTTGATGGCTCATCCCCGGGGCCAGAAAATCGTAGCTAGGTTCAGTAACCTAGCAACCATGTCAGATCTGCGCTTACATCACTAAATGAGCTTAATTGACAACTGAAACTCACTTCGAAAGATCTATGCCAAGGTGACGGAATGAGGCGGGCAAAGACAGGACGATATGGCAATGGCAAGGCTTCGCAATGTCAAGCCACCTCGAAGAACAAAAGAGCAGTCGCGGGGGTCTGTTGGTAGGAAGGGGTGAAGGTCCCGCCACAAGGAATGAAGGCACGTCACGGAAGCATACCCAAATTTGTAGTGCAGGCTTGAAGGTCTCCTCCAGAGAATATTCGAGTCTGCGGCAGGGTAAACGAGGAGGCGGGGGAGGGAAGAAAGGGGGAGGGGTGGAGAGATAGATAAGAGTTTGTACTTCACTAGCTGTGGGCACGATGAAGCTGGAGGAAATTATGATCAAATGTGGTGGGGAAAGCCAGTGCCAGAGGCGTCCGATCTTCTGATGGACGAAAGCAGCCGAATCTTGGGATATGTGAACTCCGGATCAAGGAAGGGAGGGCCAATCACGGAGCTCAAACCACACCAAATATCATATGAAGAAGTGGATGTGCGCGATCTGTCCTTGGCTTTGTGTAGCAGGATTTAAGGAGTTTAACACCGTGAGAAGTAGATCGAGTCAGGTTATTATCTGGCAGTCTGTGTGCCTGACGTCTGGGTGAAGGATGTCAAAGAAGGGGGAGGGAAAGTTTTGTATCAGAAGCAGCTTCAGCTGCTGAGGCATCATCGCCACGCTGATAAAACACCGCATCGATTTTCCATGCAGGTCATGACAAGTCCGGGCCAATGGATTAAAGACTTAAGGGGCTATGCAAGTAATGATTCAGGATAAATTCAGCAAAAGTGAGAGGGAGCCGAAAGTCTGCAAGCTGCGGTAGGGAGAGTTCCAGCTCCAGACCTGAGGCAGCCCCCATAACCCTAAAGTCCAAAGACTTGGACCCAACCGGATCAATGGAGCGAAGGGGACATCAAGAAATGCAGACGATCACAGGAAATCAAAAGGGTGACACCCAACCCTGAGGGACTAGAGCTGCGCTCAGACGTCAATCAGCAGGGCCGCGCCGTCTTGCTACTATCTGGGACGCGACCACAATCGTTGACGGAACTAGTTCCACGGGCTCCACGATACGGTACCACTGTGGCTCATAGAAGGAGTCACATTGGCTGCGACAGCTTTGAACGTACGGCGTAGAGGAAATTTGACTGACAGAAAAAGCTAAAGACAGCTCATCTGAAGAGCTATCGTCTCACGAGCCCGAGGACTCTTGTCCTAACAATGACGACAGTGTCCGCCTCAGCTTGTCTCGATTCTTTGACTGCTCTCAACATTTCCTGTATTATCGGGCATTTGCATGGTTATTTTGGCTTCTACTGTTTCATTTGCGTCGCGACGAGACTTGACAGACTGTCCGCTGGGTTGCCGTCGGTCCCCTCGGGACCCCACCGATAGAAGCAGCTGGATCCACGGTCATTGCTTCTGGAACTTCTTGAGGAAAGAGCAAGAGTTGATTGACACGGCTGAGGGCATTAGGAGGTATGTTGGACTCTGGATTGATGCGCGCGGTGGGTTCTGGTTCCACATCTATTTTCTGCGTCTCCTGAACAGGGCGAGAGGCAAACAAAACCCCCGGAGATGTGGGCCCGTTGCTGGGTGGAAAGACGATCCCCCCCTCCGCACTGAATTAACGATCATCGACGTTTGTCTACTGCTTCTAGTGCCCGAACCGGACCGTCGACAAGACTCTCAGGGACAGAATAAGACCCATGGTCGCCCTAAACTTAACATGCCGTGGTTCTCGATGCGGAATGGAAGCATTGAGCCATTCCTGGCTATATGCTTCGTTCCACGTCAGCCGGTCGGGCTTCCGATCAGTGACTGATGGGCACCCTGAATGGTCTTGCATTCGGGTCCGCATTCGACCATCGCAGTTTGAGCATCACATCATAGCGTAGTGTCAAGTAGTGCAGGATCTCGGCAGCGGCTCTGGTGGGGGAGGAAGGATGGGTGGTGGATGACGAAGCTTCTGGGAACCTCTTTTGAAATCCATCACATGGCAGGACTCGATGCGGCGACTGGGTGGGACAGAGAGGATGAAATAACTGGAATTCGGGTGTATAGAGATGAAGGGGGGCAAGGAGAAAGGAGATGTGATGAGGTGTTGAAGTTGAGAAGATGAGGTTGAGGTCGAAGTTGAGGTTGAGGTTTGATTGGAAGGACTCTGGTAGCGGTGGGTGGTTTCCCCAATAGGCATTCCCTGTAGACTCAGTCATTGAGCTTTCCAACCTTCTTCTTCCTCTTCTCTTGCTCATCTTCCTCTATACCCTCTTCATCCTAAACTCTGAAGTGTTTTACCTACTCTTTCTCGTCTACATGATGTTCTCAAGGATTATCCAAATTCAAATTCTTCTGGAATTGAAATCTCCACCGGAGCACTCAAACTCCCGCCATAGCATTGCCCATATACTCCTTGCGGTTAGAAACTGTGAGAGTAAGCTTTCCTCGAGGCCCATTGCATTGCAGATTTACTGGGATAGGTCGATTCAATTGTCATGCAGTCCTAGTGGACGGAGTCGTGTGGGGTACAACGCGCGTTCAAGCAGTGGGCGATCTGCAAGATTTGTATTCGCCATGCAACCGAGTGCTTGGGCTCCGAACCTCATGAATGGATGCTTTGGTTGGATGCAATCAAGGCAACTTGATCTCCCTTGCTGTCATGGAGTATCCCTGCCCTACCCAGGAGACTTCCCCCCTACCCTGATGATCAGCAAGATGGATCCTTTATTCCGGGCCTAATCACATCTATTAGGTTCTCCAATCCACAAGTGCCAATGCACGGTGCACTCAAGGATCTACAGCCTTAGTATTGTGTACAGTACGTACCTAGTGGTTTGAGTGGCTCGCCCAATTCGGTCATACCGCATCACTGCAGTCGCTGTCCGGTTGTGAGCAGGCATCTACGATTACATGTCAAAAAGGCATTGACTCCTATTACAATTCTTTTGTTCTTTGCGTCAGCTGAGCCTAGTGGCAGCACACTAGAGTACGTCTGCGAATCCGACGGCTGCAGACAAGCTTCAACGTTGCGACTATCCAGACGCCTCTGGCTCAACTCCTTACTGGGGGCTTGCTTCCCGGTCGGCGTGGCGGTGATGTTGCCGATCCCTAGTCGAAACTCGATTGAGGAAATGGCATTTCATGATCTACCGCTTGATTGTCGGATGCGCAAAACTACATGAAGGTTGAAGGGTTGAACACTGCCCCACAGCCAGCTAGACTTGACAATCCTTTCGCTACTTTGAGAATAAATATAGAACATCCCGGCGACGTCGACCGTCAACTCCTACCAACAATCAATGCTCAAAACAGTACTCCGCGGTCATGTCCACCGCTCTGGGTGCTCGAGCTCTCGATTCTGTACCTGCGTCGTCTTGCTTCCGGGTACCCTCGACTTGTATCACGCCCCTTTTTATGATGTCAGTGGGTATTCGCATTTGGTAAATTGCGTGGCGCCATGTTACACCACCGCACACCCGGGCTTGCTCTCATCTCCTCTGTACTCAGCGGTAGCCGGTAAGTCCGCTGCGTGCTTATCTGCTGCTACACTGACAGATCCATATCTCTCAACAAAACCCGCCTAGGTTATAATCAATGCCGGTCGATACCATGTCGGCACACCCAGAGAGGTCCCAAGCTTCATGCGACGGGCTTGTTCAACCCAGAGCGGATTCGATTTCCTGGCCGTCCGACGCTGCGCAGTGCTGCCGAGGATGACCGTGTCACCTGCATGAACGCAAGGACCAATCTTTAATTCTGCAAACCGGAATGAGAGCGAAAGGTCTGTACTCTGGCAGCGTCGCACCGGGGAGGCGAGGCAGCCGTGCCGGCGGATGTATGTGTCCTGTCTTGTCATCAATGTCTTTGCGCTGGCCGCTGCTGCCACTGCGGGGAAAGGCAGGGAGGCAGCTTGTGTGTTTGATCAGCAGCGCGAGGGATAATTAGTGGCGAAATTCGGTATCATCTCGTCATCAGCGTACTCTGGGTGACGTAAAGCAACAGCGGTGCGCGCACTGCGACAGAACAGCTTGCTGGATCAACTGAGCATTGGTGCAATATCTGGAACAGAGGTACCTATCCAGCAGTCATCAGAGTCAGGATCGGGTTGACTGGCAGTCTATCAATCTCAGTAAGTTCAAAAGTTCTGTGCTGGTTGGGTCTTCATTACTGAGACAGAGGACATTCAGCCCGGTGTGACCTTGGCGCGAAACAACTGCCACACAGCGGCCACCAAAGCCCCTTTGCCGTCACAGTATGATAGGGGAAGTATGTAAGTTCGACAGCCATGCCAGAGGGTCAAACAATGACTCAATGATTCATCACAAGTCATCTCCCGAGCCATTTACTTTCCTGACGTGTCGCGATGCCCCGTTCGCATACCAGTCCCATCCCGCCAACTCACACCCCTGGCGTTTATAAACAGACTGGCTTTCTCTTCGCGTTCATGCCACCACTCTTCCACTGAAACAACACCTCTAGAGGTTCAGTATTGTGGGCTGGTTGATCACCCGCACTCAACCTCTGCAGGGACACAAGTCAGCCCGCGTCGCAAACCTTCTCCCAACCTTGAGCCATGTCTCAGACTCATTTCGCTCAGACTGCTCCAGGCCTTCTCCCTCAGCAACGCAGACAACCCTCCAGACAGTCATCCCTATCTTCTGGATCCCCCTCCTCATCAATCACAGTCAAATCACATGTAACGAACCGTGGACAAGCCCAGTCATTCTCTCCGTCTCTAAAAGACCACAGCCAGCTCCCCCAGAGATAACCCGACCTTAGGCATCACCAGATAACAACAACAATAATAAACAAACCAAAAGCCAATCGCCGATACATCAACTACCAACCCAATCGTAATAGCAGTAGCATTAGTCAAGAAATCGAAAAAGTACCCAGTAAACAAAACACGCGACAACCCCGTCTCCCGAGCAGTGTAGGATATCCTGCACAGTAAATAAACAACAAACACTGCATCTGCATCACTGCATTTCCGACACGCATGACAGACGCATAATTATATGTATGTACCATCAAGTCCGTGCACAACATGAAGCAAACCCCCTCATGTGTCTAACAAACATACAGTCCACAAGTAAATTACTTCGATAATCAGTATAGTCAGTAGTATCTCCGCTCCCGATAACAAACAACCCCCCCTACAAAACCCCCAAAATCGAACTGAAAGACCAAGATATATACTAGTAGTGCAGCACCCAGCCTTGCGCTCACCAGAACAAACCTTGATCGCAGTGATAAAATCCAGACACGCGTGCACTGCTGTACTATCTCGGGGTTAAGCCACTGCATCATAATGAAGCTAGTACACCTTAGTGACTTTGTACTCGTGGTTCGGACGGAGTATATATTATCATCCCGTCTTCACACCATCTCGAATATTTATCTACCAGATACCCCAAACTTGACAAGTATCTACAATACAAGATGAACATTCCAATTAGTTCAGTCCTGATTTAACCCAGGTATCTACAGTACGTACTTCCCCGGCCCCCGGCCCCCGGCCCCCGCCCCCCAAAAATGCTCTCAGTATCAAAACTGCAAGGATAATTCCAAAAGAAGGGGTTTTATGGTATTGATTCCCCGTCCATCCCTCACCCATTTATCTATTACTGAACCAACCCATCACCAAAACACCACAACTCCATCGCTTGCACTCACCCCGATCAACCGAATCAGAACAGGGATAGAAAACAACCGAATACCCGCCAAAGGACCCAAGAAAATCTAGAGATCGACAACAATCGAGAAAGAAAGGGGGAGGAGGGGGGCTACACCAGACCCAGCCCATAAGCCTCAGCATCAGTAGCAAAATTGGTGAAGGTAATTTGGTATTGGTATTCAGAATTTACCATCAGAGAGAATAAAAAAGAACAAATGGGTTCGGTTTCGTTCAGTCAAGCTTATTATCCACATCAAAGCATCAAGCTCGTCTTTCTACCCGACTTAGTGCCCCAAGTATCACACCTAGATCTTCCTTTGGTCGTGGTCGGAGACTTAAGTCCTTGTGGTTTGTGGCGATATCAGAGGAGGGGGATGAGGATAAGGAGGAGGCGCGCATGCTGTTTCGGGCGTCGCGGGCTTCGAGGCGCTCGGCGCAGATGCGAAGGACTTGTGAGGAGACGGCGTCGGAGGTGGAGCGGTAGAGTTCGAGGTTGTGGATGCCGGCGGCGAGGGAATCGAGGGTCGGGGCGAGGGTGCTGGTTATGCGGGAGAGGCGGGTGGAGATGGTGGTTGGGGACATTGGAGGGAGGAAGGGGGTTGTGTCGGGGGCTGTTGTTGTTGTTGCTGCTGCTGCTGATGATGATGAGGGAGGGTCGGTGTCCATGGGTTCGCCGTCTGTTGGCTGGGGTTGTTGTTGTGTTGGTGGTTGTTGTTGTTTGGCGGTTATGGGGTCGATCTGCGCGTATATCCTCCGCTGAGACGGGTTTAATACCGACAGATCGATCGGCTCGTCGGGCTTGAATATTGGCTGTTGTGAAGGTTCGTTGGGATCTGTCTCGGGCGGTGGTCCCTTGATAGGGGGAATGTCGGGTGGTCGCAACAGGGCATTGAGAGCGTGCCGTTCTTTTTGCAGCCTGAGTCCAAAGTCAGCGTCTGGCGGACACGATTTGAAAGAGAAAGACCTACTTTTGTATTTGCTCTTCCAACTCCTTGACCTTGTCCGCATTCTGTATGTTCTTCGGGTTCTCCTTCTTGACCACCACCGCGGGAGGATTCAGATCTTCCCGTTCAAACCAGTTCGAGAGCGTCGAATTCGTTTCGAAGTCCTTGAGTAGCTCGTCCTGTATAACCCGTGCTACGGTGCTAGCTTAGCATGTGCACGGCGATTCCAGGAAAGGCGCACTTACCCGCTAACCGAGCGCTCTCATCCTCTGAGCGCGACCCCGAAGGCCTGTCGCCTATAGCTCGCGTAGCACACCAGACCAGAAGCTGTCGCATCCGCCGCGGCTCCGGCAGATCTGTGCCAATAAGCTTGTAATAATCCGCAGTGTTGACCTCCTTATGCGGTAACGCTGAATTATTGCCGTTAGCCACCCATTCATAATCACCGACGAAATCAATGAACCCACCATTGGACGCCCCAGAGTCGATCAGCGAGCTCGCCCGCCGACCTCTCATCCCCAAACTACTCCGCCTGTTGTTCCCTTTCACGGACTTCTTCCCTCGCATCTCTCGATTCCTTTGTATGACGGGTGTATCGGCCAGCGGCAATGCAATCGTGGCCGTTCCAGCCCGCGGCGGCTCCGGAGACACATAGCCATCGCGATGTGATTCTTGTGGCTGCTGAGGCTCAGGTTCCGGCTGCGGCGTCGGTTGTTGTTGTTTCTGCTGTTCCTCCTTCCTAGAGTTACTAGGCCGGCCTTTCCTCCGCTTCTTCTCCAATGGAACCGACTCTCCCTGGTCTCGTTTTCGCGTCGAGCGTTTTGCACGTTCCGATTTTGGCTGCGGCTGTGGCTGGACTGGAGATATTGATACCGGCTCCGGCTCCGGTTCAGGTTCAGGTTCAGGTTCAGGCTCCGGTTCAGGCTCAGGCTCAGACCGAGTCTCCTTCGCCTTCGCAGCACCCCGCGTCGTCCTCTTGCCCGTCGCCTCAGTCTGTTTTCTTCCGCGTTTCGTCCTTGTAGTCGCCGCAGTCTTCTTCGTCGTAACCGCAGGAAACTCCGCCTTCTCCTCCTCCTGTTCCTCCACAACCACCACCTTCTTCTTCGGCGGCCGTCCCCTCCTCGGCGACGGCTGCGGTGGCGTATTCAAATGCGAGCTAGGAGGTAAAACCGGAGGTTGAACTTTCTCTTTCTCTTTCTCCGCCGACGGTCTAGCCTTCTTCGTCGCGATACGAGTAAACTGGAACCCATCATCCTCTTCATCAACAGGCACTAAACCACCGCGAACAATTAGCACATCCCAACAACCCGACCCACAAAAAACACATCCGGCGAAACCCAAGCAAATCCCAACTCCTCAAACCCCACTCCCAGCTCAAAACCCTGGCATATAAACAAGATAAAAGATAACTCACCCAGTTTCCTCTTCTTCTCCCCAGCAGCCGTGCCATTCCCAGTCGTGTTCTCCTCACCCTTCTCCTGTCTACTAAGCCGCAAACTCGTTCTCCTACTCCCGCCTCTTCCAGACGCAGCAGGACGCGCCTGCGCCTGGGACGTAGCCATATCGATAGCCAGTAACGGACCACGACGCTTTGACTTGGTGGTGGTAGTGGTAGTGGGAGGCGTCGCCAGGACAGTGACGGTCATGTCAAAACCTGTCAACAAGGGGAGAGGTAGAGTTGCGGTAACGATCGTTGCGTTGCGTTGCGTGTACCACAGCCTCCGTCACGTCCCTTGATCCTGCGCCCGCAAACAAAACCTTCACGCACGCACTCAGCCCAACAAACAGATTCAAACTCCGAATCCCGTAGCGTGGGCGATTGCGCATCAACCAGGCGGGGATTTCCAATCCGAAGTCGCGTACGTCCGGCGCGGAAGCAATGAAATAGTAAGGACGAAGAAAAGAAAAAGGAGATCCAATCCCCCGATCGTCGTGACTGATGAGTTTGCTCGATTCCCCGAACCCGCGATTCGAATCGAGCTTTTACCGGGCTGGCTCTTTCTCCTGCTTCGATGGAAAGAATCCTCCCAGCTTCGCAATCACGCGCGGCCGCACTAACAAGATCCGCCCGACTGCGAGCTGAAGTACCGACGACGGAATGAATTGTAGTTGGGAGGGGGGAGGGACTCTGTCGAGGTTTGTTGTCGGAGGAACCGTGGACGTGTGTGTTGTCGTCGTTGATGCGGGTTGCGCGCGCACCATCAACCCGCACGGATTGTTCCGGGGTCGCGCTTGCGGGCGATACGCCTGGTCGGGTAGTCGAGTAGATCCCCGAGAAAATGATCGCGATGGAATCCCGCTCCTTGCGCAGACGGCGGAGCTCGAAGTTGGTTGTCGGGATGACGATTGGGGGGTGGGAAATTGGCAGTTTGGCACTGGCCGGTCGGTCGCCGCAGCACGCGGTTGTTTTGGTCGTGGCGCGTGGGGAGAGGCGCTAGTCCCGTTTGGGATGACAACTTCCAGCTGTCCCGCCAAAAACAGAGTATTGCCCGTCTGGATGGGTTGCTTGCCAATTGCTGAAGCATGAAGATAATTAATTCCATGTATATATATTCTAAGTTGGCATTAGCCCCTATGTTCTAATATCTAGAATTTGTACAGCTCATCCCCCTTTTTCACACCTACCCAGACATCTCACCTCATACTTATAATCTTTACACCAAGAGTTTCTCAGTCGCTATGCAGGCTCCTGGCCCAAAAGCGCACCTGTGAACGCCCCGATAAAAAATTACAGAATAAATATACCCCGCTTGAAACAAGCAAGCTGCACGGACACAGAGCATATTTGACAAGAATACAATGCAACAAATCTACTATGGGATGGCAGGGGCAGCTTCCGTTGGGGGAGCCAGGCTGCCTTCAATCCGACGTTTGGCGGATTGCATCTCCTCAAGAGAGATATCCTCGGTCTTCTTCTGCATATCCGGTTCAAACTGAGGGACATCAGGACGGTGACCCACAGACATGCCGACTCGGATCTAGATTCAAGCAAAGCTCATGTTAGTCGAATGGCCATGCGCAAGGAGCCACAAGGGGTCTGGTCTCACCAAAGTTTCCAAGGGACCCTTCGAGTTATCCACCAAGTCACTGTCGAAATTGATCGACCCGTCTTCGAAGAGCAGAAGAATGGTGCTTCCTCCAAACTTAAAGTAGCCGAGCTCCTCGGCCCGTGAAACCTGCTCCCCAGCCTTTCGTGTAATGACTGTGCTTCCAACCATCATGGCTCCAACACAGACCACCATGACACGGCCATGAGCCACAGAGTCAATTGGCACGAGTACTCTCACGTTCTCGCCATACACATCGAGCGCAGAGCGGATTGCCATGGGATTGACCGTGTAGTACTCGCCCTCAATGGTTTTAGGGGTTCCCATAACTCCGTCCACGGGGATATGGAACCGATGGTAATCCTGCGGGGCCAGACGGAAAATTCCCAGCGCTCCATTCTTGTAGCGATTCACGTCCTCCGGGTAAGCATCGCCGAGGAGGCGCTCAATGGAAAACTCTCGTCCTTTGACCCAGATGCCGGTCGCTTCATCCATACGGTCGAAGACGACCGCCCGACAATCAGCAGGTGACACCACAATTCTGGGCTCATCGGGCGCTGAGCAGGGCCGAGCACCCGGCTTCAGTGCACGGTAGAAGAACTCATTAAAGTTGTTAAACTTTTCAAGCGGCAACAAGACTTCCGACATATCAAGTTGGTGGAAGTTGATGAAGTCCCGGATCTGGCTTGCAGACGCAGGATCATCGTACTTCTTACCTTGCTTGATACTCATAGACTTCAGGATTTTGCGAACTACGTTAAACATTAGCGGCAGCTCCTCGACGATATTCAGACGGCAGGTGGGACATACTTCGCTTCTTCTCCATCTCCCTGCTCTTAAGGCCCTTATACAACAATCGAATTCCCAGTCGGACGTAGACACTCATGCGTTCCTCGTTGATCTGACCAGTGATTCGGTCCTGGACAAGGATGTTGGCCGAGTTGGCTCCCAGCTTGTAGCCACCATAGCCAATCTTCGTAATGACCTTGGTATACCATTTGCGCTGCGCCTGGCTTGAGGTCACGAATCCGCCCATGACAAGATTGTCTACCTGCCGCCAGTCCCGGCTTGCGCATGTAGCAATGTGCGTGATGATATCGGCATCTGAACGAGACGAGAGCCGCGGTTGGTGGCAGAGGGGACATTCCCGAAGCTCAATGACATGCTCCACGCCGCGTTCATCTCCCAGGTCATCCGGCTGGAGGTCTTCATCAGTCGAGCTGGGCTGTTCGTCGGTGGGAATAGTGGGGACATGTGTAGTTTGAGGGTTATGGTTGACTGGTAGGTCAGCGTTAGGGCCAGCAATGAGCTCATCACCACTGGACTGATCTTCGCTGTCCTGGCTAATCGTAGATGGTGTTGGCGAGACCTTTTGGTTGGCCGATCTCGGGTCTTTCTGGAGGGCCTGAAGAGTATCCTCCAGGCAAATCACTGCTTGGTCGAAAGTCAAGTCCAAAGTCTCGCTTGATTCATTTTCCATACTGAAGCGCTCGAAGAAACTATCAATCGTAGACTCCTTCAAGGTGGAACCCAGAGTATCAAGCATGGTAGTCATCTCAAGCTTGTCAATTCGGCCGCTATCGTCCGCATCGTATTGTTTGAGCATGAGTCGCCAAAACTGCTGACGCAGGGCACGGTAGGGCATATACTTAGCCTTGACCATGAGCTCAGGCGAATGCTTGTCTTCCCATCTTTCCTTGTTTTTCAAACTAAGTGGAATGCGGTAAACTCGAAGTCCTTCGCTGTCGGCCTCGAGCGGGGAGACGGTGAAGTTGGCCAGGGTAGGGGAGCTGGAGAAACTGGGAACATCGGCCTCGTCCGGGACGCTTCGGGGAGGGAGCAACGTCGACTCTCCCTGTTGTGACTGGCTCGCCAGGGACGTAGAGGAGCCCCTCGGCGACGTGCCCAATCTAGGTGACTTGGATAGGCTGCTGGTCGACGGCGAGGGACTGACTGAGATCTTAGGGGCTGGCCTGGCAGCAATATCGGATTCAGAGCTCGTCAGATCAGGGGTCTGATTTGATAAATCATAGAGTCCGGTTTCGGGGTCAGCGTCGGGCGCGGACTGGATCAATGTTGGCAGTGGAAATCCTGCAGACGCGACGAAGTCATTTCCCGAAAATTTGTCCCGGTCCATGACGGTGAAGCCGATTGTATAAGAGGTTTCGTGTTTCATGACCTGGAAGACCATCTTTTCGTTGTATACTGGATTGAGGTTGTGACGAACCACCGGTGTTCGAAGTGTCTTTCTTCCAAGTGAGGTAACAACAAAAGGATCCATGTCGAAGGAGGTACGCGTCACTATATCCTTGATTAGCCTATAAGGCCCGTAGCCGACGGTGAAGCAGTAAAGCCGTACCATTCCGTTCCGGCGGAAGATCCGTCACCCTCACAATCTCCATAAACACGATACCATGCACGCCGTTGCCTACGCCAGAGAACTGGTAGGCTCTTGCTGCCAGAGATTTGCGTTTCAATCGTTTGAGCCGCAGTCTCCTTCTTCGCTTCTCCACCACCTCTGGCTTGGTAGGATCATCCGTCTCATCCGACGTCTCTTCGTCCCTGTCGGCATCCTCCAGTGACAACGAAGGAACCTGAGGGAATTCATCCTCCTCGTCGCCAGCACATACCAGGTTCCTGAACTTCTGGTAGACCTCCTCTGGCGGGGCATTCGGGTTCGCGGCGTCGAGGAGCGAGAACTGCAGCAGGATCTCGCCGGAGATGATACTATCCTTCTTCTTGGAAGGCTTCCGTTTCGAACGAAGAGTGTACCATGTCGGCTGCACACATCAGGTCAACTTGCAAGTCCAGGTCCGTCGCGTTCCGGGGATATGTACCTGTTGATGGACCTCGCCGTGGGTGAATATCTCCTCCAAAGCAATGTCGAATTCGCCCATGTAGTCCTTGCCAAAACGATCGTGATCCCAGCAGATGCACTCCAAGAGCGGTACTCCGACCACGGGCATTTCAAATGTCACATTCCATTCTGGGTTCAGTGTCTTGGGTATCGTGGGTGTCGATTGGCGGGCGTCTCCCAGTGTCACTATTAAATACTGAAACAAGGTGACTTGTTAGCTCTCTATCGATTGGTTTGTGATCCAGGAGTTCATATGGATGCCTTACCGGGTCACTGGTTCCTCCTCTGTCCTTGGCTGCTAGGTTTCTCCCCTAGTGCGAACAAGCACCGTTAGCAGGAGTCGCGGAATGCGGTCGGAGATTCCGGTCAGCTCCGCGATTGGACGTGCGAACTCACCCGTAGAACGGAGACCTTGAGGATCAACTGCTTCGCGTCGGACATTCTCATGGGACTGGTACTTCTGCTTTGGCCGGGAGTGGTGTTGGTGCTTTTGGTGCTCAGATGAGTGCTGAGCCGTTGCGGCAACGGTAAGCGCACCATGGTGATGAACCGTCCAGAAGTGCGGGGGGGCGACCAACGGAGGAGGGAGGGGAAAGCAGGTTAGACGGGAGACGGAGGATTGGTGACGTCGCGTCAACACTGAGGACTTCCTTTCAGGAAGGGTTCGTGAGCAATCAGGGATGTTTAGCGGAGGGGATTGCGGGAATTCGAGTCCCCAGGAGGAATTGGGTAACCAGTGATTGGGAGAGGAGAATCACAATGACGGAGAGATGTCGCGGTGGTTGCCTGTCAAGGATGAGTGCCGGCCGATCTAAGATCTGCTCCAGTCGATCCAACAAACCCACGAGAAAGGCACCACGGTCGCAATTTGTTGAAAGAAAGGTGGAACGAAGAAGAATATACGCACGTTGCAATTGACACCCTTTAGATGTGGGAGACTAGGAGCATGATGAGGAAAAACAGACAGAAAAGTTGACAGTTGTTGTTGTTAGGTTGGGGGAGGAAAGTTGAATGCACGGCTGAGTAAATCAGGATGGGGAGGAGTGGGTGAGACTGCGTGGGCTGCGCATAGACTTTATTTGGTGGATTGCGCCCTCATCGAAGCACAGAGAAAAAGGAACAACAAGCAGTTGGATGGATAGATAGATTGACTGACTGACAGCAGACTGACTGACAGATAGACCAGTCTGTCCTCTCTCTCGTATATGAAGTGGGGTGGCCTCGATCGATTAGGGGATTAACAAAATACGGCCTCGGGGTGGGCAAGAGAGGGAAAAAAAAAATAGTTGACAAGTTGACATATGGCTAATCCCGGTTCTGATTGAATCTCATTGATTCATTTTATCCTCGGCATCTATTAGCCATCCATCCATCCATCCTCATGCTTATCCCAGGAGCTGCTTCGGAGAGCGGAAATAAGAAATCCTGTCCCCGTCCCTTGGAAGATGCTCGCTTCCATGAACAATAATAATAATGCAACCCGGATGCAGTTGATTGGCTCACTTATGCGAAGCATCTCCCTAAATTTGGCGAACCTTGTGATAAGCCTGGTGGTAGAATCGAACAGGGAATGGAAGCAGGGAAAGGCGTCAGGTCTAAGAACTTAGTCTCCTCTCATCTCCACCCTCTCTTAGTCGAGGGATTTGTGGCTGCCTAGTCCAAATGAGTCTCTCTGCATCACATCAAAAGGTAGGAACTTGATATAACTTTACTGCGGGATTTCGGCATTCTATTCTCCCTACATATCGCATCTGGCACCGAATCTTCCTAACTGAGAGTGCATCCACGGAACGAACGACTGTCCTACTTATGGATTTCCTGCTGCCTGGACAGTGTCCCAAACAAACCCCTCATGCTTCATGCGAGTCAGTCCCATGGAAAGGGGATCCCCCTTCCATCCCATCCATCCAACGAAGACAGTAACTACTACAGTAGTAGTGATCCCATCCTTGCCCTGTCCAAGCACTCCAAGCAGTCCCCCGAAACAGGGCTGAGCGGTTGCGCCCCCACTCACTCCGAGTGTCAACTGCTCCAGTAGGAACCGGCGGAAGGGCAGGGAGGGGAGTCGTTGTGATGAGAAATAAGAAGACGGAATTGGATGATAAGACAAGGATTCTTTTGGAGGAAGATGGGCCCGCTGGACCAACGGGCCATTCCGCGGCCTCCGTATAGCGCGTCTCGTTCCACCGTATCGGTGCAGTCAAGACTCCGTCCCAGGCTCCAGCCCTATACAAGGTGGGTGCATGCACGCCATCAACTGGCGCTTAAAATTACTGGAGCTCTAGGCATCAACTTGCGCGTTGGCGTCCTTAAGCGATCTCTTCATTTCCAAAATACTTCGAGTTGACAGTCAGAGGCTATTTTCTTTGCGTGGGTGTTTCGGATTTGAGACGCAACCTTCCTACGGGTATATATCCAGACACAAGGTTACGCCGTCGTGCAGCCAACATATCACCCAACGGCAGGAAATAGGGGCTGAGACCCTTTCAGAGTACAGACCCTCAGCTTTAGTCTAGAGAGCCATACTAGGAGCAAAAGTTTCTCGATCGCTATAGTGCTGATCGCAATAAGATGCGCACCGCTTCACCAATCGTCTTTCCACCCCAGTACACCCCTTAATGCCAAGAGTGACACATAAGCTGTGGCTTGTTCGAGCTCATTTGTTGATACGATCGTGCTAGGAATGGTTTCTTAATTTAGATTGTATAGCCATTGTAGCTCACCGACCTGGAAAGGGGATACTGTTGACAATTTACAATCGATAATTCCGCTGTGCGGCCGAACATGTTTAGTCCATTTCCATGTGTATCGCGTCTTCAATGGCAGCGCAAAACATATATCCCAGAAACAACCATGACAATCCCGTTACAAGCCAGCCTAGTCTCTTCTCCGCTGGTCATCCCTGCCCCAAACCTCATCGGAGCTGGCTTTCCCCTTGGTTTCAGGAACCCGCCAGTGGATAAACGCTCCGGCAACACAGGCCATGGCAGCAAATACCCAGTAAATCCTACCCCGGTCCAGAGCTTGGTTCAGAATTGGGAAGAATTGCGCCACAATGAAGGTCGCGATCCAATTGGCTGCAAGTGCCCAGCTCTGTGCAGCACCCACGGCCTCCGGACCAACCAGCTCAGAGGCCAGAATGAACGGCACAGGACCTAGACCAACAGCGAAGCTGGCCACGAACAATAGCACGGCAATCGCAGACAGTGCCTTTTGGCCGGTGTAGATACCCAAAGCCAGGAGCAAGGAGTTTATCCCCATCCCGCTGATGCTGAGCAGAAGACATTTCCTGCGGCCGATCTTGTCGGGTAGGGGGGAGCAGGCCAGAGTGATGAACAAGTTGATGGCCGAGATGGCTACTGCCAGGAGAGCTGCAGTCGTGGGAAGAATGCTCTGCAAGAGCGAGACGCTGTACATGATGATGCTGTTGATTCCGGTGAATTGCTGGGCAACCATAACACCAACGACGGCAATAATAGCGGGTCGATAGTAAGGGTTCACGACGGCCCTGAGAATGGTGACTGGTGGCTGTTTTGGTGGCATGTTGCGCGAGGGTGGTGTGAGCAGAGACTGTTCTTCTCCGGATCCATCTGCAGCGTCCATGGAGGAGCTGGACCAACTCTTAATCTCCTCTTCGATGTCAGCATCCTTGCCGCGCAACCGCTGGAGTACCTTCCGAGCCAAACTGCCCTTTTGATGCTCCGCAAGCCAGGTAGGACTCTCGGGTACTAGGAATAGACCGAGAAGCTGCAAAGCTCCGATCAAGCCGGCGACCGCGAGAACAATCCGCCACATGCTTTCGTAACTTAGAAAGTACCCCAAGGTCTGGGTCAGAAGGATGCCAACGTTCGTCATGACTTGCGTGAAGGCGCCGAAGAAGCCCCTTGCGGCAGGAGGGGCTATTTCAGAAACATAGATTGGACCGACAACGATAGCAGCACCGGAGCCAACCCCGGATAGAAACCGACCGAGACTTAAGACCGGTATGTTGGATGCGAAGGTCTCAGCCACAGGACCCAAGATGTGGAATATGGTCGTAGCCCGGAGAGCGATCAAGCGCCCATGCTTGGTGGAGACTGGCCCTGCCAGCAGAGCTCCGATGAGGCCACCGAGGGTGTAGATGGATGATACCAGGCCGAACTGGGTAGGATTCATAGGGATGCATTGCGGAAGTGAGGCCGCATTCGCCCAGTGAATACTCTTCTGCTGGCAAGTGATCACCGCTTGGGGTGCATTTAGTTCAGCCTTACAAGATCAGGAGTTAGTCAAGACAGACACAGTGCCAGATGGGACCATTGAAAGGCTTACCAAATGGTATCCGAATTGGAGCGGTCCTAGAGTGGTGATGAACACGAGATATACCAAGTATGGCGTGACCCTGGATTGGGTCGAATCCCCTGAAGCCATTCTATGGGTTGAAATCTCGATCAGCAGGGATATTCCTCGTACCACAGCGAAGCCGTTGACCAATGCAGACTCTCAGACAGGCTTTGGCCCTGTCATCACCGAAGTTAAGAAGGGTGAGATGGTGTTGAGTATCGAGCTGCGTCTAGATGACGTTGTGGCTAGCAGTATGTATCGGGAGAAGGAAAGTCCGTTGTCTTATCACCGACTCAGGGGGTTGATAAGGAGGAGCTGTCGGGCGCCCAGTGATTCTCTGTTGAAACTGCGGAGCAGTCTATCAGTCTGGAGGGCGACGAGGCTGTGGTAGGAATAAGGAGTACATGTACTGGATCTAGTTAGTATCTTCACTGGAATGCCAAACATAGAAGAAGTGGCTATGAGTGAGTACTTGGTGGTTACACATGTATTGTTTGCTCTGCCTCTTATCAGTTCGAAAGGCAGGGGGATTACGTGCTGAGTCAGCCAACAACCCCCCTCTCATGCAGCCTCACCTGTCTCTATCCTTTGTTCACCACCAACCATTGTTGCTCATTCCAAAATCATAATCAGTGACCCCCTTCCTGCAGGTTGGATGCTCTCCTCATAGTGGTGGAGATCAGTGTCTCCGTGCATTGTTCACCTCACTGTCATTGCCAACTACTACTCTACCACTCTACCACTCTACCACCACCTAACAACCTCCACCATCCCACGAACTACTACTAACTCGGTCAATCGAACCACACCAATTTCCCTTCCCTTCCGACTCACTCGCCGCGCTCTCCACTTCTTACCAGGCTATTAGTTATTCTTTCTCTCTTCCTAACCTCTTCTATGAGTCTGACAAACCCCCCTTCCTCTTCTGGTCCTTTAAGTGCAACTTCTAGGCCTACTGTGGCGACCGTCAGCCAAAGTCTGTCTCTAAAAAAGAGTCTGCAGGCTACTGTTGATGGTAATACCCGGCTATAATTCATTCCACCTTATTTATTCCTCCCTCTCTCTCTCTCTTACTCTCTGCTTCTCCACTGCTTCCACTCACTCCGTTAGCCCAACCATCTTGTCTCCACCTTTGCCACCACCTCAATCTTAATCTGGACCATCACGATGTCCACTGGTTGAAGACAGATTGTTGGTGCTTAAAACTAGTTACGATTTCTTTGGTGACTCACTCATTAATGTACTCGAGCTGAGTGTAGCTCTCGGGCTTCCTGAACGGGTTTTCGAATTATTTGCCTATTATTGCCTGCCTCCATCATGTTTGGAAAGAGCTTCCCGTTCTATAATTCTGTCGCCGGGTTTTATCCACGTGGTAATTGCTGTCCCTATGATCTTCTGACCTCATGTTGCTGGGCTACAATGCCGCTGGCGCTATGTCCTGAAATCATGCCTGCCTTCTGTGCATTTCCATGTTGATGTTTTTTTTTGAGGGGGAGACCCTGACCCTTGACATCCGATTGGCTGATGGACTCTCACCGTGAGGAGTATCGAGTATATGGGTGCTAACATGATTCTTACATATCAAGAGAGCACGGATTCGCGAAGGCCGCCGGGGACCGGTTACACGAGTAAAGTACGAGTGCGTGATAGATACCACATTGTGGGGTTCATTAGCAGCGGTACTTACGGGCGAGTGTACAAAGCGATCGGCAAAAATGGCCAGAAGGGGGAGTTTGCCATCAAGAAGTAACATGACCTTTTTCTCTACTATCGATCCTCGTCGCTGACCAACCTACAGATTCAAGCCGGACAAGGAGGGAGAGATAGTGCAGTATACGGGTCTCTCGCAGTCGGCCATCCGGGAGATGGCGTTGTGTTCCGAGCTGGATCATCCGAACGTGGTGCAATTAGCAGAGATCATCCTGGAAGATAAGTGCATCTTCATGGTGTTCGAGTACACGGAGCACGACCTGCTCCAGATCATCCACCACCACACACAGCCGCAACGACATGCGATCCCGGCTGCCATGGTGCGGTCCATTCTATTCCAGTTGCTGAACGGCCTGCTGTATCTCCATACAAACTGGGTGCTGCACCGCGACCTCAAACCCGCGAATATCCTGGTAACATCCAGCGGCGCCATCCGCATCGGCGATCTCGGTCTGGCGCGTCTGTTCTACAAACCCCTCAACTCGCTCTTCTCAGGCGACAAAGTCGTCGTGACAATCTGGTATCGCGCTCCGGAGCTCCTAATGGGAAGCCGACACTACACGCCAGCAGTGGACCTCTGGGCAGTGGGATGCATCTTCGCGGAGCTCCTCTCGCTACGCCCGATCTTCAAGGGCGAAGAAGCCAAAATGGACAGTAAGAAGACGGTGCCGTTCCAACGCAACCAGATGATGAAGATCATGGAGATCATGGGCCACCCGACGAAGGAGACCTGGCCTGGGATCGTCTCCATGCCGGAATTCGCGCAGCTGCAGTCGCTGACCATGTCGCGGGCGCCCAGCCACTTCAGCCGCACCTCCAACCTGGAGGGCTGGTACCAGAGCTGTCTGAAGAACAACGGATACTCCTCCAACTCGAGTGCGGGCACGCCGGGATCGGACGGATACGATCTGCTGGCCCGGCTGCTCGAGTACGACCCCACCAAGAGGATCACGGCGCAGGAGGCGCTCGAACACCCGTATTTCCGCAACGGCGGCGCCATCTCCGCCAATTGCTTCGAGGGCTTCGAGGGCAAGTACCCCCACCGCCGTGTCACGCAGGATGACAACGATATTCGGTCTGGAAGTCTGCCCGGTACCAAGCGGAGTGGATTGCCCGATGATACTTTGATGGGGAGAGCGGTGAAACGCTTAAAAGGGTGAATGCTGGTTTTATCCTTCCGGGAGCATGTGGTTGTATCTTCATTTAGGTGTGACAGTTTATAAAGACATGGTTTGTGCATATGGGAACGGCGTTTTCAGCATCGGCTTCGGGGTTCTGTGCATTACACTGGGAGACGCTTTCATATCAGCCCATCAGAGTCTACAAATTGAATCAGCGTGGATGGGTTGTGAAGCAGTCTTCTGGATCAAGCTAAAAAATAGCACCTTGCAAATACCATTCAGATAGAGTGCTTCTCAAGAGATCGATATCCAGCAATGAAAAGTAAAATACATCAAACAGAATCCCTCACGCCTTTCCTCATATGTCATTTCCCTCACCAAACATCCCAAAATAACTATGTCTGTCTCAAATCATTCAGTTTGCAACTATCAGATCCCATAGATCGCCCACTCCCGAATCACAATTATCCAGCTCGTATCGAACCCGGAAGAGATAAAACCTCAGTAACCTAGAACCCAGCCATTAGCAACACACCTACAGATCACAGAAACAAGAAGAGACATACCATTCTGCTCCCTCCGCGTATCCCCACCTCCACCCCCACTCCCATTCCCATTCCCATTCCCATCTCCATCTCCATCCCCACCACCACCACCCCCCGAAGAAGCCGATCCCCCCGCCGCAGCGGCACGCATATGCAGATCATCGCCGCGCAGTTTCTCAAAGTAAGCCTTGATATCGTCCGCGCCGACGGCAGTACCGCTCTCGGCGAAGGGTTTCAGGAACTCCTTCACCTTGTCGCGCAGGTGGCTGTAGACCATGGCGCCCTCGAGGGCCCGCACGCGGTCGATGTTGCTGAGCGCCGCCTCGCCGCGGTCTAGCAGGCTGGCTGTGCCGGTGCTGCGGGCGCCGTCGCCGTCGCCGGCCTCCGACACGGGCGGTTCGTAGGCTTCTTCTTCCTCGCGGAGTTGCGGGTGCGCGGAGAGGTGTGGGTAGCAGTCGCGGCAGCGGCAGAGGTGGTCGCGGAAGGTTTCGGTGAGGAAGAGGGAGAAGGATTCTGGGGGCGGGTTGGTAGGGAGGGTGGTGTGTTTGGGTTGTGCGGGTTGTTGGTCTTGTTGTTGTGATTCGAATTGGGAGGTGGAGGAAGAGGGCTTGGTGTCGGTGTTGTTGGGTTGTGCTGTCACTTCGTCGTTAGCTGTTGCGGGGGTTGTTTCGGATGTTGCCTCGTCTTTGGTGCGCTTTGCGGCGGGCTCGCTATTTGGTTCTGCTTCGACGTTGTCGTCGTCGTCGTCGTCGTCGGCTTTGCGTTTCTTGAGGTTGACGGGCTCGGATTGTGCGTCGGTGGTGATGGGCCTGGATGGCTCCGTGGAAGTCGGTTCTTGGTTCGCTGCTTCTGCTTCGGCGTGATTGGGTTCGGAGCTGCTGGCCGGTTTGGATAGTCCTCCTTCTTTGAAGACCGGGGGCAGGAACCCAGTTGTGCCCGCGTAGCGCTTCAGCCACGGATTCGAGTCAACGCATTTGTAGCAGATGAACATGTCGAAATCGCCCTCCTCGGGGAAATTGGGTGGGAGCGGCGTCTCTTCATCATCGTCGTCATCACCATCACCCTCAGCTGCTGTCCCATCCTCGGGTTTCATCTCCTTCTTCACCTCTTTCTTTGCATTCTTGTACCAGTCGCGCGAAAGTCCGATCAGGCATTCCGGGTGCCACCAGTCCTCGCCGCAACCGCCTGTCTCGACGGTCCCGACACCTAGGCACTGGAACATAGTCCCTCGCTCCTGGTTGGGGTCGTAGTCCTCGCCGCAACCGCAGAACTTGTTCTGGAAGTTGTGGTTGTATTTGTTGCCCGGGTGGGGTTCTTCGGAGTGTACGCCCTTCGTGCCGGTCTTGGGATCGTTGCGCAGCGTGCAGGGCGAGGTAGAAGGCATGCGAGTCGTTCCGCAATCGCAGACAAAGTTGCGTTTGCTGAAAAGCTCGACGAGAGTGTGCTCGCCGTGGCAGGCGATGGAGCAGGAATAACACATGGCGGCTGGGGTGTACGACCCATCATCTTTGGACGATGCGGTAGGAGGCGGGTTACAGGTTAGACAGGCGAAGAGGGATTGACGAAGGGGTCCTAAGTCTTTGCTGCAAGAATCAAAAGACTGCGCTTATTAGTACGGATCCTTGTGTATGAGCTTCGAGCGGTCGCGGGCTTCTGGAGCGGGGATGAGAATTGTAAGCTCACATATGGAAGGATTTCGCGCGCATCGGCTTCGAGACGAATTTGCGATTCAATGTACCTGATGAAGAAGATTCGTCAATTCTCGAATACTCCGTCATAGTTGTCGTTCAGACACTGTGTGTTTCGAGAAGAGGGGCCATACTCACTCTCTGGCTGTTTGCGAATTCTGGGAGCTGAAGCTTTCGCGACGTCTAACTGCATCCTGTCCGTCTGTCGGCGGTCCCATGGGAGCAGGTACCTTGGATGCCGCTGAGTCGGCCATTGTGATGCACCTGTATCGCAAGGAGTGACAGACTATGGGTGAAGGAAGTATCGAGCTCAGAGACTTGAAAATTGTGCGTAGAGGTGTTAGTGACCACTCTGTGCGAGGAGCTGGAAGCGCGCGGCGCGAGGCACTTTAAGTGTTTGTCTGGTTTGCACGGTCTCACATGAAGCTAGGTGACGTTTGCTCTAAGACGGTGACTTTGAAAATATTCTTCGCTCTGATGAGACAAATAATGATTATTCTGATGATATACGAGAAATATTTGTGCTACTGCAGTTCCTCAAGTTGATGTAATCCAGAGGTACTCTACAGTCCCCAATCTATAGGAGCGATGTTGCAACACAGCGATATACAGACCACCACCCCACTCAACTCAACCCCAGGAAAATGAAAATCAATTCAAAACAGTCTGTGTTCTAGGCTGCTTCCCCGTTGATTCCACATGGGTTCAAGTCCCCATCAAGCTATTCCCAGCACAATTTAGCTGGAGTCCATTTGCAGTCTGGGTGGCGCTTGTCTTTCCCGATCGGGGTTTAATTGGTTTGCCGGACGCGTTTGAGACGCGCTCCGACGCGTTTCTGCCGCGCATCAACACCGCCCGATGGATTTCCCTGCCAACGGAAGAAAAAAAGGCGCCCGCACTGCAACACCTCCGTGCGGTAATCCCTTCAAACCCCATACTGCCGGTCAGACCACCAGACACAATGAGGTATGTACTCCGTCCATAGTACTGTGACTGCTTCATCTATCATCTATCATACCTTGTCTCTGGTAATATCCCTCACTGACCATTATGCCTCGACAGTTCACCACTACGCCCAAGCCATTCCGCCGCAAATCGCGGCCTGGGAAACCTCGGTCGACGCAAGAGAGACAGAGAGCCGGATGATGAGACTTCATCGGTTGCTCCGCCCTCAAGTCGTAAGTCTCCAATGCTTTGTTTAATGAGATAGACTGCTTGTGGAGACTGACTCTTACACAGCCCCTCCTTCCTCCCCTCCTATGCTCCCTTTCGACGAGGATGACAACGAGGGAGACGAGGAGGCTGACATGCTGGGGGACATTGATGATCTCGATGAGATGGCCGAAGACGAGGATGGCATTGACCTGTTTGGCGATACATTTGAGAAAGATTACAGGAGCACACAAGATCAACAATACCGCGGCACATACATCGACGATGAGGGCGACCATGAAGAGCTCGATATGGCGGCTCGTCGCCAGCTGGATGCTCGCCTGAATAAGAGAGATCGGGAGCTAGAGCGCCGTCGCCGCATGCCTGCCGCCTTCCTGCAGGACGATGAAGACGCTGAAGTAGATCTCACTCGGCAGCCTCGTCGACGCAGACACCACTACGATGAGGATCGGGAGGACGTTGAGATGGGCGACGATATCATGGAAGAGCTCTCCCTGGAGGAGTTGACCGATGTCAAGGCGCCCAACATCACAGACTGGGTTCTGCAGCCCCAAGTTTTGCGCTCTATCTACCGCGAGTTCAAGGCTTTCCTCACGGAATTCACCGACCCTACTGGTAGTTCAGTCTACGGTAACAAGATCAAGACCCTGGGTGAGGTCAACTCTGCCTCGCTGGAAGTCAGCTATGTTCATCTCCTCAACACCAAGGCTGCTCTTGCCTACTTCCTCGCCAATGAACCCACCGAAGTTCTGAAGGTCTTCGACCAAGTCGCCCTCGACGTGACTCTGTTCCACTACCCGCAATATCACGACATCCACAACGAGATCCATGTCCGTATCACAGACCTCCCCGTCATCTACACTCTCCGCCAGCTCCGCCAGTCGCACCTCAACTGCCTTCTGCGTGTCAGCGGTGTTGTCACTCGCCGTACTGGCGTCTTCCCGCAAATGAAGTACGTTATGTTCATTTGCGGCAAATGTAAGACCCACCTGGGTCCCTTCCAGCAAGAAGCCAGTGCGGAGGTCAAGATCACTTTTTGTCAGAACTGCCAGGCCAAGGGACCGTTCACGGTTCACTCCGAAAAGACCGTGTACCGCAACTACCAGAAGTTGACTCTGCAGGAGTCCCCTGGCTCCGTCCCCGCCGGCCGTCTCCCCCGTCAGCGCGAGATCATTCTTCTTGCTGATCTCATCGACTCGGCCAAGCCCGGTGACGAGATCGAAGTGACTGGTATCTACCGCAACAGCTATGATGCGCAGCTCAACAACAAGAACGGATTCCCTGTGTTTGCCACGATCATTGAGGCCAATCACATCGTCAAGTCCCACGACCAGCTGGCTGGTTTCCACCTGACGGAAGAAGACGAACGAGAGATCCGTGCCCTGTCCCGGGACCCAGAGATCGTCGACAAGATTGTGCGCTCGATTGCTCCCAGTATCTACGGGCACCTGGACGTCAAGACTGCCATCGCGCTGTCCCTGTTCGGCGGTGTCAGCAAGCAAGCCCAAGGCAAGATGTCCATCCGTGGAGACATCAACGTGCTCCTGCTCGGTGACCCCGGTACCGCCAAGTCACAGTTCCTGAAGTACACGGAGAAGACCGCGCACCGAGCCGTCTTCGCCACGGGCCAGGGTGCCAGTGCCGTCGGTTTGACGGCCAGCGTCCGGCGGGACCCGCTGACCAGCGAATGGACGCTGGAGGGCGGTGCTCTCGTGCTGGCAGACCGCGGGACGTGTCTGATTGACGAGTTCGACAAGATGAACGACCAGGATCGGACGTCGATCCACGAGGCGATGGAACAGCAGACGATCTCGATCTCGAAGGCCGGAATCGTGACGACGCTGCAAGCGCGCTGTGCGGTGGTGGCGGCGGCGAACCCGGTCGGCGGGCGCTACAACAGCTCAGCGCCGTTCTCGCACAACGTGCAACTGACCGAACCGATCCTGTCGCGTTTCGACATCCTGTGCGTGGTGCGCGACCTGGTCGACCCGACGGAAGACGAGCGACTGGCCAACTTCGTCGTGGAGTCGCACTCGCGCGCCAACCCGTCGCGGCCGCTGCACGACGAGGACGGCAACCTAGTCAACGCGGACGGTCACCCGATCGACGAGGAGGGCTACCGCATCAACAAGAAGACGAAAGAGCGCCTGCCCCCTACACCTGAAGAACTCGCCACCCGCGAAGCCGAGGCCCGCAAGCGCGAGGAGGAGAAGGAGGGCGAGATCCCGCAGGAGCTGCTCCGCAAGTACATCCTGTATGCGCGCGAACGGTGCCACCCGAAGCTGTACCAGATCGATCAAGACAAGATCGCGCGACTGTTCGCCGACATGCGTCGCGAATCGTTAGCAACCGGTGCCTATCCTATTACTGTGAGCCTTCCTTTCCCCCCCCCCCAGAGGGTAAAATCACACTCCAAGTGAACCTCCCCTCGGAACTAACCACGATCTTGAAAAAAAAAAGGTCCGCCACCTCGAAGCCATAATGCGCATCGCCGAATCCTTCTGTAAAATGCGTCTCTCGGAATACTGTTCAGCGCAGGACATCGACCGCGCCATCGCCGTGACCGTGGAATCCTTCATCGGAAGTCAAAAAGTCAGCTGCAAGAAGGCGCTTTCCCGGGCATTTGCCAAGTATGTCCCCATCCCACAGCCTAGCTTCCCCCCCCCCCCCCCCCCCAAATGCCCCCCCCAGGCAACCTACCGAACAGAGTTAATAACTGAGAAAAATAGATACACGCTCTCGCGTCCGAAACCACAATCCCGTCGGAAGGCAGGGATCCCCGCGCCGGATCCGTTCCGGCCGCGGATGGGATCTGTGAGGCCGCGGTAGTAGAGTATACCTTATCTTCTTCCTTCCTTTTTTTGCAAGGAAGGGGTGGGAGGGGTATAAGGATGCTACCTACCCACCTATTTCAGGTTACTGACCCTATCTATCTATCTATCTGGTTGAGTTCCGGATACGAATGATCTTGATATTCTGTGATGTATGTACGTACATGATACTTCGGTAAGGGCGGGCGTTATTATCTTTTCTTTAAGGAGTTTATCGATTAAGATTGTCATTACATTGTGCGTGCGTGCGTGCATATGGGATTGTGGTCTTTTATTTGGTTGTTTTTATTATCTGGGTCGATTGTTAACTTTGATGGTTGAGTTTTATGGGGTCTGTCGGTGGGATTTTACTAGGGGACGGTTGGAAAGGGGACGATGGAAGGGAACGGGGAGGGAAGCCGGGGGGGGGGGGGCATATACCTATTTATCTATTGCTTAGTTACTTGCTTATGGAGATTATCAACTCATGGGGGTATCAGCTAGCTACTAGCTAGCGAGTTATCTATTTACTTCTATCTGGATACGGATGATGATCTACAGGTTACTTACTTTGTTTCTATGCACTGGATGGAGTAAGGAAAAGGGAAAGAACGGAGGGGGCACGATAAGTGTTTTATATACTACGAGATAAAACGTCAATCAGCTTCATGCGAAGAACCTACGAACAATGAATTCTAAAGGAATCCAGCTAATTGGATTCGTTTCTAACTTGAAGGATTTGGACATTCAAAACTAGGCATGCTAAGCAATGGTTACAAGTTAGGCTAAAGTACTCGCTCTAGTACTTGACATGATCACAGTTCACAATTGCTTGAGGGGGGAAAACAAAAGAAAACAGCAAGAATGGAGGACAGCAAATGGAACTGGTCTGTTTGCTTCCCAGACACTAAATACACCGGTAGCTCCATCAGCGCCAAATTCCTGGATCCGACCAAGGCCCTACCCTACACATTCTCCTTCTCCACCATCTGTCTGATGAGCCGTCTTACATCCTCGCGTCGCTCATGGGATGGTCGCTCTCGATGATTGTCATCTTCAAGTTACGTCAAGTTATTGAGTCTCATGCTTCCTGAGGGTTTCCATTCATCAACGCTTTCATGCTGTCATTTCCTGTGAAAGCAGTCTGCGCTTGAGGGGATATGGGGATGGATGTGCTTCCAGCGCGTTGTCCACCGATAATGATTACTCCAGTCATGCAGGGTACAAGATGTGACCGGGTGACATGAAATCATCTCCTTGCTCAGTCGTTGGTGATCCGCCGTTCGGGTCGAGGCTTTCGCAGACTCTTCATGCGATTGATAAAACCACCGCTGCCACCACCACCACCGCTGTTCTTGTTCTCCTCATAACCGCCGTAGGACCGTTCGTTTGTGAATCTCCGCTCCAATCCTGTGTTCTGCCTAGGACTGCTCGATGAGCGTGCTCGTCCTGCCACAGGGTCCCGCGCCTCCTCAGAGGAAGTGATCTGAGCACCCTTCTTATCCCACGCATCGTCGTAATCCTGAAAGAAAGGATTCTTCTCATTGGCCTTGATGTTTCCAATATGACCCGCAGGGATGGATGGGGTGTACATGGCTTCCGGGGATCGGCCGCTGGGAGCCCGGTTAATGCCGCGCAATCGTTGCGCCAAACTCTTCTTGCGCTGAAGACCACCTCCGTTCATTCCGCCGCCCGAGCCTTCGGACGTAGTTCCACGGCGCTGAAGCTCCGCCTGGCTAACGGGAGCACCGTCCAAGAACGTACTGGTTCCGAGGCCCATACTTTCCGAGCCGTGGACCGGTTCGATGCGAGCGGTCGGGTCAAAGTTGGGTGGATGATCGCTCTTACGGGGGTCGCTCTTCGCACTTGCCGCGAAATCGTTGAAGCCTTGTTCGGTTCGCCCGTGGAACAGGTTGTGATCAATGTCGAGGTTGTTCGGTCCGGAGCCTCCCAAGGCCATGTTGGCTGAGTCCTTGGGGAAGGCCTGCATGGGTGCCGTGCGCACACCCTTCCGGTTACGGTTGGGGTTGCAAGCATCGAACGGTCCATCGTGATGGAACACTGCACCGGATTAGCCACTTGATCACTACCCGCGACCGCTGCTTGGACTTACTGCCTGTTCCGTAAATGCTAGTCACGTCCAACTTGTCGATGATATCGAGTTGATAGTTGTTCTTCTTCGACGAACGGGGCTTGCCATCCTTGCTCTCCTTTCCGCGGGCCTCTCGCTCTCTCCGTCTCCGTTCCCGTCGCTTTCTTTCTTCCTCTGTATCCATGAGCCTCGGTCGCTCCATGATCGATGATTCGGAGTTACGACGGGGGCGTGGGCGGTCTCGGGCACTGGGACGAGGCCCACTGCCGTTCCGCGGAGGATCAGCGAAGATATCTAGTGGATCGCGTGCGCGGCGCTCCGAGCGTTCCCTTCGCTCGCTGGAGAATCCATTCGGTGCAGGCTTCTCCGGACGGGGCGGGGCGGGTCTATAGCCGGCAGGTTGGGAGGCAGGGTTGAGGGAAAGGTTTTCCTACAGCGACACCGCCTGATTAGTCTCCTATTGCGGCGTAGCAAGGAAGCACGGAGGCACGTACGAAGAGGTCGCGTGTGTTCGAGGTCATATCCTGACTTCCGACCGGGGATACCATGGTTCCTCCGATAGGGGCCGAATGTGGTGAATCGAGATCGTCAAAGGGGTTATTTGAAGTCGGTCGCTCAGGTCGGCCGGCGGAAGAGAAAGAACCGGCGGAGGGAGACAGCGCACGGTTTCTGAAGGGGTTGTTGGAGCCCAGGTTCGAAGGCACACGCGCGTGTTGAGCAACGGGGGCTGCAACGAGGAAGAAATAGAGTTAGTCTCAGCGAAAGGGACGGACGACCGGGGGAAGCACGGTCTGAAATAGACCACATTCTCGACAAGACAGCAGCATTCTGGCCCAGGGGAAGGGCCCCGCCGAACGTGAAACGGGTGTGAGATGACGACCAAGCGTGAGACAAAGGCAGCGCAAAGAGGAAGAGAAACCGGAGATCAGCAAGATGACGCACCTGACGGGCCCAGCGTCACGCCGGGTGGGTAGGAGTAGGTCGAGGGATACTGGGAAGCATTCATGGTTGCAAGTCCACGCAATGCGAAGTCGAGAGCAGGCGAGGTCAAGGAAGATGATTGGGGAATGAGGAAAGAGACATCCAAAGATAAGGAGGTAAGTGGATGATCAGGGGAGGGTCGAGAATGCGAGGGCCAACGCCAAACTAGAGTAAGCTTAGGCGGTACTGAAACAGCGATGTCGCGGCCAGACGGTTTAGGAGAGGATAATTGGAGGGGGGAATTAAAGGAGCACGACGTAAGTGTCCGTCAGAGGCAGAGGTCTGTCGAGGTCGAGAAGAGAAAGACCTTGACCGGAGGAATGTGAGAATCCTTAATAATCTTTATGGGCAGAAGTGATTGGCTTTGATTGTTGCCAGTGGCTGTTTTTTTTTTTTTTTAGGAGGGGGGTTGGTTGAATGGCGAGGTGGTGTTAAATTGTTTCCGTGTGGAATTATTTAATTCCCGAGTCAGGTGGGGGGAGGGGTGGAAATAGGAGTTCACAACAGGTGGGAATAGATATAGGGGGGGGAAGAAGAAAGTGATGAAGGGAGAGAAGATGAAGAGGAAGAGGAGGAAGAAGAGAGAGAAAGAGGGAGAGAAAAGAAAGTTGGAGAAGAAGAAGAGAAGGAAGCGGGACGGAAGGGAAGGAAGGAAGGGAAGGGAAAGGAACAGCAATGAGAGAGAGAGAGAGAGTTACAGGACAGGAACATCGGGATGGAGAGTGACTCGATGGAGGAAACGCACCCCTTGGGGAAAGGCCAGCGATCAACTTGGAACCACGGTCAATGGATTGAAAAGGAGAGCAAATGGAGGAGAAAAAGTGGAGTGAAGGCAAGAAGCTTTGGGGAGATGCAAAAGGGGGAATTCAGTAAGTAACCTGAGTATAGTTCCCTATATGTATTAAGTAGTTATTTGTCGAGAAGAGGGAAGAGCAGACAGAGACAAGAACAAACAGCATTAGAAGCAGTAGTTTCAGTAGAAGCAGAACCAGGAGTCAATCTTGCTATCTCTATCTAATAACCCTCGTGGATTTATCTCCATCAATCCATGATCTCGTTTCTTTCCCCTTGGCTTCCTATCCTATCCTTCCACCCTTTCAGGGGCAAGTAACTTTTAGTTAGTTAGTTACTTAGTAGTTTACCCCTCCACAGCTAAACGAGACCATCGGGTCTTCACTATCAACTATTATTAATTGATTCAGTCTCTCCACGGGTTAGTCACAAGGAACGAACGAACCCCAGATCCTGCAAGCCAACGACTAGTTCGAGCTTCGCTTTTCGGCACCGCATGTCAAAGTCGACACAACCGATAGAATAGACATAAATGCTATTGCGTCAACTTCATGCCGGCCCTGTGGAATGTGCGCCTTCTTTCTTCCATTCCTCTTGCAGATGCCCTTCGTCGGACAATCCCGATCGACAGACCGATCTTCTTTCCCCTAGGCACGTTCCTAATCAATTCCCTTTCATCCCCACGTTAATTGAGCATCATTATAGAATATCTCCCTAGGTAGTCTCCAAACACCACCTCATAATCCGACTCGATTCCCTCCCAGACCCTGCAAGCACTCAAGTAAATCCTAACCCCAATCCTTACATAGGATAACCACCCTCCAACCAAACAAAACATAACCTAGACCTGCCAACAAGATCACCCATGATCCACCTACGGAGTATACGTACCCCCTGCACAAAGCAGAGCGGCCGATCGGATGGTCGCGCACGCCCGCCCGCCCGCACGCGTGCACCCGCGCCCGGACAAACCTGTTAGAAACTCCCCGTGCTAACCATCTTACCTAGTCTACTAGCCAGGCACAGTACAGGCACTTCCCTGACGCCATGGAATGTTCCCGTCCTTCCTTCTCTTCCTTGGCAGAGACACTGCAGTCACCCAGGTTTTGCTGGCTGGTGTGACAGTTGCCTGTGACGTTGTGGGCTTTCATTCCTGCATGCGTACCCTCATGGTATAGGTTAATGCTGGGGGAGGGAGGGAGGATAGCGTCATGGGTTTTACCTTTAGGTTCACTATCCCACTATCTCCAATGGAGGTTTGGGGGTTGGGGTTCTGGGTTGTGTGCTTGCTTATTTTATCGAGAGTTGTATGTACAGTACTTTGTCTTATGGAATTTGTGGTTCTACACTACATTACAGTCCAGGCTTTTATGATGGAGATAGAAAGATAGGGCATCGGGCCGGCAGTTGAGTCTCGTCTCGTACTACCACTTTACCAAGTTTGCCTTGGTAGATGCATATGTTGGACGACGTTTCAGGTTCGCTTTTCGTACGATCAGTCAGTCGTTCAGCAGGAGCAAAGGTGGAGCTAGCGACCGACCAGTCGACCAGTCGACGTGGAAACGTGTGTTTGCTTGCGTGGTTCTATTCTCGACAGTCTTCATGACTATTCTACTGGCCTAACTGCAGGCTATTTCCGGCAATGGATCTAGGCGTGTAGAAAAGACAGGATTATGCGTGTAGTCCTTGCATCATCGTCACGGTCATTCCGCGCGCAGAGGCTATGATGTAACAGGAATCCAGGCCTGCACCGGGCAGCGGGCATTATTTCCGGCTTGCTTACTGGATTCCTATCAGTGACCCTGCGGGTGGATGCTATGTGGCCTGGACATACTTTATACATCGAGGGTGCTAGGAAAATTTGGGGCAGGTCATCGGAGGAATAGTTTATCTATAGCATGTTCGAATCGCCCGGCTGGCTTCGGCTTACCTACTGACAAGTTGTCAGGCTTATCATGGCAAACATTGATTGACATTGACGAGCAAGCAATTTGAATTGGACGGACAATCGACAAGGTGGCACAAACGGGGTTTGATAAGGGCTAGTTGGGTGCTTTGCAATAGGGACTACAATCTGTATCCATGTCCGTGACGGAGCTCTCTTTGTGGTTGTCATGTATATTCAGGTTCAAATAAACGAAATTCGCATCATTGAAGCTTTGTATTTGTCCTACTCATTGAGGGACGTGTTAGACCGGAGACAGATATTGTAGGCTTGTGATATCTATCTATTCACCTGGTCCTGTCTGTCTAGGTTGATCATTCTACCTATAGAGTCATACTGGATCAGGACCATCGTCATGTAGAGGTGTATAGTTCATGGCTTTCCTTGACAGAAAGCACCCGTGTTCAGGGGTGTTGCTCCCTATGGGCAAGACAATGTGACTAGGGTGCTTGACTAGATATTATATACAGGCTGTCACTGGGACGTGAATGAGACTATTGTAGAAAGCTTGGCGGGCGCGATGGCCCGCTGAGGTTCAGTGCTTGCCCTGTCTGGTTATGCGGGGGATAGGCTATCCTAGTTCCAGATGTCCAGGGGAAGGCATCTGATTTGTCTGTTATACTGATGAGACGAAGTCACGCCATCTCGGCTCAGGGTCATTCACGCTGACAGGGATGGCATTAATAATTCTCCCAATTTGTCATCACCCTGTATAGTTACTTAATTGCCGCCAGTGCTCATCATACACACACACAGTATTGAGGCATTGAGCACCCCGAAATCAATTATTCTATGCTTACAGCCTGGACTCACTCTGTACACCAAAATGCTGCAGCAAGTTCTCGACAATCCCGCCGCCGAAGGCATCACCTACTACACACCAGCTCAGCAGCCACCGGCAGGCACATTGCTCGAAGGCTCCGTCAAGCTCTTCAGCCCCCTGACCATCCGCGGGGTGACATTGCCGAACCGCCTGTTCCTCGCTCCGCTCTGCCAGTACTCCGCCAAGGAGGGCTACGCCAATGACTGGCACCTGGCGCACCTGGGAGGCATACTCCAGCGCGGCCCGGGGCTAGCGATCATGGAGTCGACCGCCGTGCAGCGCGTGGGCCGGATCACGCCGCAGGATCTGGGGTTGTACGAGACAGCCAGATCGACCCTTTGCGGCGCATCACCGAGTTCGCCCATGGCCAGGGCCAGAAGATCGCCATCCAACTGGCTCACGCGGGTCGCAAGGCCAGTGCCGTCGCGCCTTGGCTGAGCGGCAACGCAGTCGCGGTCAAGGAGGTCGGTGGGTGGCCCGATGAGGTCGTTGGCCCCTCGGCGATACCTCATGAGGAGGGGATCAACCCCATCCCTCAGGTTCTGAGTGTTGATGATATCCAGATACTGAAGAAGGATTTCGCCGCGGCTGCTGGACGGGCCGTCAGGGCTGGGTTCGATGCTCTTGAGATTCACGCGGCGCACGGATATCTTTTACATCAATTCCTGAGTCCGGTCAGTAATCGGCGAACGGACGGGTATGGAGGTAGCTTCGAGAATCGCGTCCGACTGCTTCTCGAGGTTTCAGGTGGTTCGTGCTGCGATCCCGTCGACGATGCCGTTACTGGTCCGGATTAGTGCCAATGATTGGTTTGAGTTTGGTGAAGACCTGAAGCAAGAGTTCCCCGAGAGCTGGACCCTAGCTCAGTCGGTGCAGCTCGCCCAGCTGTTGGCTGACCGCGGAGTCGACTTGGTGGACGTCAGCTCGGGTGGGATCCATGCCAAGTCTGCTATTGCCATTAGGTCCGGCCCTGCCTACCAGGTGCATCTGGCCCAGGAGATCAAGAAAGCTGTGGGTGACAAGCTTCTCATATCGGCTGTGGGTGGGATCAAGACGGGGGCGCTGGCCGAGGAAGTGGTGCAATCTGGCATTGATGCAGTGCAGGCTGGACGTTGGTTCCAGCAGAACCCTGGCTTGGCTCGCGCATTTGCCACTGAGCTAGGCGTGAAAGTGAAAATGGCCACGCAGATTGACTGGAGCTTCGATGGCTGTGGAAAGGGAGCGAAGAGCTCGTAAACGTGTTGTGATAGATGGGGCGCGTGGATCGAGGCTGCGGAGCGACCTATGACGGAATTATCAGCACGATATCTAAGAAATTCACAAATATCAATAGCATACTTGTACCCATATACTTCATTCTCGCGTCTTGACACAGGCTTAATTGCAGTGGATATACCCTGTCAGAGCAGATGTTCCGATCCGGAGCTCTGGATCCATGCGCAGCATCCGATAGACTCTCCAACACGGATCGTTCCCACAGTCGGAGATTTCCGAAACGACTAGTCGCAGCACCGCTTCATATCGATAGGGACGAAACTCCGAGCAGATTGGACTGTGCCTGAAATCTACATCAGATTGACAGCATGCTCAGGTTGGAGTGGGGGAAAGTGGGGTCTGGCGTCTACCATGGATGCTTGGCATCTTTTTTACTCATACCTCCTTCCCGTGCCGGAGTTCGTTCGAACATAGCGCGCGCTTGCTTCTGCCACCCTCACTCTCCGACCATCACTACACCCTCCTGAATCCACTGACCAGCTTGCGGTCCTTGAACTATTCCTCGAGCTGCGAAGCTTTCTATCATAACGGAAACGAAATCACATTCGCCCTCCAAGCCATCCATCCAACCACAACCATGGCCCAGCACCCGCCCCAAGCACCACCCACCGACCCAACCCAACAACAACAACAACAACCCCCTCCCCCAACCCTCACAAACCCCCGCTTCACCCTCGAGCTCGAATTCGTCTCCTCCCTCGCAAACCCCTACTACCTCTCCCACCTGGCCGTCACCTACCCCAACCTCCTGGGAATCAGCCAGTCCACCGACGAGCCCGACCCAGCCGACACGACCAACCCTACCGCCTCGTCGCGCGACCCCGACGCCACAGCCTTCGCCGCCTACCTCGCCTACCTCTACTCCTACTGGAAGACGCCAGAATACGCGCAATTCCTGACACACCCGGGTGCGACGCTACGGGCGCTGCGCCTGCTACAGGAGGAGAATTTCCGGCGCGATGTGATCCGGCCGGATGTTGTGGAGGCATTGGCCGGGAACGGAGTGGGGATGTCGCAGGAGGTGCCAATGGAGGAGGGGGAGAAAGCGAAGGGAGAGGAGCAGCAGGATGGAAATGGGAGCTAGGGGGGTTTCATTTCGGGGTATATCTACCTGAGCAACTTGATTATCGAGAATATTGGACATTGGGATCGGGTGTATGAATAAGGTGGATTTTACGATGAAGGATAATGAGAGAAACGACCTGTTGATACGACCTGGCGGAGAAAGGAGAAGAGGAGTCGTTCCCCGAAAGACGAACCACAGGCGCTGGGATGTCATGTGTGACCGAGGTACAGGATCTTCGGTCGCACTGGTGTCTCTCTGGGTCACTCCGTGAGACCTGGGCTAGTTTTCTGGGGCGGTCAAACGCGAAAAGCGATCGCTGGGTAGACTGGGGCCTACGACAGATTTGGCGACGGGTCTCAAAGTCTAGTCTCAAGAATAGGGACGATCGGGGATTTGCTCGGGAATGCCGTGCTGGGTCCGCGAGCCAATGTCGCTGCAGCTGTCTTCGAAGTGAGACACTCAAATGAGATGGAAAATCACATCGCAACCCGACCTACGAAGACAATATGTGAGATAATAGCGCCAGTGTCTGATCTCGGGCTCGCTCCTCCGACCAAAGGTTGGGGAATGGTGCCTGGGAGAAACTCGATGACGTTGGCGTGGGGTTGGGTTGCAGGGGAAAGAAAAGCAAAGAAAACGAACCCTGGAGGGTCAAAAGCCAAGGCAGACGAGCAGTATCGCCGCTGATAGTTGCAATGACATGCACATCAATATAACTGTAATGAAGAATGACCTCGATCGCATCGCTTAAATGCCTCCAGTACATGCACATACACATACACATACACATACACACTCATACACTTCTGCATGCATGCATAATTTACTGAGCGGCGGGACGGGGCTGATTTTACCGACATTTGGAGTGGATACATGATACACTCCGCCGCCCGCCGCGTCAACCCAGCTACTAACTACTAGTAACTTACATTACCTTTCACTTTCAACTCTCACTTATCGCCCGCCGTTCTTCCCAGGCTATCCGAGGGGCGGATTTTCGCTTCTGCCTCGCTTTCCTCCCAGCCCAACCAGCCAGTCTCGAACTCGTTTCAGCTGCTGTTCAGTCTTTCTCACGGTGTACTTCTAGCCTTTTCTCATTCCGTCGGCGTTACCCCGCTTGTAATCCCTTTCCTTCTCTGATCTATCTCACCCTAGCCCTGCAAACGTCCACGTTGACCGTTACCCGATCAAGGCTCTCACTAACGCGATTTCCGTTCCTCTCCTGGATGGTCGATCCATAGACAAGCAATTCTTTGCTGGCCTGTCTAGCCCTAACCTCTTCCCACTGGCTTTTTCGTCCGATACTGCCACGGAGCTTGCGCATTCTCCACCGCTCCTGGAAATCCTCGCACATCGATACTCAGGCAGCCGTTGCCGAATCCAGCGCCAATGGAGAGCGTACGCCAGTCCTGCCGGCCGAAACACCAGGTCTTGGTGCTGAAATGCTATCCTCAATACCAGAAAGGGGTGCAGGAGGTCAAACCCAATCCCAGTGAATTGTCGTACCTGCTCTACTATGCCAGCACTCGCCGCAGCAAGCTGACCAAGGTCGGCGCTTTCCTGGAGAAACGGGCCGCTCGCGATGTCTGGCGTCGCAAGACAGGGTAAGTGAGCGACACGGATAGGCATTGGACCTTGGATGGATGCGAATAGCGAAACAGAGAACTGATGTCGTCTAGCAATGTGCAGGTCACGCTCCAGATCCTTACTGCGCTCATCGAAAAAGTCCCCCGCGACCTCCCCATCTACGCCCGATCCATCCTGACCATCCTGGAAACCGTTCTCCACTCCCGTGACATTACCATCGTCGAGGACTCCATCACCACGTTCGAAACCTTTTGCAGCCATCAGGATATGGCGGCCCTGACGGCCGAACACGATTTCGCTACCCAGTACCGCGAGGTGGTGCGCACATACGCGAGCTTCGCGGAGATCGAGGCGTCCTCTCAGCCCAATGCTCTCGCTCCGAGCGTGCCCATGGCCTTGCGGTGGAGGAACGCGGGACTGCGCGCGATCAAGGGGGTGGTGGGCTCCGAGGCCGGCTTGGCGGCCGATGGCGGAGATTCGCTCCGGATCACGTTGCCGGTCATACTGGAGAACCTGTGCAAAGGAGACGGGGACTGGGTGACCTCGCTCGAGACGTTTCTCGAGGAGTCGGAGAAGGCGGATCCCGAGCCCGAGCCCGCGCACAAGCGCCGCGTCAGCACCGCGACCGTGCAGACGGTCGACACAGCCAACGGCGACCCAGTGCTGGCATCGCAGTCCGCCGCCGATGCAGACAAGAAAGCCTCATTAGATGTTCGACTTCTCGCACTTCGTTGTCTCGAACGGGTGGTCGTCACCGGAAGCAGTCGCGGGCAGATCCGGATCACCACGCAACTTGCGCTGGAGTTCATTCTTCGGAAACTTCGGGCTGGCGACACGAGCTTCACGCTGGAGACTCGGGAGAATTGGGCTACCTCGTTGATGGAAATTGTCGCCAAGTGGTGTCCTGTTCAGGTCCGGTTTATTATCCCGGTGACTATGATGCAGATCTTGATGGACATGAAGCTCAGCAATGAGACCCTGGGCGAGCCTTTTGCTGTTATCTTCTTGATTGACTGGCTACTAAAGTCGCCCGTCAACATGATTGGCCTTAGTGTCATAGATATCTTGTTGGGTCTTCTGCAGCACATGTCATTTCTGCTGTCGTCAGCCGGAGGGGAGAAGGCGGTAGAACCGTCTGCCAAACGGAGGGAACAACTCGCTCTTCTTCAGAAGTGTATTGGAGATCTCACCACTCACGTATACTATGGCGAACAGGTCGTCGATATGATCAGGGCAATCTTGACTCGCATCAAACCCGCAGCAACTCATGACCAGCCGCCAAGCCCACCCCAGACCGACTCCCCCGGTGCGCGCTCTCAGGCGCCAAGCGTGTCGGGCGACAGCAATTCCGTCGCATTCTCGTCTGATTTTGCCAAGATCACCGCCTTCAGGGCCATCAAGAACATTCTCCTGGTGGCCAACTCGAAGCAAGCCGCGGTTGCAGCTGGTGCCGAGGCAAGGGACAAGGTGGGCATTCATGTCTGGCAGGGAACGCAGTGGCTGTTACAGGAGTCCCACAATGAGGTCCGTTATGCGTACGCCGACGCATTCCTGACCTGGCTGAAGCTGGAAACCAACCAGCATGATCTGTTGGTCAACGATAAGTACAGTAAAATTCACAGCCTGAGACAGGAGATGTCGGACATCGAGAAGGCTGGGAAACGGGCGACTTCCGTGGGCGTAAACCAGCGGGAGAAGTTGATCCTACTAGCGCAGCACAATTTCCTCCGGCTGCTGCATTTGACCATCTATGACATCGCGCACGAGTCCGCTACGCAGATCTCGGAGATACGGCTGTTGCATCTTCTCCTGACGAGCCTTGTTGAGAACCTGGGCGTGAACGCAGTTCGCTTTGGCCTTGCTATGGTGCTGAAGCTCCAAACGGATGCAGACACCGCTGCAGCCCTGCAAACCCCCACTGCAAAAGTAAACATTGGCAGCCTGGTATATGGATATTTGTGGGCCGTGTCGGAGAAATTCGATCTCGACTCCACCAACGTGGGTAGAGACATACAAAACGAAATCATCAAGAGACAAAAGTCCGGTCTCTGGCTTGATCATATTCGCCTACCTCCCGCAAATTTGGAGACCATCCTCCAAGGCAATAGCGGCGGCGGGAACTACTCGGGAGATGTCGGCCAGCTGACTCCTTTCAATGACGCGGAGGAGCTGGTTCGTTGCATCGAGGACTCGTACAACTTTTCTTTACGGAACGCAGCTAACAGCCCTCCTGCTTCTCCATCGCGTAGCCTGGCCATGCCTGTGCTGGGACAAGGGTCAAGCTCTCTAGGCATCTCGCAGATCCAGCCTCTCTCAGCTACTGTTCGCGAACAGATGCTGTCGGCTTGGACTCGAGAATCATGCCTGGCCACGGCAGAGCGCGAGAAGGCCGAGCGCATGTCTATGAACGGGTCGAGAGCCGGAACCCTGGCGATCCGTAATCAATTTACCAAGAACCCGAACGAGGGCAGCTCTCAATCTACGACATCGCCCAGGTCCGCCCAGCAAGTTGCAGCTGGCCTGCACAATGCCCGTCGGATGAGCGTCCCGGAATCGGCTCGGGTACGGGCCCACAGCTCTAGCAGGGAGTCTCCTGTCCACGTCAACGAATTGAGACGCGTGCTGTCCATCAACGACCAGGAGAAACTGCGGCGCCTCAGCCCTCTCCGCGGTCGGCTCGATGCCTCCAACCGCAGCGTCGTCTCGTCGAGCAGCGAGAGCATGGTCAGCGGCTACTCGCTGTCGGAGTTCGACGCGGACGGCATCTCGGTTCGACATCAATCCCGTGACGGCCACGATGGAGACAGCATGATCACCCCTAAAGCCTCGACTTCTTCATTCACGGGCTCGCAGATGTACTACATGGCGCACGAGGACATCCCTCCGGTCCCTCCGATCCCGCCGTCGCTGTCCGTTACCGGGAACCTCGCGAGCGAGTCGCAACGATCGTTGGCTACCGACCGCCCGTCCACTGCTCCTGGGCCCCGCGGCCAGGCAGTTGTGAACGGAAAGGCCTCAACGCCCGCCATGCCTCACCAGGGCAACTCTCTCAACAAGCACAAGAGCCGGTCGAGCACCGGGCTGGCGGCACAAGCCGCTGACGGCGACGTTTCGTCGGACTTAGACCCGCGTCGCGATGTAAACAAACTCCTCGAGGGATTCCTCTCGCCAGCTCACGCCGAGTTGAGGCCCGGGAGTGCAAGAACCCGTGGAGGTCTCGGCCGACGGGGTGTCAGCGGAGGCATCGGACGGCCACCGTATTGAAAAACTTCTTCTCAATCTTTTCCATCTTTCGATCTTTCTTTTTGTTCATGATTGCCGGCCTGAATATACCATCCTACCCGTTACTTTCGTTGTGTTTCCTATGTTTGATCATGTATAGAGGTACAGAGTAAATAATAATTCGATGTTCGCATAGATTGTACAGCTAGGTGTATAGTATGTATACTATCAACGATTCTACTGAGTACAGTACATGCTTTGAGTCTCCACTTCCCCAGATTTGGTCTGATAAGCGTTCCGGGGGAGAACCCCCGGACCCCCCTTTTCTTCCAGCTTCCTGGTGCACCGATCACATGCGCTTACGTCAGATCCTTGGCTCTCCCTCACCACCATCCTCAAACAGGCCTCACCATTTCTCCAACTCAAACCAACCCACCCCCCGCCTCACAACCCAGATAAAGAGAAAAGATGCACCTCACATACAAAACCCTCCTCCCCCTCCTATTATTATCCCACCCCCCTCCAACCCACAGCACCCCAGTCCCGGCCCCCCCCAAACCATCACAAGATCTAACCCCCCTCCCCCTAATAATCTGGCACGGCTTAGGCGACACCTACACGAACCCCTCCCTCACAACCCTCGCCCACAGAATCACCACAATCCAAGAAGGGACCTACACGCACCTAATCCACCTCGGCGACGACGCGGCCGCCGACCGCCGCAGCACCTTCCTGGGCAACCTAACAGAGCAAATCGACGCCGTCTGCGCCCAGCTCGCCGCCGACCCCATCCTGCGCACTGCCCCAGCCGTCAACGCCCTGGGCTTCTCGCAGGGCGGCCAGTTCCTGCGCGCCTACATCGAGCGCTGCAACAGCCCGCCCGTGCGCACGCTCATCACCTTCGGGTCGCAGCACAACGGCATCGCGAAGTTCCAGAGCTGCGGGTGGGCGGATCTGGTGTGTCGGGGCGCGGAGGCGCTTTTGCATGCGGGCCGGTGGAGCCAGGTGGTGCAGGGAGGGTTTGTGCCGGCCCAGTATTTTAGGCCTGAGGCTGGGGATCATTCTGGGGAGGGGGGAGAGTCCGAGATGGAGCTCTACCTGCGGCACAGCAACTTCCTGGCGGACGTGAACAACGAGCGCAGCGTTAAGAATGCGACTTACAAAGAGAATCTCACACGGCTTGACAAGTTTGTGATGTTTATGTTTGAGGACGACGGCGTCGTGCACCCGAAGGAGTCGGCGTGGTTTGGCGAGGTGGATGCCGCTGGCGCGGTGGTTCCGCTGCGCGAGCGGGATATCTATACGGAGGATTGGATTGGGCTTAAGGAGCTGGATGAGAAGGGCGCGTTGGTCTTTCGGAGTGTGCCTGGGAGGCATATGGAGATTGGGGAGGAGGTGCTGGAGGCGGTTGTGAGGGAGTTTTTGGGGCCGGTTGATTTGGAGGGGGGTTCTGGGTCTATGGGTGGGCTGGGGTTGGTTGTGCAGGGGGTTTAGATGATATTAGATTGGCTGTATATTGAGGTGCCTGGGGAGTTGAAAGAAAGGGGGGTCCGGGGGTTCTCCCCCGGAAATGCTTATATACTTGGCCTTAGAATTGAGGTGCTTGGGAAGTTGAAAGAAAAGGGGGGTCCGGGGATTCTGCCCCGGAACGCTTACACGCTTGGTCTTCGAATTGAGGTAGCCAGGAAGCTGAAAGAAAAGGGGGGTCCGGAGGTTCTCCCCCGGGACGCTTATATTCTGGTGAGAAGATTGATGGCGGGAGTCAAGTCATCAAATTATAGTCTTATGGTATTATGTATATCACTGATTGACTCGGTATAAACATTACATAGTCTCGCTTCGGTCTTACGACACATGGCACTGGTATAATTACTACATGTCTTGCTTTGGTCTTACACTTTGACATTCCATATCATAGACATCTCATATCATGATCGCCAGGACAAGTAGATGCAGGCAACGCTCTCGGCAGGGTAGATTGTCGCCAGCCTGCAAGAGGCCTGGATCCCAGTCGGGGATTAGTGAATTTGAAATGGCTCGTCAGAGCCGTGGGTTCTGCGGCTTGGGGTCTCTTTCGCGGGATACTCCGGGTTAAATTGTAGGAAGGCGACGCTGCAGCTGGAGTCAGTCGGCCCCATGGCAGCGCTTGTGTCGACAGGTCGTGATCATGGTCGAGGTCCACGGACTGTCCGAACAGCTTCATGGATGGACCCTGCCCCTCTCTGGAAGACGGAGCGCGCTCTGCTTGGAGAAATCTGCTTGTCCTTGAAGCGGCCTTATAGTCCTGGCTTTCATGTCGCTGAGGTGAACGCTCTGCACGCCAGAAAAGTTCATCCAGAGTCGGGATACTGGGTGACCGCCTGTCAATCCTCCGATGGCTATCTGGCTCCACCCCCAGTGATGAACATCCTCTGGTGCTCGGTTCGCCCTGATCGTATAGTCCCCAAGACGTGTTTGCAAGTGGTTTAGATAGAGGTAGAATCAATCTGCCGTCCCTCTCAGCGTCAACCTGTTCGTCAATTGTGAACCGCCGTGCAACCGGCAACTCCAGACTCGAACTCGTTGATCGACTCGAGCATTGTTGTGGATCCTCCACCTGCGGCAGCTCATACTCACGCTCAGTCTTCGATATAACCCTTGTTGCATCTTCTGGATAATATTCATACTCGAGAACGGATGATGTTGGATGCAGAGCCACCGACGGCTTGCTACTGTCCAGCAAAAGGGAGCTGTCCTGGAAGACATCACTACCATTGAAGCTCCGGCTTGAGTTTCCCAGCCAGCGCTGATTGGCAGACATCGACCCGTCACCGTCCAGAAGCATCGACTGAGAAGAGAGATTGATTGGTTGATCACGCACCAAGCTCGTACCTCTCCTCACCACCCGCTTGCCGTTGATCTTCAGGCTCATTTGTGAGACGGCCCCGATCTCGTCAAGAGATCCTTCCCCCCTCCTATGCCGTACAACCGGGTGTGAGCACGAGCCTGACGTGCCCAGTCTATTCCGGTCGCTATCAGTGATCTTCCTCCGCTTTCCAAATCTTGCCAGCGAATCTGGAGTGGGGAATGCGATCTGGAGTGGTCGTGCTGCGGCAACGGCGGCCCAATCGGGCTTTTTCAGGAGCTCGCGCCTAATGCGGTCCAGACGCTGGCGTGGATGTGAGTCGTCCTTCTCTCTGGAGGGACTATGATGATTCTCGGAGGGAGGGGCTGGAGAGGCTTCTCTGCTGCGCTTGTGCAATCCCATCATGTCATCAGCTGCAAGCCCAAAAGTTGTGCGAAAAGCAGAAGAATATGTTTACCTGCGCCGGCGATTGACCAGACTGATGCGCCGGTCGGTCAGAGTTCAGTGCCACCCCGTTGTTAGCTCTCTGCTTCTTGAACCTCTGCTTCCTGCTTTTGGCGTGAATGGCAGAATGACGTCGGAGACGACCTCCTGTCCAGTTCATCTTGGATGTGTCTTCTGCAGGTCATCTCGCGGGCTGGCGATGACAATCGGCAGTGATGTCAGGAAGCCGGAGTCTAGACGCTGCGATGGTGGTGGGCGAGCCGCCACCGTCATGTGATGCCTGAACAGGCAGGCAGGTTGTGCAGCACCTGATAGTGTAACGAGAGTCAACTCCCGCAGCCACAATGCACTGCACGGCAATGCCGCCACACAGCATGAGGATATATTGCTCAATTGTCCTGGCTGCAGGAGATCGCTACGTCTTCGGGTGATGCCATGTCTGCGGTGAATCTGGATGAGATCGGACCAACCACTATACCCAGTGTCTACGCCATCGAGCATGTTGATACATGAGTATGTTGTACCATAGAGTGAGTTAATTAAACCTCTCAGCTGGAGAGCGTTTCGTGACTTGAGCCTAGTCGTAAGGTTGCAGGCTACTTTGGAGGCATTGTGAGTGGAATGCAGTCGACAAGTCATCGAGACCCGGGGGCAATGTTCGCGGAGATTAGTCTAAATCGGTGGCACAGGTGGTGCAGTCACTGCAGTGTACTCCGTATTTCACCGTTACCTCTTGAGGAAAGGCCCGTAGTTGCAACAAGATCCAACCGGCTCGGCCCGGACTATGAACCATAGAGAGCTGGAAGCCACCCAGAGATAGAATTGCCCCGCGGCACAGTGCAAACCATCCAAATTCACGTGATGCTCGCTTCCTTCAAAAGCCGATTCCCACACGGCCAAAATTCTTTTCCTTCTCCCTCTCAAACTCAAACAATAGACAGCCCTCGCGTTGTTTCAGCCAGACTGACGGGCTGGCTTGCTTGCACAGTGCATGTCGCGCTGGCTGTCTGCATCCGACATGATGACAGGACGATGGATCTCCTGTCTTTATGTTGACAGGTCCACGAAACTGTTTAATTGTGTCGGATGCTGAAACAGAAGCACCTGCCAGGCCTCCTGTCATCCAGGTTTCTCTTTTTTCCGTCGCCTAAATCGGCAATCATGCTTGCTCACAAGCCCCCTGGAGCCCTCCTGGTAAGCAACCCATTCCGTTTCTTTCTCTCTTCCCCTCTTTCGCATGGATGTTTGCTGGGGGCCATCGCGCCCTTGATGATGAACAACCTACCAATAAGCATAGTTCACCTGAGGTCTCGGACCGCTGAACGAAAACCGTATACCATCTTTCAATTTTATCTGATACACATCCATGTCTGCCTTGTTGCTTTGCGATTTTGTCAACATTCTATTTGCTGGCCATCCCGCTGACATTGCATGTCCTCAGACAGACAGATATAGATATCCTTCCTAGCACTCCGTAAATTGGGGCCGCGCGCGATTTGTAATCGGCGGCCTTCGACCAGGAACAGGTTCCTATTGATTGATTTACTCAGTATTAGACTAGCTATCCAATATTTATATTTCTGCTTCTATTCTCATTCCAATCTAAGACAAGCTATCAAATAAATGAAAATCATTTCGCTAGATCCCGCCTGGTTCCCACTGGCCCGAAACTATCCGTAATTAGATGATGACATTGCTGCCCAACCTCCCGGCGCATCGGGAGATAGTGGTGCCAGACAGCCAGATGCAAAGAATCTGGTCTCCTATTCTCCTCGAAACCAGATCCTCGAGAGATCCATGCAGGTCCCTTTTCGTGCTGCTGAAACGTAACACCTCATCATCGGAGCTGTAGGTACTTTTGGGATGGGGATTTGGGGGGGGGGGGTGGGTTGGTCAGGAGTGGGTGACGGAGGAGTTGTCCGGGAGGGCATGAGTCCGTGAAAAGAATTGTTTGCTTTGCATGCGTGCAAGCAGGAGAGAGTTTAGGACCCTGTTCCCCGAGAGAGGAGGGGTCTTGACGTGTTGGTATCTCAACCAGCCGATGCGAGGGCCGAGAGTTGGCGACTTTCACGAGGGCAGGCGGGGCTGAATCTGAAGGCTGCTGAAGGCTGCTGATGGCTCCTGATGGCTCCTGAGTTGCATCTGAATGGCTCTGAATGGCTCTAAATCCCTCCTGATTGATGGTCAGGGGCGCTGCGTTAGTTTGTTAGTTCTGCACGCGACGGTCATTGCCTGCCATTGCCTGGCATAGACTTTCAATTTGTCCATTGCATCATGCTCACTTTAGTGACTTTTACCCATGCCGAGTGCCAATCAAGCCTGGGGGCCGCCTCACCGCTCCTTGGAAGGAACCTAAGGAATTGCCCGGGTGGTGCCGTTCCCAGTGATAAACCCACAATTCATCCACTGTTCATCCACTTCTTCCACTTCTTCCACCCGCCCGGCCACGTCAAGCCGCTTCTCCACTGATTTATTGGGTGATAATGAACGAACAACACCACCTGGCGCTGCACCATAATCACCGCCATGTCTTGCAGGGTCAAATCATCGTCCGTTGCCCTCCCTCTCTGGGAATAATGAGGCACTCCGCCTGCTGCATGAGTATGCAGAGCCCGGCACACGCTTGGACGGTAATTTCTCCTTTCCCCCCCTCTTCCTCTTCCTCTCACACACTCACACAATTGACCCCCGCTCTGTCTCCTGAGTGAAAAAAAGAAAAACAAAAAAAGAAAAAACAGATGCGATCCCATTGCTTCTTAAAAGGCCCTCGATGCCCCTCCAGATAGAATCCTTCTCGACCTTTCCTATTTATCTCACACCAGACTCGAAGAAGAAAACCCAACAGATTCCCACTCTAGATACCCAACTACTATACCCAAACATTCTTCCTTCGATTCTTACTACTACTCTCAAGATACCCCCCCACACATCATCACATTCCATCTTCTTGTGCTCGATTTGTCACAGTCAAATCAGCTAAATTACTCTTTCCCACACACACACATCTTACTCGATCCTAGGCCTCTTTTTGTCTTGTCAGACAAGTTCCCATCCGTGGATCTTGGAAAAGAAGCAGAACTACTTCCTTGGCCCTCAATCCAACCTGATCTCCATCTCTCTGGAACCCAGTCCATATCTGGATAGGACCTCTTTGCTTTGTTTGCTTTCTTCGCTCTCCCAGGCTTCAGTCTGAGCACGACGCATAACAGGTAGATCCCTCGTTCTTTCTTTCCTGAGTTTTTCTCTTTTCCCCCTTGCGTTTGTTCTCGTTCAACCAATTCTGGATCTCCGTCTCGACACTGTTCGCCCCGTCACACCTCGCCACTGGATTCCCTGGAGTTTTAAACCCATCTGGCCGCTTTCGTCACGAGACGAATTTCATCCACTTGCCGTGGCTTGAATAAGCATACGTCCACAGCAGCCGCTGTGTGACTGGACACTCTTGAGTGCTGTTTAATGTTGCACACTCTGCTCGACTTTGCTGGAACCTCTCTTCTGCTTCTACCTGGAACCCCTGGAACCTTTCACACTAGCCTGTGTGAAAGTTGGATGCTGCCCTTGGATTTGACCCGTCTTGGAATTTTTTGATGCTTCATGAAGCCGTACCAGATTTGGAGTCCACCCGACTGGATTGATTTGCCGCAACCTGGATTCACAATGTATATCATGGCCTAGGACTGACGCTTTGACCTGGATTCACAATAAGACAACACCTATTGGACCGTACCACTTTCTCTTTCAATCTACCGTTCAAGCCGTGCACTTTGTTACTACCCCTGTAGTAATTCGACCCAAATGGATTCCTCGACTCTGACACTCGTGGCCTTATCTCCTCGTCTTCAACGTCGCTCGACATTTTCCCCTTAGGCCAGTCATGGTGGACACTTCGGATTTGTCGACCCGTCCCCACTTGATGTTCGATTTGACCCAGATATCCGACCTTCGACCGCAATGTGGACCCATCCCGTACCTGGATTTGAATCTTCTCTCAAACCACCTGGTTGGTAGATCCTAATCCGATACTCTCGAGTCCCTGTCTAACATGATCATAGGCCCTGGTCCAATATGGATTCCAAATGCACGATTGAACTTTTGCTTTTGCTTTTCTTCTTGCACCCCGATAAGTTAATGTACTGACTTGCAGTTGCTTTCTAGTGCTTGCCTCCACCTTCCAGCCCGTCTGGAACAAATAATGACCTCGCTGATTAAGAGCGACCCAGAGAACATGTCTTTGTCCCAGTCATCTTTGCACCACATGGATCACATTTCCCAATCAAGGCAATCACAAATAATCCCAGGAATCTCCAACATGGCCTCCAGAGGAATCCCGGATGATGAACTTTCGAGCCAGGACAATTTTTCTTTGTGTTCAAGTACCCACCACAGCCATGGAACTCCCAGTGACTTCAAGGGCTGGGCCCTGAGCGACGTGGAGGCACTTGACAACGGTGCTATGTCCAAACCGGAGTCCCCCGAAGTCCAGATGTTGTCCTACTCCTTCTCCCAACAGCTGCTGCCAACCACTGTTGGCCCGAGTGATGTAATGTATCATCACGCCGGATCTGATTTCTCCAGCATTCAGGATATGTCCGAACAGACGGACATGGATTTCTCCCACGCACAAGAGTTCCACCACTATTCCTCCCTGGTTGACTTCTCTGCTTTTGATAATGATGTTTGTGGCCCGACTGGTGCCCCTTCCTGCTCAACCGACGATGCTCTCTCCGTCGGCCACAGCTCGCACACTGATGACAGCCACTTGGCTGCCAACGACGCATGGAACTCCATTGTCGCAGACTCCCGGACTTACCAAGGATCCCCTATGGACCATTATACCACGATGTTCCAGCCCGTGCCTGTTTCTCCCCCTCTCACTGAAGCAAGTAATGATGTTTCGGTTACCTGCCACACTGGATACCCCACTTTCATGACCCACGAAGATGCCATGCTGAAGGATATCACTGCCACGCCCGTTGGAAGCCATGGACTCAACTTGGGAGACCCTCTGTTCCCACTCACGCCGCCTTTGAGTGAACAAGACCCCAACCGGTTAGTTCTCTTCTCTCTGAGCAGATACTCATTCCCAGACAGGCACTAACATGCCACAGAACCATCAGACCCACCAAGAGTGCTCGTAGGCCAGCCCTTCAAACCTCACCGTCTCAGACCCAGGTGAAGCAGGACCCAGACTTCTTCCCGCCCCTGCCCGTCAAGGACACTCTTCGACAGAAAGCCAAGGAGACTTCCGAGCTGCGCAACCCCCGGGACCACCCCTACTACTCCCTGCCTACCTTCAGTGATGGAAAGTACTACTGCCCATATGCCAAGTCGGACAAGCCCTGCAACCACCCTCCCACTACCCAGAAGTGTGCTTACCAGTGAGTATCGCCGTTCTTTCCGATGAAAGCCGTGGTGTTAACCCAGAATTAGCAAATACCTTGACTCCCACCTCAAGCCCTACCGTTGCAAGGTGCCTGCCTGCATGGATGCCCAGCTGCAGTTCTCGTCCAATGCTTGCCTTTTCCGCCACGAGCGCGAGGCTCACGGATTTCACGGCCACGGTGACAATCCTCACCTGTGCCTCTTTGAAGGATGCGACCGCTCCGTTCCTGGCTATGGATTCCCCCGCCGCTGGAACCTCTTTGACCACATGAGACGGGTTCACGACTACGCCTCTTCCGAGAGACACAGCTCTCCTGATGCCTCTCCTACCACTGGACCATCTAAGAAGAAGGACACCGGACGTAAGCGTCGGGTGACGGGCGTCACGGCTGCCCCAACCATGAAGCGCACTCGCTCGACTCAGTCTCAGACCAACCCTCTGAAGGCTGCTCAACAGACTTCGGCTCACCACAACCAGAGACTCCAGAATGCGGAGAGGAACTACTACAACTGCCGCTCCCGGCTGCTTGAAGAGATCAGCAACATTACCCCTCAGGACTCGGCCATGCACGAGAAGGTCAATGCCAGCCTCCAGGAACTGATCACCTTGGGCTTGAACTTCCGCAGCATCGAAGCCAGCCAGGCTGCTGCCCAGTTCAACGGTCTCTCCGCTTGAGTAGTTCAATGCTACATTCTTGAACAGTGGCCTTGCTCGCGGGGATGTGCTCCGCAGGGAAGGTCATGAACTCAAACCGGATACGAGCCACATTTAGAAGCAAGGCAGCTTTCATTGTCCGATTTACTCCTCGGGTATGGATAATGAAGAGAGGAACCATGGGTCCCCATGGGCTCTACCATCGTGGACGGATAGGGACCTGTCCCTGGCCATAGCCACACTCGCCCACCATTTCGGTTTTTTTGGACGTGCTTTCCAGCATCACAGCTTCATGCCGTGAGCACTATGGGACACGACTTTTGATCCAGTGCCGGATCATATTCTTTTCTTTGCGCACAACGCTTTGTGCTTTCTTCATGTAAAACAAACCTTTGTTTTACCTTTCATCTTTTGGATCTGGTGTTTTCCACGGTACTGGGCGGATATCTTTCTTTCATTTTGCATTCACCATTTCGGGCTTTCTTTTTCTTGTCAAGGAAGAACAGGACAAGGACAAGGATAAGGGCAACAAAAAGGGAAAAGGGAACAGGAAGTTTTTTTAATTTTTCAGCTTCTGGGTATGATTTGCTGTATAGGGAATTGGGGGCATTAGGGATTTATACCTAGAAAGGGATACGGGGGTATCTATTTGTTCTGCATATTGTTTATATTGTGTTTTCATTCATGTACAGGTGTCAGGACGGCATGAACAGGACGCCTTGATCATGTATCAGCATTTTGATTTTTCGTGGTGGGTTTCTGTTTCCTCTTGATGATGATTGATGACTTTGATACCTTGGGAAATATCTTTGTTTTCTTGTTATATTCGGGAATTGGTTGATTTACAACAGAAAAGTGACAATTTATTCTTATCCTATGCACTGTCTCTGCAAAAAGTGTAGCTTGAGGTTTCACTTCAGGGGCGATATCCTGACTAACTAAGGGTCCGAAACTGGAAAATGTCTAGCTGAGCAGAGCATAGGGATAGATATCCCACTCATCTCCGACCCCTCCGGCCCTAGTCTAGATCCAGTCACAGTATAATCCACTCCCCGGATCGCAATCCATTTCAAGCCATTCCCGTACGGTAGTAGAGGCAATTCATACCAACGAACCTGACGATCGTTAATTTACGGTATCCTTGGCGATGGAGCTCACGCCTCACGTCTCACTCAGCTGGACCCTAGTCTAGTTTACCGTAGCCTGTTTGAGTGGGTAGACTGGTCATTTTATTTTATATGGTGATGATTGGTGATGCTTCGTAAAAGGGGAAGGAGGGTTTTCTTCCGCGGGCTGGTTGTGCAAGTCCCCTTGATCGGTCGGTCGGTCAGTGGGGTGGGGGGGGGAGGTACTTACTGTAAAATCTACTATTCTGATTATTTTCTTCTTTACTATATTTAAATTATATAAGTTAGTATTTAACGCGTGATTTGACTCTGTTTGTAAGAACTAATATCCTTATAATCTCTATAATAAGCTTATTATAAAGGAATATCAATTACTCCTGTAAGAATAAGAAAAAGATTTATATAAAAAATAAAATAAATAGCTGTAATTATTATATAAGATAATAACCAGGCTGCTGGAGAGAACATAATAGTTAGTGTCGGGAACTCCCAACCAGATATTCGAAGATAGATTGATAAGTATACTTACTATCAAACATCTTGCTTCGCAAGTAACCTGAAATAGCTAACACCCTCGACTATGTCTTGCTCCCAAAGCAAAGAAATCCAATCTGCAACCATGATATAGGTTTGGAACCACTACCTCAACCTACGAGGCATTTAACACCACACTTGACAACGTAACATGCCCCACCTAGCTGCACATGAATATTAGTGACTCTGCTCCTATCTCAGAGAGTGGTTGGTAATGAATTCATACAGCACTGCCATTACCGGGATCATCGCAATACTGTGCGCAGGCCTAGATGATATATTAGCCAATGTCACGAGAGTTTCCTAAATCACCGTACCTGGCAATCGTCTCTTTTTTCTAGGTCAATAGCACTATTAGCTGGATGGGCAAATGCCATTCCAACTATAGTAGCGATGAGAAGGAAATATAGTCTCGGCATGGTCATAGTAAAAAGAGACACAAGATAGAGGATAATTGCAGGGGATGTGATGGGGGAACTGGTCGCAATTTATCTACACTTCCATGACATAGCTCAATATGCTACTACGTCAACACAACGACTATGGTAGTAGATAGATCTAGTGGGCCTTCGACAGCAATGGCAAGAATTAGAATTCATGGAATGGAGATCATTCGCAGGTATTATACGACGAGTCAGAAACAATATTGGTTCACACTATAAGATCTGCATCCTAATAGCTCACGCAGATGCATTGTTTACCTGCCGATCATTGGCATGGGACCAAGGTAGCTGGAATGTCACATTACGGTATTAGTATCAATACCTGTTTATACCTCCCAATTCAAGAGCTGTTTTACTCGGTACATTCGCTCTGGATCACCTCGCTGCCCATACCCAATATCATCCTATACCAAGATGCTTGTAAACTCTTTAACTCCCTTATCCCTCTTGGCTCCCTTGGCAACACTGGCTCAAGTACAAACCAGTTTTGTTCAAAATGTCAATGATATCACCCATGTATATGAGAAAGGTATGCAAGTCTATCCCTTGCTGATTGTACCTCTCCTGAATAGAAAAGCCGGTCTTGCTCTGCTGTTGCCAATGCATTCAATCAAGTGATTAATCCTAGTCCTTATGCTGATGGTGCAACTGTTAGCTGCTGGAATGCGTACCCAGGATTACTCCGTGACAGATAAAGATGATGAAATAACTTAAAGTTAAGTCTCAATAATTAAATAAAGCTTAACCCAGATTTGAGTTATATTGGATGAATCTCAAGTTTTGGAGCTATTTTGCGATATCTAGGACCAGCATCGGCCTGCCTGTCCGCCTTGACTGCCATCTTCACACGCAGGCTCAGTTCTAAGGCTTTGGTCTCGGCGTTGAGATATTCTTCCAAGACAACGGCCATCCGCTGCCGTTCATCCGGGATGTTTCGTAGCTCCCAGTCATATTCGTCACGGTGTGCTTTGAATCCATAGTCCCAGTCACAGAGTTTTCCATGAATCACCCCGTACCACCATGCCACCACGGGTGGGGGACCCTGCGTATTGTTGTCAATGAAAGTATCCCGATCCTTATAGGTGAAGAGATCGAGGTCACGCCACCGTCGAGTACCGCCTATGCTGAATAAAGACCCTTTTGGCTTCCACCGACCCGGTTGGAAGTCTGCGTTTCGGCATTACGACTCTCGGAATTGCGGCCCTCACAATTGCAATATATCCAGGGACTACCCATACATAAGAAATTGAATCTGGCGGACACCATTCCCGATCGTCGCCTTGCAGTGGAGGTGGTGAAGTATTCAAAGCAAACCGGTTCATGTGCGCCATGATCTGCCATAATGGCTTGGATGTTCCTTCAGGGATCACTCTTAGCCAAGGCCCTCTCGAATTCAAAAGCGCTTCCACTCTGTGCCCCATGATAGTGAGATGATATTCTGCATCTTGCGGTCGAAGAGCCAAGGCGGTGCGTGTAAGTTGCGGTCCCGGTTGTGACAAGAATAGAATGCTCACCGTGACGCGTACGAATGATGTCACTAGCTTTGTTCGGGCTGTAGCCGTGCAACTGTTCTTGAAAGACTAAGAAGGAAGGAACATCTGCGCCCGATAGAATCGCATTGATTTGGAGTAAGTACCTCGACTATCTCTTGGTATTTCTTCCGCTCAGAGGCATACACATGCGACCTTTGGCCGAGATAGATTTGTGTGTTTGTAGTACTTCCTTGACCACATATAGACAGATAGTGTATCAAGACACAAAAGTACAGTTGCCCTCTACCTTGTAGCAGTTCTCTGAACCCCTGAGTTTAGCCACGGCCTCTTTCCATTCCTTGTTAGACACGGTCCCTCTGATCACCGTCTCCTGTCCGATCGTAATCTTGAGTGCTGTTTCCTCGAATGTGGCAGTGTATCTTTGATGTGAGGTGTTGCGCAACGGGCCAGAGCACTTGACCGGAATTGTTTCATCAGTTGGACCAATTACTTGATTTATAGGTAGAAAAAAGTCAAACCCGAATTCATGGTCCTCATTTGACGGGCCGCTATAAACCAGGATGGTTCCCACCTCATTGAGGTATGCACCGTATCGAAGCTTGCCTAGATCACCCCTCATGCCTTAGCTTTGCGACTTGAAGCCAGCTGCGGTAGCAAGAAATGAGAAGATCGTTACAACGTACCGTCATAAGCGGGCATCAACTCGTCTAGTTTGAATAGAGTCATTTGGGTGCCCTTTTCCCACAGATTGGCCTGGGCTACCACGGCGCCATCCTTGATTTTTATATTGAAGGAGCTGTCCCCGTAGCCTACCCCGGTCGCGAATTTGCCATGGACCCCGTCGTAAAGATTGCCAGTAAACCCGTGAATGGATTTATACATCCCGAGGGTTTTCACTCCGATCTCGCCGGTGATGTTGCCATTTCTCCGGTCCACCGTTCCCTTGATCTGATTTGCGAGGCCCACGTCAGCGAGATTTTTGGAAGCGAGGCAGGGGAAGAACTCAGGCCACATACTATGAGAGTTCCGAGCTTCTATGTGTCGGATTTCAGTATCAGTCAGTCAATCGTTCGTTTGTCACTTAGGAGCAAAGCTGGTTCAGCATACCGCAAAATCGCCAAAGTCTTTCTCAAAATGGACTAGAATGTTTCTTGGTCAGGATTCGGTCACGAACACCACGTGGAGGAGTTCAGGTAAACGCACGGGGCTCAGCGTAGTTAACCATTGTGCTTCAGCTTATAGTCGATGGACTTGCCTGTAATCAAGTCCAAGCTCGAGGATGAAAGACAAAGATGGTTAAAAGAGACAGTGCACTGAGCGAGAACATTTTTCATTTAGTTGGCTGGACTTATACCCTGTTAACTTAAGCTGTCCGTTTGCGGAAATCAGTCAAATGACCGCATGTATGCATTATGACGCATGGAGTACATACCGAAGTCTGTAGCTAGGGTTGGTACTGAACAATCGACGCATGCCACGTTAAAGTGCAGCTGCAGTTCAGCATCATCTTCAGGATGTTCGTGCGCAACCTCCATCATTTTCCAATCCAAGTTACGTACTGTAGAGCCCTGCACGTGCAACAAATAGAGGTCACATCAGCCAAGAGCGCGAGACCAGCAGTTTACTCTTGATCGTCTTGATACCAGAAAAAGCCATTATAATTCACTGACCCGCCCCGAACAAGTCCGGCTTCTTGAACAGTGAGCCAGCATGATTTGCATTATCATGGTCTTGAAGTCTCCTAAGTCCGTGCTTGAGAGGCAAAATTGACAGAAAATCCAGTGCAAGTATAGAACATTAAATTAACTGGTGTTGACTCACCCGCTTACCGATTACGTTAAGTGGCGCGGCAGTGAATGTAACTATCCAGGTCACCTCTAACCTCGGAGTTTGTCTACATTCCGATTGAATTTGCCCACAAATAGAATGAATAGACCAATCTCTAACCAATCACATTTCCTCAATAAGATATATGTCCACTTGTTCTGACAAAGATGTCGTCGAGGGGTGCTGATACTCCCTCTTACAACATAGAATAGACCATCAAATGTACCATAGCGGCAATCACAAGCAAACATAAACACATCTTCCCATACACTTCCAGACAATAAAGCAACCTTCCTATCCCGATCATCTGGGCCGCCTCCCATGCCTGTAGGGGTCCTTGCTTGACCGCTGAGAAGATCTCTCCTACCCGTACACCTTGCTGCTGCTGGCGTGACGGCCTAAAGATCAGCGTCTCGCAGGTGGGTGGCAGAAGACTGGCCTGCACCAGAATTAACACGATATAAGAGGGGAGAAGGAGAAACAGCTGGGCAAAGAGCATGAGTGCCGATATCAGGATATCGGATCTCACAATATACGATAATCCCTCTATTGTGACGTCCTCGTTCGACGCCGGAGCGAGGCGACTATTGAGTAGAGCCGGCAAATGCATCATGATTGTCTCGGCCATGGAATAGATGAAGGTGGGAAGCACAAGAGCTCTCCATCGGCGGAAATCGTGGGGACTAGACACGAAGCGCAGCTGGTCGCGCTGAAGGATGGTGTTCGCGGTCCAGAAGAAGCGGGTCTCCGCGAGCAGGACCGATGCCATAATATACGCCACCGGACTAGGAAGCAGAATACTCGATAGGTTCGTCACTAATGTGTGCATCACCCAGTAGGTGCAAGCGGAATAGATGCCACTAAGGAGAAGAGAGAAACCTCCTCGGCGGTAAAGGACGGCACTAGTTTGGAGCAAGTAACGACTTGAAGGTGCTAGCTTCTTGTCTCCGACCCTAGACACATTGACCTGCTTCTCCACAGTTTCGAGGATTAAAATAGACATGAAGACATGGCCAATGATATATCGGATCTATGCTCTGTTAGTTCTCGCCGGACAACGGGGATTCTTTGATAGTGGCTTACTAGAAATGTAAGGACAATCCCAAGAGAAATTGGTGCTAAAAGGAAACCGTTGTTGGTTTGAGCAGGGCCCTTTTGGAAAAGTTGATGAGCTCGTGCAAGTAGTGGATCATCTCCTGCAGAATAGATGATGGTATTGAGGAGTTCGCGAAAGAGGATCAACAAAGATGGTGGGTTTGGGGTGTATGCCATCATGTATCTAGACAGTGAGCAGGAGTGGACGATGAATGTTGTTTTCAATTCCTCTCCGTTCATGTGATGGAAGGACAGTAGACATTATATTCTTCTCTGAAACCGAAGGAGTTCATATGTTGCTCCATCTGTCCTATCACAAAATTCGCGCATCTCATGTTGAAAGCACTACTAACTTGGTGGAGGCTAATCCCGGACTACTGCCAAGCTACTGCCAAGCTAAAGTCAAGCTAATGCCATGCCCACACTCTTTCATTTTCAGTGTCTCAGTAGTGGGCACAGAGAATGGCGATCGGAGGAGTCCAGTAAACAGCTATATTGAAGGCCCTATCTACACTATGACTGACTCAGAAGCATTGATACACCAATCCTGAATCTCTACGAAGCACTTCGTAGTGGTCAGTAGACCTAGTTCAAGGCTGGGACTTTCTAGGTGGTAGGCCTATTCTTTTCAGACCCTGGTCGGATTCTGATGAGGCTGCGAGACATGCTTGTCCTAAGCTAAACTGCGGTAGCATCTGAAAGACTTACCATTAGCTATAGTAAGTACTATGGTCTATTAGTAGCCCTACTCAATGTAACCACTACTAATTACATGAGATTCTAATGGTCATCGGCCGGATTACTCCGGAGTAGAGACTGTTTTGTTGTTGCCTTAAACTAGCTCGTTCGTATGTCACGCTGTTCTAATACTAAGCCAGGCTTAGTATTCTCCACGGAAGCACCTTCGTCCATACTAACTTATTGGTTACTAGTCAAAGAACGAACTTTTGACAGCCTCCGAAACTAAACCAAGACTAGCATCGGTAGTAACAGTCTGTAAATATCAGGCAAGCACTCATTCATGCTCAAGTATGAGGATTGTGTGCACTCCGGGGCCTTATAAATAGAGGCAATTCACCCGCTGGATAAACTCGAACACAAGCACAGCAAGCTATTCTTCGATCAGTCTTCCGGCTCAGACCTTCTTAAGCCTTCTCTTTCTCTGCTCCTTCCGTCTCTTAATCTCCAATAACAATGAGAACTTCTTCGATATGTCTTCTAGCTGGGATGCTACTCGGACGAACCACCTACAGCCAGCAGCTCAGCTATAAAGACAACATCCAAGCATTAGCCTACGGCAATATCGCCAGCCTCCTCCGTGGAATCTAGCGGCGATGTCTGGCTTAACATCACTGGACCCCGGAGACCGAACTCCCGCAAATCCAGACAGTGGTGGGAATACACTCCTTGGATAACGCCCGTAAGCTACAGGTGATCGCGAATCTGGCGCAGAGCGCCGCGAGTTAGGCACTCTGGGGCGATCTCGTGTTTCTGTTTTAACGTCTCCTCAATGAACGCCTATCCTGCGTACGCCAATGTCACAACCACGCAGATGCAGGCCGGTCTGCTGGACGCTGTGAGCGGCGAGAGTGGGCCGGAAGAGAGCTTGATCGAGCTCTACGCCAGCACATCGAGCGCTCCGAGTCTAGGGGCGGCATACCGCGCACTCCCCTCCCAGTAGAACGAGCAGCAGCAGAGCAAGGCTGCCATCTTGTCTCCGGTAGCAGAGGAATCCACAATGACGACCACAGCCGCCGTCGATAAACGCGAGATGGACTGGTCCCGCAACCAGATCGTCTCCAATCTTCCTCACCCGCCGACCGAGCGCATCGTCCATTAACCCTTCCGTGAGCTTTTCATAGTGTTGGAGAAACGATTTCCAGTCCGTATCCAGAGCCTTGAATTTCTTGATACGCTTGAGATTCCGGCCGTTTTCTGCCCCGTCGCAACCGCAGGCACCAACGGACGAACAGAGTCAATTCCGTTTGCCCAGCATTGCGAAGTGCAGTCGCTGGATCAGCTCACTTGCCGTCTGGTCCCGCTAAAGATCTGTATTTCTTCTCCCTCTTTCGGCAATACCTGAACATTTATTAGCCTGTACCTGATGCTTCGGTGCGACTATACAGAAATTCCGCATACCGTTCCCATCGCTCTTCCATCCGTGTAATATTCTTTCTGGTGCCCTCTGCGTAACCGTCATCATCACTGTCTGACGATACCTCGGCATCTGGATCAATTCCGGGATCTGTATCAGAGTCACTGGCGGAGTCACTATCACGGCAACCATCATCAGTGGAGCTGGTGTCTGAATGCTCGTCTCGTTTTGCGACATTTGCCAAAGCAGCCGGTTTGTAAGACTTCTTCTGGGAACACCTTTTCTCTGGGCGACGAGCATGGCTGGCGTCAACAGCCATGCCACTGCCTCTAGAGCTGCAGTCCGAGTCCGTATTCATACAGCTTGGAGAAGGAGGTTGAGTCTGCGCAAATGGTCACTTCCTTTCGATGAGGACACTGTTCTTCTTCGTGAAGAGTCATTTCTGTTTCTTCGTCTCCCTCCGGGTACGCTGTCACGTTTACTTTTCCCACTATATTGCCTGTTTTCCACCTTGATTTGGCGGGCAGCCGATTATCTCACTACCAAAGAAAAACACGTTTTCTGATGGGGCGTCTAACTAACCTGAGAATAATGGTCGATCAGAGTTGAGATTTATGGTCTACAGGCTTCTTCCCTGTTTCGAGGAAGTGAATTTTAGAAAATACCTGCCCTGCAAGGACGTTGAGCCCAGTAAAAATGGGCTCTGGCTGCAGCATAATCCTGACAAGAATCTACTGGTCATCATGTCCGTAAGCCGACAGCTTTACGATGAAGCCCGACGGACATTCTACGCTGAGAACAGGTTCTCATTCGAATCGTTCGACAACCTCCCAGTTTTTCTGGGCGGGGTCGGAGTGGAAAACACCAAGCTCTTGCGATCAGTGAGCTGTAAGGAGAGATCAGGGAAAGGTCCAAGACTACACAGGTCATATTCAATCGTGTCTAAGGCAGGCAACCACGGCGGGAGATACATCAATTGGAGACCTCCGCTTCTTGCATGACGAGGACCTGTATCTAGAACTTGCGGACCAAGACGCACCGAGACTTAGGATCTTACCCTCATACTGGGGTGACAATTGTCGCCTGGTGCGTCCGGACATTACGTCCGTCTCTAACCACCCGAGTCGGACACGTTTCATGCTCAGCGCCACCCTTCGAATTAATGGCAAAGATAGATTGAATGCCAGTCGAAGGTATATGGTCACGTTTGAAGTAAGCGTGCGGAGGAAACGTGGAGGCTCATAACCGTTCCACGGGTGTGGTCAGCGTAAACCAAGCCAACAAAGAACAATTTGGCAATCAATACCGTCCTCACAAGTGTACAGAAGCAAGCCGCAGAACCGGCAAAAGACAATCCGCTCGATACCCGTGCTGACACTCACGGCGTCGGCGTCATCTCCAGATTCAACGAGCATGGGACGGTGTTTGGGGAGAATTCATTTGCGGAGATCCATTCTCTCGTCCGCCATCTTAAGAACGGGAAGGCCTTTGTCAATTCGAACATTTGGGTTCACCCCTGTGAGTATTTGATTGCCCTTTTTATTCTTCCTGACTGTGAGGTTTATGTATGGAGTTCTGCCTAGAAGCGGGGTATGTTCTGGTTTGCCCGGGCTACGGGGCGGAAGAGCATACATCCCATATGATAACGAAACTGTTTATGATAAGCAAGATCCACCTTTTTACTTTAAGCATTGCGATCGATTGCCCCGAAATGCTGCATCTTGAGAAAGAACCAGGCGGAATGAATTCTAGGCCCGATTCGATCAGGGAGACGAATGTCTCGAGAGAAGCGAGAAGTTCACGACCCAACAACAACAACAACAACAGCAGCAGTCAGGGTAACCCTGCCGTGGGTAATGAAGATGAAGTCGAGCACGAATATCTCTCCGGAGTCAAATTGGCCTTGGTCATAATTGCGGTTATTGCGATCGCTTTGCTTGTCATGCTTGATATGTCCATAATCGCTACGGTGAGTGGATTACCTCTGGCTGGGTTACCCAAGTATGTCATGTGGACTCACGGTTTAATAAAAAAAGGCAATCCCTAAAATCACGAGCGATTTTCACTCTACTGCGGGCGTTGGTTGGTACGGAAGTGCGTATTTATTAACAAGGTAAGTATATTATCCTCTTACATCGCCTTCACTAAGTGTGGAAGATTACTCACTGTCTCCAAGCTGTACTCTCCAGCCTATGTCAGGCAAGGTATATTCTCGGTTCAACGTCAAGGTTAGTTGCTATAAGCCTGCCCACTACCTCATGAAACCAACAATCTCGTAGTATACATATATAGCCTTCATCGCCCTTTTCGAGCTTGGCTCATTAGTATGTGGGGTTTCAACCTCTTCCAATATGTTTATAGTAGGGAGGGCAATCGCTGGGATGGGGAGTTCTGGCGTGTCGAACGGTGCACTCACAATATTGTCCGCCTCATACCTCTTGAAAAGAGAGCTCGTACGTTACGTTCTGACTTACGGTCTGGTACTGAAACATATGAAATCCTACTAACCGCTCTGAAATGCAGTTTACTTTGGCATTGTGGGATCATGTATGTTTAACTTCAGTTCCTCGTTCGCTTCGATTCTAATCCTCGCAGGCGGCCAGATAGGCGTTGTGGCCTCACCGTTGATTGGAGGTGCATTGACGGAATATGCGACCTGGAGATGGTGTACGTGATACTCGAACCCCCGGAGAACAGTGTACTCATTTACTAAGAACCAAACTAGGCTTCTACATCAATCTCCCCATCGGGGGCCTGGCAGTGCTTTTTCTTCTTTCCATCTCACTTCCCGAACACGGTCTTAGCAGACCAGAGCAGCGATCAGAAATAAAATTTGCTTCTCTCTTTTCCGATCTCGACATCATAGGTTTTCTTCTCCTCTCTCCGACCCTCGTCATGTTTCTTCTTGCTCTCGAATGGGGTGGAACGACTTATCCCTGGAATACTGCCATGGTTATCGACCTCTTCTGTGGGTCCGCCGGCAATCTGGTATTGTTTTTAACTTGGGAATATAAAAAGGGAGACGCGGCAATGATTCCCTTGAAAATGATCAAACAGCGGGTTGTCTGTTCTTCTTCGTTGACTATGTTCTTCCTTTATGCAAATAGCCTGATCTGTTCTTACTACCTGGCTGTATACTTCCAAGGAGTGCGAGGCGAACCACCGATGTTTAGTGGCGTGTATATGCTACCGGGGGTCATTGCTCAAATGATCTCTGGCTTTCTATCTGGCTTAGCGGGTATGTATCGCCATTCTGTTCTAACCTAATGAGTGGGTAACTAATGCGTTCAAAGTCACCCGGCTTGGTTATTACCTGCCCTCGGCAGTTACGGGAACACTCTTAACCGCAATCGGATCTGGATTGATGAGTCTAGTCACTCCGCACACAAGCATGGGTAAATGGATGGATTGGGTATCAAATAATCGCCGGTGTGGGGCGCGGTTGTGCTCTTCAGATGGTATAGTTACTCTGTACCAAGGTCCGATTATTTGACCAATATGACTAACACAGCTAACCTCAACCAGCCCCTCATAGCAGTCCAAACCAATCTGCCTCCCTCCAAAATCGCCGTCAGCATGGCCTTTCTCTATTTCTGTCAGAACTTCGGTGGAGCACTGTGGCTTTCCTTCGCTAGCACAGTCTTCAACACCGGTCTTGCAAACCTTCTACCCATCTACGCACCAAACGTTTCTGTTTCGGAAGTTACGTCGGCTGGTGTATCTGGAATGCGATCTGTGATCCCGCATTCTAGTTTAGTGGGTGTGGGTATCGCTTACAATGATGCTATTCAGCATGTTTTCTATATGGTTGCTGGGACTGCGGGGGCGGCCTTTATATTTAGTTGGGGCCTAGGATGGAAGAGCGTTCAGAAGAGGAGAGCCTAGCCTGAGGTTTGGGAGTCTGGTGATGAATGTTTTGACAGGGTTGCTCGGGGTTTACCACGAGCTTCATTGCGTGGTGAGTGATGCAAAGTTCTGGGTTATATGTTCGGTATATACTTAAGCTTCCTTGCCAGAAATACGTCCGTTGGGCCCTCAACCAATCTAAGTATCAAGATGCATTATCTGATCAGGATATAGTCGACCTTCCAGCTCACATCAGTATGATTCTGCCCATCAACACCACCTACATGAATATGTGCTAAGTTATAACTAGATCATTGTGCTGATATTGTACGCCAGAGTGTCATGTGCCGTGCAAATACGACTATTGTTACCTATTCCTATGAAATAAGGAGAGTCGAGTTCCGAAGACGGGTTTCCACGTGAGGTTATTATTTGAGCGTGTAGTATATGTTCTGTCACAACTGAACTTCCTTCTTCACTATAGGAGGCCTGCCTCATTTAGACCTTCGAGACAGTATTCCTTCATCATGTTGCATCCGGCCCTTTCTTTACCGACGAAGCCGACACGACGTTCTGCTATGCATTCATGATTGTGGTGGTACTGCCTCGGGAAGAGTGCCCTGAAGCTTTTCCTTAGCACAGTTCTTAGTTGTCTAGCGCTTAGCGTTAATAGTTGAGGAAGACAAGCATTTCTAAAAATTTTCCTCTCCCCATTTCCAATTTAGCCATGAATACCTTCATCTTGACTCGGCAGCCTAATAATCCACAATGGCAATCCAAGCACTAGGTACAAAGCAGCAACAGTCAAAAATACGATTCCGCTCCAACTCCCTCCAAGATCCGATCCCAATGAAAAGGCCTTTGACAGCAAGGGGGCCATAATCATATTTCCAATCGTCATCATGATAGCCAGCACAGCATACAGACGGGAGACTTGATCAGGATGAACGAATGATGTGAGGAGAGAGCGTGAGGCGGAAACATGGCCGTCGCCGCAAGCAAATATAAAGGTACCGAAGATATAGGAACGAGGGACCGGCAGGGAAAGCGATAGCGAGAGCACCGAGGATGTGGAACACGAGAGAACCACGCGCGACGAGGAGATCTTTGCTCGAGGAGCGGAGACCGAAGCGCGAACCTAGGACGGAATAGATCACTGGCAGGATACCGATGAGAATTACAAAGTTGGTGACTGAGCTGAAGGGAAGGAGGAAACTAGCCTGTGTGAGAGAAACTGTTAGGTTCTGTGTAAGAAGGAGAAGGTCTCCTTGGAAGCGCACCTCTGCCAGTGACCAGTGAAACCTCAGTGAGGCAAGTTGAAAGAGAATCGAAACGCTGTTGTTCGACAAGCTGGACGGAATAAATGTGAATATAAGAGCACAGAGACCGGGGTTTGCCAATATGAAGCGAGAATCGTGGACAACTTTGACAATCATGACCCTTAAATCGATCTTTGACGATTTAGCTCGCGTGGGTGAGATGTCTTCGTCGGTGTGCGAATCTTGGACGAGGTGATTTAGAGCAGCATCATCGTTCTTCTTTGCTTGCTGCAGCGTTTCAGGGAGGAAGAGAACCAGCATATTCCCAAGAGCTATAAAGCCGGAAGCGGCTAATAGTGCGTTAAATGGGTCGATTTTCATCAGCAACCAGGATAATGGAATGCCGACTACTGTGGATATGAGCGCGGCAGCAGAGACTTGGAAGAAAACGGGGCCCTTGCTCAAATATAAGAATAATAGTCCGTTCCCCAGCGTTTACAATGGTGTAATGTAAGAATATGAAGGGTCGCACCTTTTAGACTCCGGCGCAACATCCGCGACGATGGCATAGATAGAGTTCTGGGAAACAGCACTGCCACCTCCGATCAGAAGAAACAAATTCCCGGCCCATATCCACCGAACGTCGAAAGTGTCGTTGAAATAAACTGTGAGTATACGAGTTAGTGTCACTGGTCTTTCTTGAGGCGATTTCATAATTCATAAACTTACGAACAAATTGCACCCAAAGCTGTGACAGTAGTATACCAAACACGGCCAAAACAGGCATTATCTTTCTCCCATATCGATCTCCCACATACCCATACGTTATAGCAAGAAAGATAGCAGGTATACAAGAGAGAGCATTGTCCCAGCCCTTTATCATTGCTATCTCCGCTTGTACAGGCGCGACCTTGCATTCATGTTCGGGGATAGGTCGAGGGCCGTGGGAGTCGAATGGAGTGGTGGATCCGTAAAACTTCCTACAGGTGATGTCTTCCAGAATCCGCATGGAAGGTGCCCGCATCATGTAGTCACCCAATTCGAGCAGGAAGATGCAGATAATGATAATCACTACCACGCGGGTCAAGTGCGGGTGAGGTGTCGTCGTTGGCTCTTCATCATCGCATTGTGATGTTCGTTGTAGCAGGGGAGTTTCAGCTGTCGCTTGTTGATCCTGAGATTCGGGAACAGCCTCCATGGCTCTTGGTGTGGTGCGGATGACATTCAAGGTGATTATTTCCAGATGTGGACAAGAGGAGAAGGTAAAATGAGAATGCTCAAGATGCGTTCTGGCGGTTGCAGAGTCGCAGGGGGTCGGCTTGTTAGGATTAGTAATTACTAGTAGTCTAACTATTCTAACTAGGTTTACTATGTCGGCCCTCCACAGGGGTGGTTTCATGCATGATGCTGATGGCTGCGCTGCGTATCTATGTTATTTGCGTTATGGCGATAACGGCTGCGAGCTGGGTTCTGATGTCTGGGTAAATGCGTGAGGTTTCTGAGGGTTTTAACCCCTGGCTAGTGTCTGTTTTGGGTTTTGTGTTTGGTTTTGACTTTGATTAGGGGTCGATTTGCTCTTGAGGTGGATGGCTGTGCTTTGGGCTCCGCTGGGCGTGGGCGTGGGCGCGGATGGTGGAGGGTGGTTTGTCCCGCATATGATCCTCGCTGGTTGGTTGTTTTTAAAGGGTTGGGTTGGGTTGGGTTGGACTGGACTTTCAGGGAAGAGGTTAGTGCCACTGACTGTAGTCTAGGGACAGTCTGGCTTCTGGCTACTGAAAAAGGAAGAGGGGTATTATCATGTCTTAAATCCTGGGAGGACACGGAGTGTACGGCCTCTGGCAGAGTCTGTGGCAAGTTGACAACTTTGCATACTGTCAATGCTGGCTGCGCGTCAGCTGGAGGACTAACTAACTAGTGGCCAGTGGCTACCATCACCAGATCCAATGTCTCGCACAGGCCGTCCAACGAGACTATGTCTATGGACAGTGCGTGACTGACGACTGCACGCGCGCACGTCTTTGCGTTCTGGTGCTCGACCGGTGGATTTTGTTTATGCATCCACGAAGTATCGCTGGCATTGCGACGCGATATCGCTCGGACTAAGACTGATGGGAACGGACTGTCGAGGGAATAAGGCTCCGTGGACTGGAGACGTCGCTTCAGCCGGTAGTACATTATGGAATGACTTCGTAAGCAAGACCTCGCATTGCGCCCGGTTATCCAGTGGATGCTCATGATGCTCAGTTGCTTTGCGGTGTTTACGCCATACATCCTGGTCACAAGGATTGAAAGTAACCCGCAGAGCCAAATATAGCACGGACGAACGAGGAGACCTGCATGATCGATTCGCCGGGACCCGGCCGTCTGGTTCTCAACTAGTGGCGAAGATCTATCCAACGTTGTTCGTGCGACTGCGGCCAACGTTGGCGATGGGAGATGTGGGGATCTGCCAGACAGGAGACTACTACTCCGTATTCCTGTCGGCTATGATGATCAGGCACACAAAACCGCCATCGCAACTCGCCAGCTTGTTTCTAGAACACCAGATGGTATGCGACAGCGAGATCTATCTCATCCGCAAGCAACTAATTCTAGATGTGGAGATCTAAGAGAAAACGTCGTCCGTCAACCCTATCCATGGGACACTGGTGTTGCACATCAGGACCCAGATGCGCTGCAGCCAGTCAGAGCTGAGCTCTGGCCAGTGGCCAGGTCATTCATTCTCCCAGATCTTGCCACCGAACGGAGTCAACGGTCGTGTTGGATTGACTGCCCGCACAATATGACATGCAAATCGGCAACGCGTCATTCGTCGGTGACCCATACTCTACTCCGGACGTCGGGTGAAGAAGCAGAAAGTCTTGACTACTGTGGAACCCATGCGGAGCGGGCAGTGTTTATGTCCGTTTGTCTGCTTGTCTATCTGTAGTCTAGTCTAATCGTCGTGATAGATCCCAGTATGGTCAGCTTGATCTCTTCCGTGGCTTATGCTTCTGCCTAACTCGAAAGAAAATTCAAGCTCATGTCTGAGCTTCTATTCTCCGGCCCTCGGTAGGCACACGCCCGGACTGTCGGGCAATTGAGACTTTCTTGCATTACTCGCGGGAACAACCGGTGAGTGAGGCAAAGTGAGCCGCACATACCTTTTTTACGTGTTGAGTAGACTACTCCGTATCATGTCAATAATAAGCAGTTGTGATCGGCGAACCGCAGGTTCATCGGGATCCAGTTTAGAGTTGAATGATTGCTGCGCATTTCCACCCCAAGGTCCTCCGAAAACGCCATTCTCAATTCAGTACTTCAGTTCGCTAAGCAACATCCGAATACTGCAACTGTCTCCCGGGGCGGGCGGCCAAGGAAAAAAAAAAGCAGACCAATCCTAGTGCAATACAGTGCACATGCCCGTCTTTCCTTATTCTCCACCCCCTGCGTGCGATGAGATCATTTCCTTTAACCGATTTGACACTAGCAAGTTGGATCTGATTAGTCGACACTGGGCGATGTTTCACCTTGCGGCCAGCGGGCAATGTGGCTGGCTCTGCTCCTCCCGCTAGTCCTCTAGTCGGGTGGTTCCCTCGGATGAGCGCAGTATTGCACGTCTGGTAATGGGGAGGTATGATCGGGACGAGGTATGAGGGTTTACCGAGAAGAGTATGGGGTAGGTGTTCAGGGTAATCAGGGACATCAATGATGGTTACGGAGCAGTGATGCAAAAAGCAAGAATCATGGTTTATGCCGACGGATCCCGGTTTTGCTCTGTTTGTTTCTGTCTGCTTCGATGTCACTCCTTCTTGGCAAGGTTCACACTCAGATACGTACACACCACCCATGCATCACCCAACGGCGCGTCAACGGAAGATGTCAAACGATGTCTATCCATGCATGTTTCAGCTGGAGCGACTAACCATGGAACCGTGGTGAACATGGAGACAATGGAGTCGAGGGCAGTGAGTGGTTGACGCCGCAATTGCCGCGTCATGGGAGTCCTTTTGACGGCGGTTGGCTCACCCCAATCGGCTTGCTTCCTACCCACGGCACACGGCGCAGTCAGGCGGCTAGGTAATCTTGATAGGTGATCAGTGATTGATTGATACCGTCTAAAGGAGGGGTTATACTGTTTAGAAGCAGGAAGAGAGGGTTCAACTGCAGTCAATTTTCTAAGTACTGGACATTGAACTCATCTCCCTGCTACTTACCATCTTTCCTATTCCTCTTCCTCTTCTTCCTGCACTTCCTGCCTTCATATACACTGCTGGTACCGATTACACGGAAATACCACCACGGCCACTCTCCCAGTTCGAATTTGACTGGAGCAACTGGATCCATCGCATCCATCAATCAGTGAATGAATGCTCCGGATGCCCCCACTTTTCCCCTTTTAGTCGCTTCTCGTCCTTCTTTGCTTGGCTTGCTATAATTATAGTACCTTTTCTTTAAACCCCCATCCCATCCCGACACCGAGTACAGACAAACCATCTGACTCGTTTGAGAGTTGGTCTCACAGCCTCTCGTTTCTACCCCTGTTCCTCCCACTACCACCAGAACCACCACCATAATTCGCCCCCTGCTGCAACTACCGCCGTCTATCGTATCATCTATTGTCTATCACCTTGGATCCTCTCACTATCGTTCTTCAGCCTCCCTCGTCCTATCCTGGTTACCTGGTTACCTGGTTACAACTTTCTTTTCTTCCCTCCCCTAACACCATCTTTCTTTCTTTTCTTTCCTTTCACGCACCCACCGACTCCTAACACACTACCGGAAGAAGAAAAGGATGTTGAACTCCGCCTCCACCGATTCGTCTCGTTCCTCTTACTCCGGAAGCCCCGTCTCCCAACAATCTCCGCATCACCATGTCTGGTTTCCGCCTGCCCCTCGTCGTCGACCAGAACACTACAAAATCCCTCGCTACTATTCCACGCCCGTGAGGGAGGACATTCCGGAGTCGACCCCGCTGCAGATGTACGGTCTGGAGCAGCGCGCCCCCTCGATTTGCGAGAAGCCTAAGCTTCTCCGTCGTTTCTCCCACGCCCTCGACGACATCGTCGAGGACATCTCCCTCCAGAGCAGCAGCGAGAAGCTGCTCAGCAGACGGCGCCAATCGTTCTTCGGCATTGACGAGGAGGCCGTGATGTCCAGCACCTCCATCACCAGCCCAACAATGGACTACTACCCGGTGCCGGCGCATCCGCAACCGCCCAAAGCTCGACCCATGTCGGTGTTTTCAACAGCAGAAGCCGCCCCGTCTCCAGGGCCAGTCCGGAGACTCAGCCGTCGATTGAGCGTGAGCTTCTCGCGCAAGAAGAAGTTCAGACCGGGCCAGGCCGCCAGTATCTCGCAGCCGAACCTGATCGGCGCGTCGACGCAGATCTAATGGCTGCCATCTCAACATCTGTCTGCATCGCCATCATCATACCACCATAATCGCATCAGATGGCCATGACCTTAAACCGAACATCATCATCCTCATCATCATTCACGTGACGCTTGTTCGTCGCCAGGGACTCCGACCATCACCACCCCATCAGTTCTAAATCGACCCGGGAAGACGCACAGACACGCATGCGCAACCGAAAAATTCGCACCTTTTGCATCGGAGTTCAGCGAAGCGAGCCAAAGGCGGCCGTCATTCGATCCTTATACCGCTTTCTAAACATGCTATTTTATACCATAATACCTGGTTTAAACCTCCTTCTTTTCTTCATCCTCCCCTTATATTTTTCTTTCTTCTTCTATCTTATTCTCTCCTTTAATTTGGGGGACTTTTGTTATCCATCTGCATTAGCTCGGTGTTTGGTGTTGATCATTCTCGGTCCGTGCTTTTTCTGCCAAATTTTTTTTTCGCCACAACTATTTATTTTCTTTTTCTCGACCACCTATCAAATGAGTGTGCTTGACCCTTTCATCAAGGACAAACAAAACCCATTGAACCAGACAACGCATGCATGTTATTTATACATTAGTTTGCTTGACGTGTTCGGTACGAGCCCGAGCGATTCTCAGCCAGGCCCAGGCACGATAGACCAGTCTCGAATATAGTTCATGTACATACATACATTATACATCTTACGGACAGTGGTACAGTGGTGGGTGCCATTCCACAATCTACACCGACCCTTACATACCCACTCGTCCTGCTTGCATGCGTTGTCGTCACGGTGTTGCTGTTCCTTCCCCGCAGCTGGCAGCTCCGACAGTTTCGGAGGAGGTATGTACTGTACATGTACAGTGACCTGCAGTGTTGTACGTCCTTACATAAATCTTACGATACATGGCGGGAAGCTGGCGCAGCTTCTTATACCACAATCCACCTAATAACCGTGTCTGAGCATAGCGAGACCCAACCTCAGATCTCAGCTACACCCACACACCTATCTTCCTACCTTTGATTTTAACCCAGAATAACAGGATGGGAATTCCGCACCCGCCAAAAATCAAACCACACATGTACATGAATATAAATAAATGTACATGCACACAACCAGCCTGATTTCGTATTCGAATCCAATAAACTACCCATGATGCATGCCCTATAATATACTTCTATAGTTGATAGACTAGGGTAGGGGTAGGCTGGATTCACAGTCCGCCGATAGTCCAGGCTTGGCTTCTACTTTAGCGGGTGTATATCGCTGGACTTTCTTCACCGCTTGGGAGATACGGAGTCTGATCCGGGGGTTGATTCGTGGTGGTATGTGGTACTTTGCGGATTTGATCTCGGGAGTAGGGAGGGGGATAGGTAGGTGTCAGTAGAGGTAGTGCGGTGTTGGTGCCTGGTATCCTCCTGGCAGGAGGAAGATACCTACCAGGGAGCTGTCACTACAGCAATATACCAATAGAGCTCTGCTGGGATGGAACCCAGTAATTACTTACCCATCCTTCAGACAGGGCTACTTCACATCCCCCACTGAGATATACACCAATGGATACTCAAAGATAGCTAGCACCAACTTGCCGTGTCACATCGCTACAAGTACTGTACCTACAGTTAAATCTCCGGGTTGGCATTCAGACGGGACGGAACGGCTCTTGTGGTACATATCTAGTGCCTAGCATCTTGATCAGTATACCTGCCTGTTAACGAGGGGATACGTCTGTGCATTCGAACTCCAGTTCAATAGTTCAATTGAAGTAAATCGTAAAGAGACTCGTGTATCATCTATGACAGCTCTTCCAGTCATGTAAAGCGAAGCAAGCAAAGAAAAAAAACGCCCAGAAATATTCGGCAGTTATAATTGTTGTGTAGACCCCACTATTTCCTTTCCATCGACACCATGCGTTCCTCGTTCACCATTAGCGCTTTGCGTGAGTTGAGTTTTAACCCGAAAATGAAAATGAATGTTGCCAGAACATAACATAAATAACAGAACATAAATCAAGCAGATGAGTGATATCCAGGATGAAAGTCAGGATGATTAGCTTGCTCTCGAGAGTACCCAGTGAGGTCGACAGGTCAGTATGCAGGCATTCCATCCGTCTTCGCTCAGACTCGAGTACTGGTTTTTGGTGGGCGAAGCTCGATGCCTTATCCATCGTATCAGCACCATCAAGTCCTCATATTATCCATACGGCAGTAGCCGTCTTCTTTACACCCGTAAATCCAACCGTGAAGAACCAAGTCGGCGATCCAGCCCCGACTCATCATATTCCCCCACTACCGATTTTATCGCATCGTTCCCGTTCGCTCTGAGTTTAGACGACCGTTTTGTTTGTAGTATAGTCTAGGTAGACGGAGACAGCAGGCAAGTCTATAGAGTCACGCTCTCCAGATCGCGTACCATCACCGACATCTGCGCCCGTTTAGCCGCCTCGGCCACGAGGCTGAAATCCCGCAGGAACGGCGCTGTGGCGGTGGGACCGCCTGACCCGGTGATCTGGTGTGGGTAGTTATCTGTTGCTTGGGGATTTTGTAGCTGTTGTTGCTCGGTCATAGGCACGGGGAGTTGGGTAGATGGGTGGTTGTTGTTGTTGCTGCTGTTGCTGACTGCCACTGCTGCGGCCGCGGCGGCGGCTAGATTGAGGGGGTTGGGGGGTTGCGGGACGGTTCCCGAGGGGGAGGTGGTGGCTTGGTTTTGCGGGTTGATGGTTGCCATTATTGGTTTGTTGGTTCTTGATGAGGGTGAGGATTGTGTGGTGATGTGATGTATTGTGTGTGTTTGGTGATGGGTTGGAGGTGCGTCAGGGTAGATAGAAGGTGGTGGTTTGATGGTGATGAAGGTAGAAGTTATCGTGAACGTAGTGTAGAATGGCGGGAATGCAGGATATAAGCCAGACACACCAAGACCAAGACAATGATAAAGATGAGGTGAAAGAAGGCTAGACGGGGCTAGACAGGCTAGACAGACTAGACAGACTAGACAGACTAGACAGACTAGACAGACTAGACAAAGGTGGGCTATCTAACAACCAAAAATTGTACAGGTTTTCCTTCACACTATGTGCTGCAAGCCGTAGCAACAGCGTGGACTGATCCGGTGGAGTCCGGTAGAAACCAACTGCCTCTCAGTCTTGAAAAGAGAGGGAGGGGATATGGCCTGATGAGAAAGGACTAAATAGTGTAGGAAGAAGATCAGAGAAGAAAGATAGTTAAAAGTAGTCAGTAAGAACAGTAAAAAAAAAGTCGCAGCAACACGTGGGGCGCGAGAGCGGATAGACCGCGGTATGACGTCCGGCAATCTCCAACAATCTCCAACTGGATAGGCCGATAAGCTGCAAAAGTGCAACTCTTCGACAACTGGATGATGAAACCGAACCAGACCCCAGAAAACCCAAAGCAAAGCCTTTTTATGTATGTATGTATGCACCCCAGGCTAAATGGAGGCATACGTACTTTTGACGCAAGGTACGTCTTGGACTGCAAGGCTGATTGTCTCCTTGAGCAATGAGCAATCATTATTGAAAGGACTAAAGGAACTTTGAACCTTGAATGGAGGGACTTTCTTGGAAGATCGCCAAGATTGCCTTATTGGAACAATCAGTTGTTGGTCTTCCTAACAGTCCGGCAAAAAACTCTTACCCGTTGAGCCAAAGATGGTAATGCCATGTCCGATAATTACCCGGTCGGCAACCCCACGCGGGGTTTTCTGCTGCGGAATGCTGCTGAGCGCAGGTACCGGAATTGTATCGTATTATTGATAGTCCGCCCGTCACGGCTGTGGTCCGCTTCACGTGACTACATGTGACCTGCCCGCAAGTCAGACTAAACCCAAACGAGTACTCCCCCACCAGAATGCTCCACTCGGCACTATCGCGATAGAGAAATTATCGTCCACGGCGCGCATCATTTGCATCAGTTGCCCGCAATGCACCTCTTATCCCGGAGCACCCGCTGAACCACCGACCCGAGCGACCGACAATGGCGGACGAGGACAACATCGGCGTCGGGGACATGTTCCAGGACCCGGAGGGGTTCTACGAGCCCGAACCGGAGCCCACCTTTGCAGAGCATCACATGCTGAGCGGGCAGACGGTGCGCGTGCGCCTGGTGGGCAGTCATCCTCTCTACGTACATGCGCCCCCTCTTGCCTTTTTGCCTTACCCGAAGCTTAAAACTAACCTGTCAAATTTCTGGTTCTAGGGCAACCTCCTCTGGAATGCAGGCCGCACCAGCTCGCACTACATCGAACGACACGCCGACACACTCGTTAAGGGCAAGAACGTGCTGGAGATCGGCGCCGCGGCGGGCGTGCCCAGCATCGTCAGCGCGATCAAGGGCGCGCGCACGGCCGTGATGACCGACTATCCGGACGTGGACCTGGTCGAGAACATGCGGCACAACGCGGGCTTGTCGGCGTCGCTGATCGGGAGCGAGTCGACCCTGCACGTCGACGGGTACAAGTGGGGGGCGTCGGTCGCGCCGCTGCTGGCGTACCTGCCCGAGGGCGCGCGCAGCGAGGGCTTCGATCTGCTCATCATGGCCGACGTCGTGTACAGCCACCGCGAGCACCCGAATCTGATCAAGACGATGCGCGAGACGCTCAAGCGCAGCCCCGAGTCCGTGGCCCTCGTCATCTTCACCCCCTACCAGCCGTGGCTGTTGCCCAAGACGGAGAAGTTTTTCCCGCTGGCCGAGGAGAATGGATTTCGCGTGACCAAGATCTTCGAGAAGGTCATGGATGATGTGTTGTTTGAGAATGATCCTGGGGTGAGTTTTCTGTCGGTGTGAGGTGGTTGGCTGGCTTGCTGACTGTAGGATTCTAGGATGAGAGATTGCGAAAGACGGTGTTCGGGTATGAGATTCGGTGGGCGGACGAGGAATTGAAGTAGGCAGCGATTGCGAGGATTCGCTGTTGCATGCACGAGACAAATGAAATAAATTGGGTTGCATTGCGGTGTTGAGGCGGGGTACAAAGTGATTCGGGATAGACGCCTATATCTCTATATCGATTCTACATATACATACACTCATATATACCTTGACAAGGTCACTACAAACCTCAGCACACATCAATCCCCATGTAGAAAGTTCAGCACGAGCAACGGGTGTAGAACTGTATACCCTTACCACCCGCCAAAGTCACATGTACAGACAGTACAGTAGAGTACCCCACCGACCGCCCGCAGCCCCGCGCAACAAAAAAATCCCCAAACCCGACGCAACCACCGTAACAACCACCGCAACCATTCCTCCCTCATCACACCCCCACCATGCCAGTAAGCCACATTCCTCAATTCACTTCCCAAACCCAAATACTAACCCCTCGCAAAGCTCATAGTCCTAACGGGCTACCCCTGCTCGGGCCTAACCTACCGCGCCAACCAACTCGCCGCACAACTCGAAGCAACACAGAACGAGCTCTACGCCTCAGGCGTGTTCCCCGAGAGCAAGCCGCGGTTCAAGGTACACGTCGTTCCGACACACGACCCATCGCACCCGCGGACGGTCTACGATCATGCGCGCACAGAGAAGGAGTCGCGCGGGGTGGCGTACGCGCGGGCGAAGCGCGCACTCGGGAAGGACAGTTTCGTGATTCTGGATGGGATGAATTACATCAAGGGGTACCGGTATCAGCTGTGGTGTGAGGCGAAGGCATTGAAGACGAGTTCGTGTGTGGTATGTCAATTGCCGATTAGCCGCATTGTTTGACTGGGGTTTGGTACGGGTACTAACGTGCGACGGAAAAAAGGTGCACGTCGGTACGCCGATCGATCAATGCGTTGCGAATAACGAGGCGCGGATTCGGCGCGATGAGGCGAGGGATACTGGTGCATCAGGTCAAGCTCAGCGCATAGAAGGAGACGGAGAAGGAGAAGTTCAAGCTCCGCCCACCGAAGCAGAGGCACCCAGCGGGGAACCCGCGACCACCGACAAAGAAGACCCTTACCCGCGCGACCTCCTCAACAACCTCATCTTCCGGTACGAGGAACCCAGCATGCACAGCCGCTGGGACAAGCCGCTATTCACGGTCCCGTGGGAGGACGCGACGCCGCCCATCGCGGCGATCTGGACCGCATTAACGGGGGTGCCGCACCCGTCCCAGCACCCGGATACACCCTCCGAAGAACAAAGCGCAAGCACCCTCCTCAACCTAACGACCTCCTCACTGAACAATACGCACCTCTCACCCTCCGACACCGCCAGCCTCGCCCCCTCGACCTTCACCTCCGCCACCACCTCTGGCACCCGCACACCCCTAGGCCGCCCCCGCATCAAACCGCACCAAGCCACCGCCCTCCCAGCCAGCACCTCGTCCTCAGCACTCTACAGCCTCGAAAAACGGACCTCAGCCATCGTCTCCGCAATCCGCGACTTCACGCTCCGCCACCCCTCCGCCGAGGAGGCGTTAGCCTTGCCATCTACCAGAGAGGGTGGTGAGGGATCACAGCACCCAGGGTTCAGCATCCCCGTGCCCGAGGCATCGATCGCGGTGTTCGTGCCGGCGCATGTCGCGCGGTCCGGGCCGACGGATGAGCTTGCGGGCGCGGGCGGGGTGCTCGCTTTGCCGAAGTTGCAGAGGTTGCGGAGGCAGTGGATTGCGTTGAATCGGGCGTATGTTGCTGGGCCGCATGCGAGTGCTAGTGGGGGTGGGTTAAAGGCGGAGGAGGTGCCGGATGCGTTTGTGAGATTTCTGAATGCGGAGGTTGGTGGGGAGGAGGATTAGTTTTTTTGCCTGGGGGTTGCTATGGGGGGTGGGTGAGTGGGTGGGGAGAGCATAGCGTGCATTATGTCTTGTAGATTCATGAACGATTATCTTATCTTATGGTGTGGTTACTAGTTGATGGTAGAACCGTAGCGAGGACGCTTGGATTGCTTTGCTTTTAGACAGTCAATCCAACCTCACTGCTCGCGCGCTCATCAGAATATATAAGTATAAATAAAAATACCCTCGCTAACAATATACTATACGCTACTCCAACTTATACTCAACTCTCAGGAAAGAGAAACCTCACATCACAAAAAGCAAATTGGTATCTATCACAAACAAATTAGCACCACGCCTGCCCTCCTCTCAAAGAACAGAAGCAAACTCACCAAGAGGATGACTACAACTCAACTGCGGCTTCTGCGTATACTTGCCCTCCAACTCAGAGCGGATCGAATTCAACAGCTGCAGATAACTCTGATTCGGCCGCTGCTGCAGCGTCTTAATGAACGCCCAGCTCAGCGCGCCGCGCGCCTCGCCGTCTTGGAATGTGTCGGCCCTGTTGGGTGCGTTAGCTTTGAGGCTGATTGGCCGTAGCGAGAAAGACAGAGGGGACAGGCTATTCTCGCATCATAGCAGAAGAGGAAGGGAACCCACGAAGTCTGCGTATCCTTCGATCCCGAAAACATCACCACATCCGCAGGCGAGGTCTTGGTCTGCATCGTGCGCTGGCGCGCGGTGTCGCCGTTGGCGGCCTTCTTGAAGAACCCGATGGCCGTCTGCGCGACGCTGCTGAGGTCGCCCTTGCCGTAGGACTGGAAGGCGCTGAATAGGTCCATTGCGGCTTCTTTGGCGAGGTTGGGCTCCTTTAGGATGCCTTGGGTTGAGTAGACGTAGGGGAGGTCCAGTGCTGTGCCGGAGTGGCAGGAGTCGAAGATTGCGGTTAAACGGACGCCGGGGCGGAGGGGGCGGACCCTTTGTTTATATGTTAGTACGGGGGGGTATGGTGAGGGGGAGTGAATGAGAATGTACATGATGTCGTGCATGTCGTCGTCGACGATGTGGCCTGCTGTGCGGTAGTCGAGGGGGTAGATTACGTCGTCGTAGCCTGGTTGGGTGGGTCAGTTGTGCTGGCTGGGAGATCTGAGGAGGATACTGCCTTACCGTCTTCTTCGTCGCCGTCGAGGTCGGGGGTGCGCCCTCCGTGGCCTAGTTAACATAACCTGTTAGTGAAGCACGGCTAGTTGGTTGATTTTGGGGGGTACCGCACCGGAGAAGTGAATGAAGAGCGAATCGTTCGGTTGCGCATCCTTGACTAGCCATTGCATGGCCCGAAGGATGTTGGTTTTGGTGGGCAGGCTCATCGGGTTCTCCTGGTCATCCGTCAAGATGACCATGTCCTCGCGGCGGTAGCCGAATTTCTCGTTCAGAAAGGTCGACATGTTGGTCACGTCGTTGATGCAGCCGCGTAGCGCGTTCGGTTGGCCGATATAGTTAATTCCAATCAGAAGTGCCTTCCGACGTCCTGTGCAGTTCGAGTACTGGAATCGGTAGTTGGACGGCGCGCCCTTGCCGAATTGCTGTGCCTCTTGCGGGGGACGGGGTGGGAGGGAGCCCCATGATTGGGAGTGACCTAGGCGGTAAAGTTAGAGGTGGCTCGGTCCAAGATTGAGGCGGACTGACTGTGATAGGATCGTGTATGGCCTGGTGACGAGGACTGGGGAGGGGGAGTCGGGGTGTGAGGATAGCCATAGGGGGATGGGGCCGGAGATGGGTAGGCTGGGTAACCCCCCGACGAGGAGTAGTAGTGCGACGGAGGAGGTCCGGACGGCGGAGGATATTGATGTCCTGGGGGAGGTCCCGGAGGCGGAGAGTACTGATGGCTCGGAGGAGGTCCTGGGGGAGGATAGTACTGTGGACTAGGGGGATATCTAAACGGAAATCAGTCTGCTGCTAGTCAAACTACCTGGATGAGGGGTAGGTAACCCACTGTTGGTGGTGAGGAGGCGGCGGTCCCCAGCTCCCTTGATGAGAAGGAGGCGGGTAACCCCCCGACCAGCCCTGAGAATAACCGGAGTTCTGATAGTACATCAATTGATGGGAAAGGGGGTTGTTTGGGAGAATGAGGGGCGATCAGACGATCGGAGTCAACGAGAGATGTCGGGTTGATGTGTCGGTGTGCGAGCGGATAAGAATATCCGACGGGATTAAAGATGGTGGGGGTGTCTACTGATCAAGAACAGCGAATGTCTAAGGCTGTTATGCCACGTAAGAGGTAATCTAGACTTGGTTCTCTCTTCCAAGTGACCCCAGGATGCGATGCAAAAATCAGTATTCAACAGTAGAAGAAAGGAGAAGCTGACGAGGAGGGGAACAGATTAGTATTTAAAGGGCGCGGTTTAGACTTGTCACAGGGCTGGCTGATGCGGCCTCTTCCCCGCCCGGGGCGAGCGTGCATTGGCTGTTGGTCAGTGGGTGTGGGTCGGCACGAGGCGTAGGGCAGAGATACCGTACCGTAAGGCTCTGGTATTCTGGGTATTCGTGCACTGTTCCTCCTCCAATTTGAGCCTCTCGGCACCCGAGCATCCGGTCACAACAGATACTGGTAGTATTACGTTGCCTTTGCGGACTGAGCCATGGTTCCAACGCGGCAATCTTCCAGAAAACTCGCTGCAGCACCATTTAGGCACCGACCAATGACTGACTCGTTCAGCGGCCACTGCACTCGGGTAGGGCGATCAATGAGATTACAGTCTGCCAGACTGCCTCTGGCCGGGGGGGAAGCGGGCTGAGGGGGCTGTGCCAGTGACTCGATGACTCGAGCATGCGGGGATGAATCCGGTTTCTGTTGGGTCCTGCATGGTTACGCAGTGTCGCCACAGCCTATCCTGTCAGCCTTGTCATTCCTTGGAAGAACCCCTTGAGTGAGTCGGCAAGTTCTCATTGGCCGTTAAACCAGGGATCTTATCTTGACTACCGAATCAGGAGATGCGGCTGTCGTAGAGACTCATCCTCGGTGGTGACAGACCTCTTCAAGGCCTTATTCGACCGGCGGAAGAGAAACGATATAACTCAGTTCCTCAATCCAGATTTAACCCTGTACATCCGGACTATGCTGAAAGACAGCGGGAGCCGATCGCTTCCTGCGCAGTACCGCAACTGGCGGGCTGTTTGTAATGATCAACTATAACTACGCTGAATCATTTATACATATAGTTACGAATTTGGGAATGTAAGAAGTTGAACCCGGACAATATACTTCGTCGGCGACTGCCAGGTCACATGAGTTAGCTAGATTGACATAAAGTCGACCGCATTCGTTTCAGATCCTATCTTCATTACTGGCCCCTCGAAAGTCCCTATAGCAAGAATACCATTTCTTGACACCAATTGGCCGCATGCGCCAACATTATGTCGACTGTTTAACGAAAGCCAAATCAACTCCTCGTTTCTACACATCGCCGCGTTCTTGTTACACCAGAATCCCCAATCCTCTCCTTGACCCGGCTGCTCAAATGAGCATAGCATTTGTCTGGTTGGAGCTTTTCACAGCAGACAGCTTGCATTGGAAAAGTACTCCATCACCGCACAAGTTCTGTCCGGAAGCATGAGACTCGATTGCTTCACTGCAAGAGGGACGTCCACGACTAAATTTTTCCCGCTCCTAGAAGTCTCAGTCGGGATGATTCGGGAGAAACTGCAGTGGAAACAAGCCTCTCATCGGAACAGAGGATAGACCTCGACTCCCTGTTCTGAGGTCGTACATTCTGGAGTTTTGGCCTTGGCCTAAAACCAGGAAACATTCATCTGCAGAGAATTTGGATATCATTGTCTGTCTGGTCGTAATCCTCGATGTTTCACTCGAGTGATGATCTATCACAGTCGTTATACATGTGCTTACGTCAAACAGAAAGATATCTCCCTGCGTAGTTCAATCAACAATCTATCGTCTGGTTTGAGTCCATAAGAACCAGCGGCTCTTCCCGAGTCAACCAAGTGCCTGAAACACAATCCCCCTTACCGATCCTTCGCACTCTTGGGTCTGTGTACTCCTGTCACCTCCTCTACCAATACTCCTAGTCATCTATATACCGCCCGGTATCACTTTTGTGAGTATGATTTGATCTCGGACGTAGAGGGCCCTGGTCGGAGAGGTGTATGTGAATTTGAGGGAGGCAATAAGGATGTAGTCGATAGTTCGTATACAACTAACCTCCTTACAATACTATACACCGCATTTCCACCCTTTTCTCTGGCCTAACACCTTCTCGTCCCCACCGGCAGCTCCATCTTCCGCTTCATGATGACAGAACACAAGCACACCGTTCGCAGAACACAGCACCACAGCCGTACTTAGTGACGACCTCTTTCCTCTACCTCGACCTCGACCTGGCCACGCCCCACCCCTCAGCAGTCAGCGCGTAGTCGCGTACCAAGAACCTGAAGCAGGCGGGGCAGCCCTACAAGTGGATTTTCGCGATCAGTTGACATCTCGACACAGAAGGGGCTGTGACTGGCTACAGCTGTGTCCTACCCCTGCAAGCGCGTACCAAGTAGCACTTCCTAAGCGAGGCAGCCCTATATGTGAATTTTCGCGATTGGCTGACATGTCGACCTGCTACCCATGATGCAGACGGGGGCTCCCTGTGGTGGTTGGCGGACTGTTGTGGGGAAAGCTTCGAGTCGTGAAGGTCATTTGCGCCGCCTGTGCGCCGAGGGACGAGGTATATCCGCATGATGGATTCATAGATCGCTCAAAGGTTGTCGAGAGGCTTGATATCTATGTGAAATAAGCGAGCAAGGCCATAGCGTCCCTGCCCTCTCCGTGACTGTCTGACTTGTACGCGACTTTGAGAGTAGGAGCCTGTATGACGTGAATGGGCTGCATTCATGTAAGCGGGGCTGACGAGTCTATATGCTTGAATCGGAGGGAGACACGGGAGATGATGCGGCTAATGGGGCGATGTTGAAGGTTTACTTACTATCTATTGTTGCATATCTGCCGCGGAGCACCGCCTGCCTCTCTGGGAGGGGCTACCCACCCAAC